GGATCAACGCCAAATAACCTTCTTCCGCTTTGCCCAACAAGGTGGACTGTCAGAATAAAGTCAATCAAAAGGTTCGCTGAAAACTACGAGTTCAGGAGACACTGAATGAGCTGCTACAAGGAGAGTATTCGATTGAAGACAACAGCAGGGCTATTTTGAAGGGTTATGAGAGGCTTTTGAAAATGTCTGAATTGCTGCTGGGAATAAACATTTCGATGGCTTTGTTCGGTTCATGCGAAGAACTTGCAAGGGTACTGCAATGTTCAACGTTTCGCGCCGCAGGTACCAAAGAGGCTGCAGAGACTCTCTGCGAGGTAATGTCCTCCCGTCTCCGGTCCGAAGTTGCGTTTGAAAAGTTGTGGGACTGCGCGAGCTCAACTGCAATGCGACTAGATTTGAAGAACCCTCGCAGCGCAAGGCCGACAGAACCGCCAAAAAAGGCTTGAAATGAGCCACAAAACCTCTCCACCAGTTGTACTTGATTGCAAGGCAGCGTTACGGAAGGAGTACTTTACTGCTGTAGACTGCATTCTGAGTGAAACTCAATGGCAGGGGGGGGGGGGCTAGTATAACTAGAGAGCACCTTGATTAATGCTGCCAGGGGAAGACAGTTCACAACAGATGACCTGAAAGAGGCCCTAGGAGTGCATGCATGTGATTTTGATCTGGCCCGACTCTCAGTGCAGGTTTTACTTTTGCCGCGGCTCTTTTATGCAACCTTGATTCCCTCACAATTGACGCCATATTGAGGGCACTACAGGCAAAATCTAACGAAATTCGTGACCTCCTGGACCAAGTCGTAAAACATACGAAACTTCTTCATTTTGTGCCAGCATCTGTCGCTTCAGGGGAGCGCTTCTTTAGTGCCTTACGTCAAATTAAAACGCATCTACGCCGCCGCACGAGTCAGGGGAGGCTAACACACCTCCTTATTTTGCACATTCAAAGAGGAAGATCTTCAAGCTTAACCTGGATGACATCATCAAGGGGTTTGTCTACAGGACTGCTGAGCAAACGGCAACCTTTGGTCTTCCTCGAGACGATCAACACACATGACTTTGGGGCCTATATATGGATCTGTTTCCTTCTTCACGCTTTTGTGCACATTTTCAAAATATGTATTAAGATGTCATTGTATATATGTAATTATCTTGGCTTACTCGCTCATTTCATAACGTGGATGTCTTTTTGGATGAACATTTAAAGAATAATAAACGTGATTCTACGCAAACTCAATTTTGCAATGCTGTGTATCCTTGTAGGAATTTTGAAATTGTCTGAAGCACTATACATGAACGTTTTCGCGATATTAGAGTTTTAGTGGATCATACATAAAAGCTTCGAGGGTCGGAAAGTGCATGCGCAAAACGCAATATTGCGTTCTACGCATGTGCATTTCCGACCCGCAATTGCATTACGTACGAGCTACTAAAACTCTTCACTGTTGTTATAAAGCAGGAAGGAAAAGTGATTGCACATGCTAAGTAAGGAACTCCATGCAAATAATATTTAATTTTTTAATAAACATTAAGTAAAAATAAAACAACAGAAATTCGGCTACAGCCCTTGTCTCCTATAATAAAATATACTAAAACAAAATGCTTAACTTCAGCCCCCCCCCCCCACTCAAAATCTGCTTCCGGAGTCCCTGGATGACGTCATTGGTCTGAACCAATACAGGATCGAAACGACAAGAGCATGCAAACAACCATGTGCAATCTTCCCAATTGTTGGAATTAACATCCAGTAATGAAGATGTGAACACTTTACCAATTTACGGAAGTTCTAAGCGAAAACTTGAGAGTCACGTGCTTGAAAGGGTCAGAAGGGGTCACGTGCACCTATTCAGCCAGTCCTGTCTCTAGAATTCTGTTGTCATTATTTAACACTCTAGACAAATGTCGTCACTAAATGCTCACGTTCGACATTGATAGGCATGCCCTTTGAAGCAGAATTTGGCTTTTTTGTCCCTTTGCAGTGCTCCCTTAAGATATAAATGTTTAATCTTTGATAGTACAACAGCTGCTTAATTTTTCAAGTTTTTTTTTTAAGGTAGAATGTTGCTTGCCATGACGACAAATGAAATTTGCTGCTAGGAACACTGGCTCATAGCATATTTGGAAGACAAAGTGCCTAGGTTCGCATATTTTAGGAACTACCACGCACTGGATAACGGATACCCTTTGGGCGGCTCTAAATCTTGGTTGAACTGCCTGCAGTCTGATGAAGGATTATGTATTGCAGGTGCCATGCCACCAAGGTTTCAGTTGCATGCTGAAGATCCCCAAGTGGTCTAAATTATTTCTCAGTTCTTTGCTAGTGTATGTTAGGGACACAAGGCCAGAACAAAGGGTTCAAATGAACCAGATCCTATAGGACACCTCAAAAACAGGGAGCCAACTTTTGCAGCTAAACCAAGCGTATGTCTGCAACAAAATAAGTGACAAAATGTTCATGGGATAGTCAAATGGCTTTATAACGAACGCCTTTACTATAAAAACGCCCGTTAAAAGAAGTAAAATAAAGTCCCGACCAATCTTTTACATGTGTTTAATGGGTTTCTCCGACTACAACTAATTCCTGTCTAACAATTTTCTTTTTATTGACGCAATTGCGCAGCCCCACAAAGCAAAAATGTCCGGTATTACAAATTTTCTAGGTGACAAATACTTGACTTTACGTAAATTGTCGCTCTCAAGTGACGCGTGTACAGAACAAAAATACTGCGGCAACGGCGACAATCGACACTGCCGGCGCAGCGCCTTGACCACCGCGCCCCTCCGTCATCGCTGTGCTGCACGTTCTGGAGTCCAAATAATGTTAGTGTGCAATCTTGTGTCTTGATGGTGCTACGTGACTATGTTACTGGACAAGAACGCTCGCAGAAAACATAGTCATCACTGCTCAGTTTAATTCACTTCTCAGGCCTCATCCCCTACATTGGATTCCGTTCCCCCCATTCCCACCTCATCCCTCCCCGTCTAGCCAGATGGTATCAACAAAGAGGCAACGACATAATTACCTTTTCTTTTCAATAAACATATTTACTACTATAGAAAGCCTGTATGCAGCATGCTAAAAGGTTTGTTTGGGCTAGTGGGTTATTTGATATTTGAGGTAAAAACCGTGCAACTGGACAAGGACGAAGAACAAGAACAAACGGGACTCAGTCACTCAGCGGTGAGTCCAGTCTGTTCTGTTGTTTTTCATCCTTGTCCAGTTGCACCGTTTCTACACCAACCCTACCAACGTTATTAGAACCAACTCAGTTGGGAAACTGCCATAGGAGCTTGCTTTGAAAAAATGGTTCAGACTCGTACTTGAGAAACGAACTAGACGCGATCGCAACGCTGCCATTTCTCCTGGAGCGGCCACTCCGGGAACTGCACAGCTGCACGTACCGGTCCAGTCAAGTCGCGCAAGGGCCGGTGGTGCCAACTCCCAGTGCTATTTCACAGTAGCTATATCAGGGCTGGCCGAACTGCAACTCACGAGCCTCGTGCGGCTCTAAAGGGGCCCAAGTGTGCCCCCCCCCCCCCCCCCCCCCCTGCCCGCCCCCCCAGTTACTTGTACTACGAAAATTTTTGCCAGTCCCACGGAATGCACTATAAAGATGTTTCACTTAGCCCGTTTTCTTTTTTTTGTAAGAGACAAATATTAATGTCTTGTCACTCAACCCAATTGCTGAATTTTATTTTTACACCTAATGTTGCTTTTTTTGAAATTGGCAATTGATTCACTTTCAATGCACTCTCCACTTGAAAACATTCTGATGCCAATTTTTTGCAGAAAAACATGCGATACATTAAAATTCACTGCAGCAAATGCCATGAGTGCAAACTGCTTGCTTTTAATGCCTCAGCTGCAAGAATGCTTGTGCAGTGGAAGCACTAACATGGACTACAACTTGGTTGCAGTTCATGTTAAGTGGGACACTGTGCGACATGTTTGGGTGGCTCCCTCGTATGGTTCCTATCTGCAACGTCATGATGGTGCGTAAAAAACACTGTGGAAACTTACCGTAAAATACCACTGAAGCACCCACTTCGATCAAGCACCCCCTATTAGCATTTCCCAAACTTGGGAATTCTGCAAATTATATGTTAAGCGCACGATTTGACTGGACAAGCACCCATGTCTACATTAATTCAGTTTTTACTGAAAGTGGGGTGTGCGATTCCCTGCTATTTTACGGTAGGTGGAAGCTGGGAGTCATCGTGTCCTTACACGAACACCGTCAAAGTTGGCAGTCTGAAATTCCTCGTCTCCATTAATAAATATAGAATTGATCATACTCAAGATGTCGTAGCGAGCTTTTGGTCACACACGTCGCTAATAGACACAACACACTACTTGGAGGGAAATGATTGTGCTTTAAGTTCGCAAACTGTATGGTGGTCATAACAATACGAGCTGCACTTCAACTAAAGATTAATGACTCCCGCCAAATGCCAGAATGCGGAGAACATAAAAAAGGGCAAGATGAGTACTGCCAAACGGATGTCGACAGCACCGAGAGTGGGAGGTAAACCTGCAAGATATCACAGCTCTTTGCCGCTACCATTTTTTTCATTTTTCTTGCATATTTAAGTTGTACTATCATTTGATAGACCACAAGTTTTAGGAACCTATCTGTCTCAAAAACTATAGAGGGCCCTTCATAATGTTTTCAAATTCAAATTTGGGCGTTTACGTGCCAAACCAACGAAAGGCATCTGGCATGCCCCAGCAGAGGACTGAGGATTAATTTGGACCACCTGGGGATCTTTGGACATGCAACCGAAATCTCAATTGCAATAAGTCTCCGTCAGATTGCGGGCACCTCAGCCGTGATTCAAAACTGCAACCTGGGGATCCGTAGTCCGGCGCTTTGCCTCAACACCACAGAGTTGGCCCCTTCATAATGTTTGAACCACACACTGACGAGCCCAAAGAGACCACTACCCCATGCCATACACTATGTATAATTCCGTGGAAATAAGGGGTCTCCTTGAAATATCTTAGTCTTATGTACATACAAGCTTTATTTACAGTGAATATTGCAACAAAAATAAAAAGTGCTACATTGAGGTCCACATTTCCAAATAGAACAATGAGGAATGAGACACAATGCAGAGTTCACAGACAGGCAGAAGGCCTATTGATAGCGAAGTTGATGTGACCCTTCAAGGCTCTCTCTTGAATTGCCTGGAAAACAAACATTGGTTAAATTTACACCTGACAGCATGCAGCATATTTGACCTACACTATATTATCCATAAAAATAGCATCCTTACCTTGTTGTAGACTTGTGCCATAAGGCGGTTGGCTCTATACTGCTGCTCCCTGTGCACCCTCTTCTTCTTGTCAACAACCTCGGGAAGCTTCTGGTACACCCTGGACACAAAAAAGAGGGCACACCTTTTCCTCCTTTCTGCTGCTCCCAATGTTTTGTGTAACGGTAACCATTAGCCTGCTTACAGTATACAACAGACCCAGAGTGTCGAACCAAAATCTTTATCGGTTCAGTTCGGGTTCGGGTTCACGGCTTTTGGTTAAGCTCCGGTTCAGTTCCGGGGAGCAAAAATAATGGTTTGAACCGCTACATTAGGAATATATTTTCTGTGTTGTTTTGGCAATAGGCACTATTTCAACCGTGAAACTTCATAGCTTTTTATTACTTGTACAATCCACTTTTATTTTCAGGTACCAAAAATAATAGATTGCATTATTTAATTTCAACGAAACAGTAAACTAAAGCCGAGATTAACATACAAAAATGTTGTGTTTATACGACTCAACATCTATTTGTTTATTTCAGTTGCATATATTTTACCTGACTCGAAAGGTTATCAGTCTGGTGGGTTGCCTAAATACCCTTCATTTGGTACAACTTTACATCACAGTACTAAAAGTTAAATCCAAGTTGTGCTCTTGAACTTATGAATTAATTACAGTGCATAAAATCATGGAATTGGTGCCTCCTCACCATATATATCATGAATCTAGTTTACAAAGTATGTTGCACAATATATATGACGACGACACAACTGAGCTAAAAGCAATAATATTTTCAAAATGTCACAGAAATTTTAGGACAAACCCTTGCACAGTCTATTGTTTATAGAAACACTGAGTGGCAAGCACAAGGCTTGTTTTCATGACCAACATTGTTTACACTCAGCACTGTGATGCAGGCAAATAATCATAAAGAAAAATATGATAAAAATTGTTCACTCTAATCTATACGCAACTTCGTACTCAGATTGAATCTGGCCTAAAATAGCGTGTACCCAAATGAACATTTTTCGGCATAGCTTGGCGTTTGAGGTTTGTTCTTGACAAAATGCCAGTCAATTCAATTTGCAAATAAGCATCATCCTTGCTAATTTGTTATTGTTTGTTAAAGAAAACAAGGTAGTATCATACTCTATTCAGAATTGCAGCTACTTAATTGGTCACTTTCTGGTGGTCTGCGTGCGCAAGCGTCATAGTTCCACCACATGCCCCTGTCTACTTCGTTTTTGTCCCGCCCACTGACACATAAAATTGTTATTCATCACATAAAAGAGGCAAGAACAGACTTCTATATGTTTGAGGAGTTAAACATGTGTCAAAAACACAGTTATTTAAAGCAGCTTCAAATTCAGAAATTTGTTTAAGGCTCTCCCAAATCACTTATAGACATGCCTATCGAGGATAAAAATGCTGGAAAAGATTTGCAGATCATATTTAAGATAATTTGGGGGTGCATTTAAGTTGATTGGCACTTTACTTATGCTGCCAAATCTTAAGTCAGTAATTAAATATATTTTTACTATCATCAATAAATTTGACTTATAAAGCCCCTAAAAAGAAAAAAAATTTTTTTTAAACAGTCTGGTTGGGATTTGCGTGCGATATCGACGGCGAGATTTATAGGAAATTCTGCGCGCAAAGTTCATGACGTCACGGAAAGGTTATTCGCTCTTTCGACCTCAATGAGATGGTCATTTGCTCTTTCCACCTCAATGTGAAGGCGAAGCTGATCCACCTCTCCTCCACATGCCCGAAATGCCGAGAGAGAAAACAAGTGGAAAGGAGGTGACTAAATCGCGTCTCGCGATTTAGTCACCTCCTTTCCACTTGCCAACTAAATCGCATCTCGCGCCGTGAATATTGCCCCAAAAAAATTTTTTTTTGTTTTCATAAATTAATCTTTTTACACGCGTGTCCCAACCAAACTGTCAAGTCCGGTGGTGCAAAATGCACGCTGCAGAAGGTTCGCACTCAAAGCATGTATTCGAGAGACACAAATTATGCTTGCGTGGTGCAGCGTCGTGAGGAACGGCGCAAGCGTCTGGCACCACAAGAACGCGCTTTCTGGCAGCGGTGTTTTTGCAAACAAAGTAATTTCCGAGACCACGCTTTCTGGTCTGTGCTGAAGATGCAGAGCAGAGGAACCTTTGCAACACGGTATGTTCTTACAACAACTCCCCCCCCCCCCCCCCCCCCTTTTTTTTTTCTCTTCTTTTTTTTTCGATGCTCTTGCAGAGAATACTTATTATTCCTAAGAGGCTCCCTCCTCCGTTTGACAGTGTTAATTCAACAATTATATTTGTGTCATTTGTGAACAGTAATCGTCCATTTCTTTTATTTTGCGCCCAAAAGCTGTGAAGATTAAACAAAATATGGAGGTGGTCAAAGTTTGGGGAAGAACTTGAGAACGACACTCCTGTGAGATTTAGAGCGGCTGCCACAGTTCGGCTGTCCCTCTAAGGCCGCTATGATCTTTCTTTTCAAGTATCCCTCCCGTACACACTTGTAGTGCTATTTATCATTAAATTAATAAGTCAGATTTAGTCATTTCGACGCTTCTATTCTCGGGGACAACTTTCCGAGGTAGTTCAACAACAACGAAAACATGTTTGAGTGCCTGAATGATGTGTACGTGTAAACTGGGTCGTGCAACAATTTTTTTACTTTCAGCAAATATTGCTAAGAGCTAATCCCTGACATTGATAACTTGCAAAAACACCCATTAGCTTTCCTCTCAGCTCAATGGCAGACACAGAAAATATAAACGAAAGAAACAGTTTTTTCCTGCTCAACTCGCTAATAGAACAAGCGACTGCATGATCTGACGCTAATTAGTCAGTGTTCATCATAGTCATGGACTGTGGTTGGCAAAGAATAAAGCATGGTTTAGCTTTCACACAGTTGCGTCGACTGCGTTGTGTCGTGCAGCAGTGCCTCCCTAATAGCTTGTTTTAAGGATCGCCATGGCAACAGCTCGGTTAAACGAGAGGCGGATCACACTAGAAAGCAACCGTGTGACCGAGCCTTTAGAGATTGTTAGGTTCCCATCCCATCTTCAGAGATTGTTAGGATCCCATTCCCATCTTCGATTGAACACAAACCATTACCCGAATGTTTGGCAATACCGATTGTCATGAACCCGAGCACTCACGGTGTCACACGACTTGTGGCGAGAAGTCGTATTGGTATTTGACGTCATAGTGCCAACAACGCAAATAAATCTACCGACGTTCTCAGTCGACCTGACGCAGTGAGTCACGTAACTATGTCACGGGGCCACATGACGTGAAGTTACTCGACAGCATGTCTAGACACCATAACGTCACATAACCACGTGACACATGATTAATCATAGTGCCAATACTAGAGTGCCACGAAAGCCCACAATTGCTCATTTATTTCAATTCGGTATAAGACAATTTGATCACTTCATAGAATTATAGCTGCCAGGTTTTATTTCTCAAACATTTGATTCGTAATAAATAAAAAAACATTGCCGTGAACAGTTTTGAACCGGTTACCGTTATAATTTTTTACGGATCAGTTCCGGTTCAGTTCGAAGGTGGCGGCGAAGATTTTGGTTCAGTTTCGGTACGGCTAAAAATAACAGTTTGATTCCGGTTTTCGGTTCGGTTCCGGTTCGACACTCTGAATAGACCCTTTGTTTTAACCTGTACAACTTACTTTTCAGTCTGATCCCTCATCTCCCTGTGGGAGAAGGTTCTTGGTTGCTTCAGCCCTAGGAAACAATCATGAAGCATGGTAAGGGTCTCTATAAGCTTAAAGCCTGGGGGAGAGAAAATAAACTGCAAAGAGTGTATAGACTGTTCTGCTTTTAAGTGGCAAGCAGGTGGCAGATTCGTGTGTGACAATCTACTATGTTGCCAACATGTGATCTCCACAACTCCGCTTTGTGACAAGCATTAAAACTCAATCGTTGATAAAAACACACTACACCAGTCACATGTGACCAGACCCCAACGAGGTAGAGTAGGTGCTTCACTAAGGCCAGATGCCACCAACCAAAACAATAATGGTGTCCTGAATTACAGTATAGTTATTGAGGATATGGCAAGTGTATCAGAATTAATTTATTTACTTGATGTTAGTAGTGCCCCAAAACATCCACAAGGCCTTCAAGGGAGGAGCTTCATTAAATTTGCTTCCCTAAGAGGTCATAAAATCAGTTACAGTGAAAACTTTAATGCCTCCACATCTGCCTGAACTTGCTTATTCTTGGAAAGGGAAGGTAGCTCCTCAGGATGTGATAGATTAGACAGGCTAGAGCAATCTCTCCTGTGCTTCTTCAGGGTGTTGTAGTTTTCACGAGTGCACTATCTTATGTGCTTTTTTTGTCTTTACAGAAAATCACTTTTGAGCATGACCGATGTTTAAACCTGCTTATGGCAGTGTACAATTAGTGTACAATTGGGGACAGAAGTTTCCAGATCATGGGAGCGGTGGCCGACATGCGTTGCTGCGGTGGCAATCAGTTCGTCGAACGACGTTTCATGGACAAATCGTTTCGTCGACACTGCGATGTTTCATCGACAGATCGTTTCGTGGAAACGAGCGGGTGCTCGTTTCATCGACAGATGTTGCGACGTTTCGTCGACAGCTCGCTCCGCAAGCTCCGCCGGCTGCGCCGGCTGCGCCTCCTCGCGCCTCCTTGTGTTGGATGGATGGATGGATGAAAGATGGCCGACTGGGCCAAGTATGGCGAACCAGTGCGCAGCCAATTTAAACTATCAAATTTTTTTTTGTTTATTCTTTTTTTTTTTTTGGGGGGGGGGGGGGGGGGGGGGGAAGGGGGAGGGGGTGAGCTCGCCGATTGCACTGATTTCGGAACTTACGATTTGAATGGTTTCGCTCGTGTCTTTGCCCGAACCTTTGGGGAAGCGTTGTCAAAGCCGGGAAGTTTTGTTCTCGACCCCCCAGTGTCCTTTCTCAAATTAGATTTTTAAAACATTCAACAATATGCGCAGCTCTTGAGGGCTACGCTTTCAGCCATATACGTCATCGAGGTGTCTGTACGTCATCGAATGCAACCCTTCGCGGGCTGGCCGCCGGCACTCCGACTGTTTTGAAAAAGTGGCTGGGTCATTTCCAGAGCAAGCGTATCTTTCCGCGCGTCGAGTCTTTTGGCAGAACACTCAAGAGCCACCTGAACATAGCATAGATAGTCCACACGTCAAAACACTGAAGCTCTTAAAGAAAATCTGAAAGAATAAACGAGGCCTGTTTGCGGTGCACACAGCCTTCCTACCGTTGAAAATGGCATGAAATCGGTTTTCAAGCTAATTGGCATCTGGTCTTAGCCTCTAGCAATAAACTTTGAAGGAGACTGAGCATTTTCCTACGCGTGGTTTACTTTTACGGTGATAAAACACGGTTGTTTTCTCCTCCAAACACTGGGTATTCAACGTACTGTACTTACCAGACCGCATACGATTTTTAGTCTTTAGCGTATTTAGCTTCTGGATAATGAATAACACAATAGTTCTCCATATGTTATGCCTGTACTGAAATTTTGCATGCAGATAAGCCAACATGTGACCAAAGAACATTAGATTTGGAAGCCGCTCTTTTATGAAAAGAGCTACGAACTTGCCCCAGGTATCTGTCTGCTGGCATCGATAAAATAACAATTTAATGTCGCGTGTGGCTGTTACCGACAGATTTCATCTAGTGGTACTACCGCCTCCAAGGCTTTGCATGTGGCGGCTGCTCGAGAGAAGCTATATAATGCATTAAGATGCACATTCGATATCAACTATGGTTTACTTTGTGTAATACGACTAAACTTCGTGTACTGTTTTATTTATCTGTAACCAATTATCGTGTTTGTTTGTTTATTTATTTATTTTTTGCATTGCAATAAAGTTTTTTTTTAGGTTTACTGGCGGGCAGCGCGCTCCCGGTAGTGCGAGTGTTATTGGTTTTCGTGCTTTTGTTATTTATTTATTTTTATTTGACATTGCTTACAGCCCCCTTATTGTGTAATGTCCTTTTTAATCGGCCCTTAAGGATACATGACGATGAAACTAGTGTGACTAAACAGTTTTTTTGCGAATAAGCCGCAGTAGCCAGTAAAACACTGCATCACTTTTCGTTTTGAATAATTGAAGGTAATGAACACGCTTAATTTCAATTGAAGTATTAGGGTTGTAATGTTGCAATAAAAGGCTGCGAGCTGTATTTTTGTTTAAAACTAACCAATATGAAGAAGAAAAAAACAGTGTTTACGCCCTTTTCCGCAACCCACTATTGGACCGAAGTTTTGCTTTGTGCCTACGCATATTTTTCTCCACCGCTTTTCCTCTTCCAGTAACTTTCGGTTCTATTAACGGGCATCGGAACTTGCAAATATCCGAATAGGCCGCGCGCGAAGTCCTGCGCGCTCTTGCTTTTCCATCTGACACGGATGAGAGCGAGAGGATAGCGCAGTTGCTCACCTTGGAGAGCAACTGCGCTAGGCATCGTCTTTTTCATCTGTTACAAGCGCATGTACTGTTAAATAGCGTTAAGAGGATGAATAAAAGGGTTTATGTACAATATTTACATTGTTGAGAAACGTTCTGATCCGTTGAGGCGTTCGGTATGTATTGCGTCGTTCAGTATTCGTTGAGGCTACATCGTTGCGCACTTCGTTCTCTTCGTTCTGCTGCCCCGTTCCTTTCGCGATCCAGCATGTCCTTTTCATCGCTCTCACTCAAGAACAAAGTCATAACTAAATTCCTTTCAAAACCGCAAAAAAAAAAAAAAAAAAGTTTGTCGACGAAACGTTTTACGGTGGTGCTGTCGACGAAACGATTGTCGATGAAACGTCACACTGTCGACGAAACGTGTGTCCATGAAACGTGTGTCCACGAAAAGTTGTCCACGAAACGTAATTCCACGAAACAAGTTTCGACGAAATGATAGGGACCCGCGTTGCTGCACCCTCCAATGGCGAGGCACCTGCTGTAGAGACCGGCGCTTGGCGCATCCTTCCATACTCGCAGGGATGCCGATTCTTTAGTTTCTAGCAACCGCATTGTGATTCTCAATAATTTGCTGCATGGCACCGCTTAGGATGCATCCGCGCCAAGCTGCACACGAGATCCGAGCTAAGAAGCCATGTTGGCTGGCTGGTCACGCCTATGAATCAGCGGAAGACGAGAGAAGGATTTGCCGATCTCACAAGCTTACACGGCGGCGCGCGTCACTTTTGTGGTAACTTTCTTCACCTGTGTCACAAAAACCGGCCTGGTCCCGCCGGGCCTTGTGTATTGTAAAGGGCGCCCCGTCGGCTGCCTGCGGGGCCATGTGGTCGCCGCGGGTGGTGTGACACTCCCTGGTTGGCGCTAGTTAGCACCTCGCCGGTCCCGACTGGGACCCTTACTTGACTTGTTTATGGCCTCTTCGACTCCCGTTCGGGGGACGCTTTTGCCCGATGCTTGGGCGCGGTACCACTTCGTGGAATTCGGTAATGAGTTTGCCAGATGCCCCAGTTGAGCGTTTTTGGTGTTGACTTTTGGAGCTTGGGGCAACGAATGTCTTCGCCGCTGTGACGGTCATGTTTTTTTTTTTTGTGTGTGTGTGAGTGCATTGCGATTGTAGGGGAGCAGGTGTGTTTTGTTTACTTTATTAAGAATGAGCGCCTTTTGGTTGAAAACTGGGAAACGGCGCGGGAGTCGACTTGGGAGGTTCGAGAGCGCAACCCGCTCTTCCTGTCGGCTCCGGGCGTAGCCTCGGGCACCGCGGTAAAGGGGAAGACCCGTCGGGACACTGAACGTCAGCTACTTCTGTGCTCCAACCCTATGCGACCTTCCTCTGCCGGACTGCCCCAGTGCGTCGACCGTCCGTGACGTGACAGCGTCTAAAGCCAACAACCCCCGCCTCTGGCGCACCGCGGCCCCGTCCAGACAGAGCCCGTCGCAAGCGACCGACCTCAGGTGCGTCCACGCCTCTGCGAGCCTCGTCGTGCCGGACTGCGCCAAAGTGCGGTATCGTTCCCATTCCTCTTGTTGTGTACTCTCTGTCTTGCCAATAGCTATTAAGTTTTTCTTGTATGCTTCCGCCTGATTGAGACTGTGTGTGTATTACCCTTTCACTTTTGTCACCATCGTACTATAGCCTTTATTAAATGTTTCTAGTGCTCTGTTCGTCACGTGCCTTGTCTTTGTCCCCCCGTCCCTGGAGCCCACGTACTGTGGGATAGCGGGCGTCCGAACCCCGTTGCGGTCTACGGCGAGTGCGCTTCCCCTCTCGCTCCGCACCGGACCGTGACAACCTGATAACAAACAATATTGTTCTTTATACCAATAAACTGTTTAATTACAGAATATACAAGATGGTGGCATATGAACAGCCGTCAGGTTACAAGCCATGGGTGTTCCGTCTCATGGCAAGCTGCCTACCTCACAATCTTTTTCCTCATTCAGTTCCAACTAGTCTACAGATATGATGAATGATTATTGCGCAACAGTTTTGACCCTTGCAAGAATTTTACCATGAGGTGCACTAGAAAATAGAAAACCCAAGCTCATTAAAGGCATTCTCGCCGAGCATATTACAGAATGTTGCAGAATGCCAGGAGCCGAGACGTTTAACCTTTTCGATGCAAAATAATTGTTTACTTTGACCTTTGCCAAAGAGCAAGAGTTAGAAATTATACTCATGAAAGACGAAGTGGTGTGCCAGTTGTTGAAAGCCATTCTTGAACACGAAAGGCCGGTAGCACAGCCGATGCTCCCTAGATGGCAATAATACCTCATTCACATTGATGGTTGAACTGCATTCGCGAGGCGGTTCAGACGCATTTGATGATGAAAACAAGCAAATCCGTTTTGCGGTTGCAATTTGAGCGCCAGTGTGAAAGCAGCATAAACAGAGTGGGAGACTTTCCATGCACAACCTGAGCTGGTGACGTCTTCTACGAGTCTCTGCCGCGACGCGTGCAGCAAGTCATTGCAATGAATGGTAATTTTACCAGTCATAAGGCAGTTCACTTGCACAATACATAGAGTACATGCTCACCTAGAGCATGTGCTCTATGTATTGTTTTTCAAGTGAATAAACAAATCCCAGTCTTGGGGTCGGAGTCGGGCGAAGTGAGTTGCCGCAAAAGCAGCGCGCACCGCCGTGCAAGCTGGCGAGATCGGCGAATCCTTCTCTCCCACTGATTCACAGGTGCGGCCAGCCAGGCCAGCCGGCCAGCACGGCTTCTTAGCGCGGATCTCTGGTGCAGCATGGTGCAGACGCTTCCGAAGCCGCGCCAAGTGGCAAGTTATCGAGAATCGCAGCGTGGCTGCCAGAAACGAAAGAATTGGCATCCCTGCGAGTATGGAAGGGCGCGCATGCGCCAAACGCCAGTCTCAACAGCAGGTGCCGCTCCACCAGAGGGCGCAGCAATGCATATCGGCCACCGCTCCCATGGTCCGGAAACTTTCTGTCCTTGACTGTACTTTAAGCAAAGTTCAGGATTGTGCGCATAGTGTAGCATTTCATGATTACAGAGACCACCCTGCATAAGACCCCTTAGCATCGTTTTTAGCAATGCCCTCTGGTCCTTGCTTCTCCATCTCTGTTATTTCAAATCTTTTGTTCCAAGTCACTTCTTTTGTTTTAGTTGCCTGCTTCAAAGTAGACTGTGGTACTGTGTGCAATACAACTTGACATTTCCAAATAAATATCAAGAACCAAAAAGAATGTATTAACAAAAAAATCTACAAAATGCTCACTCTGAGATGCCATTTTCTGCGCTTGCACATTATTTTTGGTGACGAAGTGCATGAGCAGTGGTGCTTGTTGATGCTGCCTTTGTTTAGCAAGTGTTGCTACCTGCAACTGCCGTGCCTGAAAACGCTGAATCAGGTGACCACAGTGTGCTGCAAAAGCCGCCTGAAATGAAGGCAAAAGAGCGAATTGAATACTGCTTCTTTTAGTACAGTTTTGCATTTATGACCACTTAAGACCAGACCAGTGAGACGAGACTTATAAGCTTCTGCACTCTACGGATTTGAGGGTGTCATGTGAATCCTTAGAATGCTTGGCTTTGGCACACTTGGACAGCTCATGACAATAAAATGTGGTGAATATTATAGAGATGTACTCAAGTTAAATGCTTTGTACAGAGTGATAGTTTTTTGACACCATTAAAACTGAAAATCATAAAAAAAGAAAGAACTGTACAGCGAAGAACACCGTAACTCTTGTAAGTCTAGCGATGATAAAAAAGTATGTGATCTGAACTGCCATTAGCATACAAAAAATTTACTGATATTTGAGCCACTATTTGAGCTGTTGAAGGTTGAATGCAACCTGCTTCAAGTAAGTCTAGTTTCTTAATTAAGCATATCCCATTTGCTTATGCACACAATGGTTACTCGAGGACAGCTAAGTGCAGATACATTCAGATTAAATATTTACTGTATAAAAAAGTTTGAGTGAGCTGGCTCTAATTTCTTTCCTATAGCTCTGGGATATTAATCTGGGGATTACTAATACACCTTTAATTTCATATCAGCTTCAGTTTCTAATCTCACTACAAGCTCAATTCTAGCAATGGGATTTATTGCTTTCTGTTTCTGGTTACATTCCTAGTTCCCGACTGAAATTTCTACAGGTTCAGTTCAGTGCATTGACATCCGTCGACTTCTAGCTTGCTATATTCTTCTGAAACACTCCTTATGTGATGAAATAACTGTGTGAATGATTCTGAACATACATTCCTCACAAGTTGGTGCAGAATCAAAATAGGTACCTGCAGGGAGAGGTCCTCGTTTGCCTGTACATGATTGCTTTTTGCTGGCGCTGCACTAGGTGGGCTTCCCGGGCATTGGACAGTCTCAAGGGGCACAACCCATGCAACTCCGGGTCTTCTTGTGCGGGACCTTTTCTTGAAAGGTGAGAGACCGGCCCGCTGCTTTTTCTTGGCAGTCGTCATGCCCACTGACACAAAGTATCTTTCCTTCGCTGCACTTTCCTGCTCACTTCCAAGCAGAGAACTGGACGTCTGCACCCCAACGCTAGAACTGTCGTTGCTTGTAGATATGCGTTCCACGCTCACTTCCACAGAATCTGAGGCTGCAGTTGACATTTGAGAAGAAGTTGGCCGGTTGTCTTCAGCCAGCAGGAACAGCTCCTGAAGTCGATTCAAGCGCTCCACCTCTCTCTGAAGCTGCCTGAGGTAGCTATTCCTCTGTCGATCCACCAGGCCTCTCAACTTCTCCAACTCCTTGCGTGCTATTCGCTTAAGTTTGCACCCCGTTCCGCTCACTGACAACGATTGTGAAGCCACTCCTTCTGACACAGTGTCATAAGAAGTGGAGGTATATCGCACACATGAGTTCCGACCCCTCCTCGCCATAGCTATGCTTCGCTTGGCACGAGTTGTGATGGGCTTGGCAGAGAGCTCCGAAGACGACGATTCGCTCACTCCAATTGACACTGAAACATAGAAAAGTAAGCTTTTGGAAGGAAGTCGTGGGATGGTGTTGTTTCTCTGCATAAGAGAACTGTAGAGTTTACTGAATATTTCTCTAGCAGAAAGAACAAAACAGTAAAGGCTCATTCACACACTTGCGACTTTATAGGACCATGTGCCTTCAAACCACTCAAAATATCTCGCGACGAGAGGACATATAGACGCCACCTATCAGGTAGATATGAGACACTTTCAGTGCCTGCATATTATTTTTTTTTGTACCACATCATTCTTTCCTTTTAGGCTCTAAGAACTTTTGTCATGTTACAAATGACCATTTCCCATAGGAAGTACATACATTTGACCTCGCCAATACCGCCAAACCTTTGCTCTAGTGAAACGCAGTTCCAGGGTCACCACGTAGATGGCACCACGCAGTGTTCTCTCGTCGTAAGCAATTTTAAGGCACTCGGCCCTAAGGAGTTGCAAATGTGTGGAATGGGCCTTAAAAGGACAAGACCCGGACGGGCACATGCTTTCACCAAAAGAATGTGTTTCTCCGTGTCTCGTCTCTTACAATTTCGTTCTTTCTGCTAGAGAAATATACCAAAATGCTCGTTACGAATATTACCAAATATCCACCGCGTTCGGTGAACTACCTGACCTTGGCGACTAGATCGTCCAACAAAGTCCCGGTTTGTTAAGTATAGTTTGTCTGTACCATCTAGCTCGGGACTGGGTAAACTCGGGCCCACAGACTACACGCGACGCTGCAGTTCCTTGCCTCATTCATTCACCCGCGGCTAGGAATGGGCGAATAGCATGCTCACCTCGATTAAATGGGAGCAAATGACACACCCAAAACTGTGACAAAATTTTGTTGCAGTTTTTGGTGTGTCATTTGCACTTTAGTCCCTACCTATGCAAAGAACCTCCAGTTTCAGCTGAAGGCTGTTTAAATGAAGACATGAAGACATCAGAAACTCAAGATGCCTTCCTGCATCCCTGGTGCACTTCTACTAACACTTTCCCTTGCACGAGTTTTTGGAGGTTTGAGACTAAGAATGATGATTGATCTATTTGGAGGATGGATGGATATTGGCTGTTCCCTTTATATTGGGCGGTAGTTTGCACCACCTAGCCTTGAATTAATTAATTCAGAAAATTTGTTTCTTTTTCTTTCTCTCCCATACTTATCATTCTTCTCCCTTTACCTCCCTACAACTATCCCCGGGCTGGTAGAGTACTTTCCAGGGCCTCTAAACTCATCAAACACAAAGTTGGGGCCGAAGGTGATGAAGCGCACCGATTGGCCCATAGAGTTATTATAATGCACTATAGAGGTTCAACTGGCGCTAGTGTGCTGCGGCGAATTGAAGCAGACAACAACCAGTCGGAAATTGAGTTCTGGTAATGTATTTCTATAGGAAAAAGTGAGTGCATTTTCTCCCTGCGTTCGATTATAAGTGCAAATATCACAAATCATTTGTATGTACAAGGTAGATTTGAACATTGCTCAGTCACGCAGACAAAATAATTAGTCAGTTACGGTGTTTTTATTTAAAATTCGTAGCATCAAAAACTGAGCTAAAATGGCTTCGTACTTGTATTTATGTGCACTGTCGGACACTGTTAGCGCGTACATGGCATCGGCACTTTCCAGCATGGGGGATATAAGTGCCAAACGAATGAAGGACATGTTGAAAATCAAGAGACGGCAAGAACTACGCAGGAACGCTGGATAAGTAACTCCTCATGCATGCAGACGATCAAAATAAAAATAAATAATTACTGCTTTATACTTTCTGCTCATGAATATGCGGGAAGATGCTTGTTCTGTGTCCAAAACATCACCCGCAGACACGAAATCTTTGAAAATAGGGAGAAGCCAAAGAACAGGTTCCCGATAAGAGATGCCTGCCATAGGAAATAATAAAAACACACCTTTCATAGCCCACATACTTTATTCTTTACGTTTCGATGTTTCTTTTAACCGCTTGTAAAGATGCACGACGGAGTTATTTTCATATAGTGTCAGAATAGGCATATTAGCAATATATAGGCACCACCGGAATGCTGGCGAACCTTGAACACACTCTACATTCCTTCGAAATGAAGTCAGATGTCAAAGTAGAGCTCTATACAAACAAGTGTGATTGGAAAAAAGACTGTGCAAAGTTACCTTTTCCACTCCTCATAGCCTTTAGGTGAGCCTCAGTTACAGGAGACCCTTTAGAATGCACCTTTTTCTTGTCTGCTGCTAAATGATCTGCAGGTTCCTGAAAGAACCTGGAGTAGAAGAAGATTGAAATGCTCTTTAGATAAAAATTCTGAAAGCCATTTTCAAATTAAAAACAAGAAAGAAATTGCATATTATGACATTTTCAATACTCACCTCCGTTTGTCTGTCACAAAGTCCCTGGAAATAACTGTGGCCATTGCTGGAGCAGTGATTGCTTGAGAAGACACTTTTGCATTTGTGAGAGCCAGAGGCCTTGTGACACATCGCTTTCTTGTGAGAGTGCTTTCAGCTGGTGCTTGCAACTTAATATTCATTTGCTTTGGTTTCATGTGGCAAAGTCTTCGTTCAGACGAAATCAGTGGAAGGCTTGACCCTAATACCGTCAGTTGATCAGTTGGCATGTCCTTTCTTCCAGCAGAAGGCTCCGTAGTTATATGTGGCAAGGTGTCCGTTTCAAGGGGTGCCACTGCTGGAACGTAGGGAAACCCGCTGCTCAACCAGTAGTCAAGTCGACGTTTGTTGAGTTCACTGCATGCCCGAGGTGCTTCTACAGGAGTGTTGCTTCTAGAGGCGAGCCTTTTGACTGCATTTGGCAACCTCATTTTCAGTCTGTTTGCCTTCACAACTGCAAGATTGCCGATGTCCGAAGGCAAGTCTTCTCCGTCAGGTACCCACTTCGTGGGTGTAGCAGTTTTCACAAATTCAGTAGTGCTGCTAATCTTACTTGTCCTCTGTGTTGCAGCATCGCTTGCTTCAGATTCACTGGCCGCACTCTTGTCCTTACGACAACTGCTGGAATCTCTAAATGACTTGCGACTGAAACTAAGGCCGACACACTTGGCACAATCTCTAGGAGGAACCACACAACTCCCACTGATGGATAACTTGTCCGTTGATTCCATGGCTGGAGAGTGTGACATACTTGATGGATTATGGTTTGTAGCATGTGCTGTACCAACTGCACTGCTGATGTGCCCCATCCTTTGAGAGCTGGTATGCCTGCTCTTCTCAGACGAGACTGACAGAGCATGATTTTGTTTTGTTGAACTGCTGGAGCCTGCATTTGCACTGCTTGAAATTGATGAAGAAAGCCTCGTTAATGGCTTTTTTAAAATTACTTTTGTATATGCTCCTTCGAAACCACTGGCAACACTAGCCTGGACTTCGGCGTCTCTAATAGGACACACTTCAGTTTGAACAACAACGTCACGAAATACTGCAGTGGGAGCATTTCCCTCAGAAAATACAGTTTCTGGCAAAGCATCTGCTTCTGAATTTGGCCCATGTAAATAAACATATGGGTACTCTAAGTTTCCATGGTGGCTAAGAACCTGCAGCCCACCCATTCTTTCAGGAAAGTGACTTTTACTGTGAGAGTCCAAGTAACCAATATCAGCACCATTGTCCCATTCCAAACGCTTGCTCGATGCATAACTAGACATTGAAGCCGGAGATGCTTTCCTAGGAGGATCTCCAGCCGTTGAGTCTTCTTGAGAAAAAGTGCCTGAATGACTTTTTATGTCTGCTTCATAGATAGAGAGATCCTGAATAACACTCTCAACAATGTCTTCAATGGCCTGATCGACCTCAAGATGAGAGTCCCAAGACTGCAAACTGGCATCACCAAAAGAAGATGTAGAGTGTCGAGGTCCATGGACATAAACACTGGCATTGGGAGGCAGTCTTCGCAAAGGGAAGCCATCAATGTGCTGTCTTCTCCTGTCAGAGTCACCCTTTCCCTGGCTAGAAGAATGTTCTCCCAGTGTTAGGGGTACAACTGTAAGTACAGACTCGAGTGAAAGGGTCAGTTCTGAATTATTGGTCAAATTGTCATCTCCAAGACCATCACATCTTGCAACAGCCTCTTGCTGAGTACTGTTTGGGGAATACTGCTTTTCTTTATGTGCTCTTCGACTGAATGTGACTGAGTGCGCTGGACTGCCTTCTCTGTGCAACTCTTCAGAAAGGGGCGCTGGATCCCCATCAATTGCACCAGATGCAATACAGCTACTGTCATTACGATCGGTGCTGCCTTGCGACGTAGTCACAACTGGCACACTTTCACTACTAAAGGAACTTGTCACAGATGTCCCACGAGATGGTGCCAAAGCCAATGCTGCCGGTGCTGAATGAGTAATGCCCTGGGGACCTTGTGACTCCATATATCTGGGTGTATTCTTGAAATTGCCTTGGCCAAGTTCACTGGTAGTTCCTAAACCATGGACCGGAGGATTATCAGATGACCCTGCGCTAAGCACCCAGCTTGCAAAGGCAGGTGGTGGCACTAAAAACGGTGTCTCCTCGTGCTTTAACGCTTGGAAGCTTGAACTACTCCTGAAATAAGTGCTGCTGCTTTCGCTGATGTCTGCATCAAAATCGCACTTTTCTGTACTCCGTCTGCCACTGCTGGCTTCCCAGGCTGGCTTCAGAACACCCACAGAGGTGGTGGTTTCACTGCTCGAGCTGGCGTCCGATGTGGCGTAGCACAACGGAAACGAAAACGCCGTGTGGTATTTTGGCGGCACAGTTGATGTCATGAACGGCTCCATTCCTCTCCTGATTTACACGTTCTCTGCGGGAATAAACAAACCGAGATAAAAAAAAAATATCGGGGCCTGAGACATGCGTAAAAAATATTTCTCCCGACTTGAAATTATATTAGAAATCCAAGCAAAATATGAGGCGCACAATTTCAAACCGTCATTTGCAACCGCCCCCACGCCTTTTAAATTAAATACTTGCAAATGTAAACAAAAAGTAAACTACTAAAAAATTTTAAGCAAAGCGCAATTTAAATGAGTGCAATAAAAGATCACCAAGATGCTTTCATGACAGAGTAAAGCTATACGCACTCCGGAGTGCGCTTCGCGCGGAAATGGCTATACGCACTCCTCCGAGAGATCATGCCGCTCGGGCCACCCTTTTCGAACGGCGCGTGAATCACTGGGGCGCTCGTTAACACAGCCCCCCGCCTGCGTTCACGCCGCTTCGCGGCGACAGTATCGGCTGCTAATTACAAAGCGTAACCAGTACACGCCGCTTCGCGGCGTCCAGCCGGCAATCCAAGCCCCGCTGTCCCCGATCGCACCTCCGGAAAGGGAGTCCGATACCATTTAGTTCTGCGAAATTTCTCGACAACATTCGATTTTTTTTTTTTTTTTTTTACTGTTCATCGCAAAAAAGGAAATGTCGTAAATATCGCCAAATGCCCCGACAAAACAAAATGTTTGAGAAAAAAAAAAAAAAAATAGGTCCACCGCGGATCGAACCCGCATCCACTTGCTTATGAAGCGGACACCCTAACCCCTATGCCACGGCGCCGCTTAGGAAACTCGTTGTGTCCACTCTTTTTATACGAGAAAAGCGGAGTGCGTATAGCCATTTCCGTCCGAAGCGCACTCCGGAGTGCGTATAGCTTTACTCTTCATGACAAGATACGCAGGAGCCTCACCTTCGTCTTGAAAACGACTGCATTATACAAACAATGCTGTCGGCGCAAAAATAACGCTGGCTTTGATTGGCTTGCTACTGCCCAGAGTGTCGTTAAATACACCTATTACATAACTGTCTCCAAAAAAGTCAAATATCTGTAGGAACAACCGATCAAGGAACCAACCAAACCAACGGTCAAAACCAGAAAGTTTGTGCTTTGGATGGATCGGGCTGGATTTTTTCTTGTCTACGTCGTCTAGAGACATAGAGGGGCAAGAGGGCAAAGCCGCAAAGCTGACAACGCTACACAAAGGGCCTACCTACATCGTGATATTGTAAAACAGGTAACACGCAGCTGAAACGGAGAGAGAGAGAAAAAAATGCATATCTAATTTGCAACTTTTATTTCTGCAGTTTTTTCTTGCGCCAGTTTTGTCCTTTCAATCTGAGGATAATGGTAATGACGTAACTGTCCTGACCCACCTGACCGCACCAACCGCACTGTCGGTGCTGTCGGGGTGTAGTAGTATGCGTAGGAAAAAATGGAAAAGACCCGTGGAAGCAGAAGCTTTTCTACGTTTCCGCATCTGCATGATAAGGGAATGTAGGTCAAATCTTACTGAATTGGAAGGCAGTCTGATGTGTTGGCAGTGTTCGATGTGCGGCTGGTGTAGCGCCCAAAAGTCCATCCATCCGAACGCCGGTCAGGTTTGCTCGGCCACCGACTGCCACGACCGTTGGTGTTTGTTGAGCCGCTCTAGTCCTTGAGCTTTGATGTGCTAACGGGTCGTTTGTCCAAGGCCGTGTTGGATCCATAAAAAAAGGGGGTCACGGAGTTTTAGCCACTCCGCGTGGGAAGGTTATTTGCAGTGATGCAAGCAGCTACGGCTCGCTGATGAGGTCCTTCACATTGTGCATCAGTAGAATTTTTTTTTTTTTTTTTTTTTTTGTGTGTGTGTGCCATGAAAGGCACAGGAGAGAATTAAAAGGGCACGGTAGTGTCATTTTCCAAACACTAGCTGTAAGGTGATACCAGAAAATGGCCTGTTTTGCCTGCATGGGGAAAATTCTGTTGAGTGCTGATCATTGCGCCGTGAGTGCCGTTTACGGCACCACGCCTGCATTCGACCTTTAGGGGAAAATGCATTGCTTTTGGCACTTTGTGGTCGAAATTAGTATGCCTACTTTCGCTGTACTTTTACGTGTTAAATTTTCTAATTTTGAGGATACTAAGGTTCCATTGAACTTTCTTCATAAGAACTAATATCTGAAAACCAAAGAATGACATCCCTGACGCGTTTCAATGCGGAGAGCAAGTCTGCTTCTTGCGCAGGGGTTGTGGTGACGTCAGAACGACGCTAATTTCTGATTTGATTCGATTAGAAGGATAGGGGGTAGACCTCAATGCTAGATATCCTGAGGTCTACCTGGGGTGCTATGTTGCGCTTTTTGCACTCCCAGGAGACTTGGAAGAGGGAAGTGACGTCAACGAGCAGCAAATGCAGATTGGATGTTGACAGAAGAAAACGAAATCAACACCCAATCTGCGTTTGCTGTGTCGTTGACGTCACTTCCCTCTCCCTAGTCTCCTGGGAGTGCAAAAAGCGCAACATAGCCCCCCTGGTCTACCCACTATTTTTTTTTTTTTTTTTTTCAATCAGCTTCCGACGTCATTGCAACCTCTGTGCAAGGAGCAGACAAACTTGTGCTCCACATAGCGTAATGGTTAGCATGCCTGGCGAGTAGTCTGTCTATAAAATATTAGAGAGTTTTAGTAGACCGTGTTTCCCCCTCCACTGCCCGGAACTCTACGGCCAAGGCCATCGGCACGCAGGCGCAGTGGCGGTTTTTTGTTGCGGAGAGTTAGCGGAGGGGGAAACACGGTCTACTCAAACTCCCTATTTAGGTTCAATAGCGTACATTTTTTGTATGTTTCTTTTGTATTTTGTAGAAGCTGTTGGCCACCACTCGAGAACATGAGATTTAAACTCAAATTTATCTTAAATCACAATCGCAACCTTCGAGAGAGTGCCACTTCGGCAAACTTGAAGAAGGGTGGCACTCGGTCGAACAATGTTTTAGCGAACAAAGTCCCGCCCTTGACTTTTCATAGAGAGACACGAAGCGGTGTGTATGGGTGGGCCAGGTGGGTTAACATTTTAGAATGAGCCACCGCAGATTGTCGCTGCCAAGCGGCGTGAGGGGGGGGGCTTAACATGTGCCCCAGTGATACACATCATTCGCTAAAACATAGATTCGTTCAAATGACTACTGTTTGCTAAAACACCATTTGCTCATATGATATGACCCATTCACGTACCCTTTTATAAAGCACACGTGCCTTCATTCTAGCCTGTTTTAGACAGTAAATGCCAGTTGACACTGCCGTTACCCGCATATTGTTACATACTTATGAGAGCTTCCATACGTTGAGACTCACCGGGACATCCATGCTTTGTATGAAGCATACGTGGGGACCAGTGGACCATCTTAGAAAGTCACCAGTTCAGGGCTTCTGGTATGAAAATGTGTGAACACACTTTCTCAAGTGAACGCAGGCACTCCCTCGACAAAGGAAGCAAGATTCTGCTGGCTATATTGGGCTGCAGTGGCCTGGAATGGGCTCTCTCAAAGTCTTTTCCTAATGGGGCTTGTCTTTTTGCCCCAAAGTTAGTTCATTCCAAGACTCTTCTTCCCTCTCCTTAATTTGCACTTTGTTTCATCCTTGGAATGAATCCTCAAACCCCGTTTTCTGCCAGGTGGTGCCAGCTATTTCTAAAATGGTGGATTGAGAAGAAGGAATTTGCACGCAACAGTCGAAGCATGGACGTACCGGTGACTCATATTGTAACTTAAGTAAACGCTACTATATCTACTGTATCCACCCTTTTCAAACAATGGTTTGACCACTAACATGTTTCTGCTTCAATATGAATTTTACAGATAATATTCCAGTCATGGCAGTCAGTTATCTCAATTACCTTTAGCTTAAAGCTTGTTAGTTATCTTTAATTACATACTGTTTCATCATACATTAAGCCCTGTAAATGTTTGGGAGGTCCCCCTAAAAAAATTTACAGGGCTTTTCTTATTGTAAAAATAAATGATGCGTCGCCGAACACTCGACCTCTGCCCATATGTTTGGTCCGAACATTTGGGCGGTCCGAACAAGATATGTTCGGACCGCTGTTTGTTCGGTCCGAACAAATAGCGGTCTGAACCAGATGGCTAAGTTTCAGAACGAACCATTATCTTGATATGTGACTTTCTGAAAATTTAAATGGAATTGCCAAACAATTTGTGTGAGAGAAGTAAAAATAATATTTTATAAAGAGACTTTTTTCTAAAAGGTTATCTTATTTTTGTGCAAATCATTGGATTCCAAAGTGAACTAAACAGATCTAAGATGAAGGTTTAGACATTGATACCAATAGATTTGTAATCATGTATGATGTTTCTATAGGTTTGCCATTGCAATGGCAACCTTTACAATGGAAATTGATCATGTTTCATCAGGTCAGTTGAGTTCTTTGCGATCCATAAGTGCAGGACCAGACACAGCCAAAAATCCACTCTTTCCCCAAATTACACTGCCCCCTTAAATAAAAAAGAAAAAGGAAAGAGCATGATGAAGAAAGAAAGAACATTTGCAGGACTTTTGTATCAGCCTTGAGAAGAGCTTCGTCCAGCCAGATGTAGCACCAAACTAGAGAGACTGTATGGTGTGAGTGCGTGTGCCATTTTCCCACTGCATACTTATACGTTTACCTATTAAAGGGACACTGTACAAGGTGGCTCATTTTTCACAATTGTGCATATTTTACAATTTAGGGATGTACATCAGAAAGCTAGAGAACCTTTTTTTTTTTTTTTCCAGAACTTTTTAGACTTGGCAAAGTGCTGTCAAAGACCAAAGTAAGATACACAAAATATTGGCAGTGTTTTCTTCAGTATTATATCTTACAACTCGGCTGTGAAGACCATCGGGTGATTTATTGTAAAATGTTATCCAGTAGCAGGGAAATATAGGCAACAATATGAAAGGGAACAAACTTCCTCACTTTTTTTACATGCCTGCAAGTTTTGGAACATGTTATGGTCCACGACGAGTGCTAGAATGGAAAATTTAGATCCCAAACTACATGCTGTTTGACAGGTTGAGGTTTGACGAAGGTTGTGGGAGCCATGAAATTGGAAAAAAGAAAGATCAACTGTTCCTTTTCATATTGTTGCCGATAGTACATTCAAAGCTCTTCTCCAAGCTACAAGCTTGTGCCAATGCTTTAAAAGTATTCTGTTCTGTGGAGTGTTTCAGTGGGGTGGCTGACCGTAATGCCCATACACAGGGTAGGTAACACAAAGCGTTGACTGCATTGACTACATAATCTTAACATTTCACGGCAAATAGAGATCCACATGTAAAATATACATATTTAGGCAGTGGTGGTAGAATTAATCTTTGTTTAAGGGTGCTAAACAGAAAATACAATGAGAATTCAAGCTATATTTTCTAGAAAACCACATTCTTTCTTCTACCTATTATTTTTATACTAATTTTTGTTAAAGAAAATCACTAGACGATTTCACCGTTTAAACATTGTGCTCTATTTCTGTTTCAAACTAATTGTTTCAAAAATTCCTTCCACATGCAGTCAAGCTGGGAGAATAAAGTCGATGGCCTACACACATGCTTGCATACAATGATTTTATTTCGGAAATTATGCATCTTTCTTTGTTCTAATGTGTGATTTGTTTTGAATTGTTATTTTCTGGTGCTTTGTTGTTGTTATTTTGTTCACCATTACCGCCAGTTGTTGTAACCCCATTTCTGCAATGACCTCAAATGAGGTCGCAGTATGTACAATTAATTAAATAAGTTGTCGAAGCGGCAGTAAAAATAGTTTGACAATCCAGCATACAGACAAAAAGTGCAAGTAGGAAGTTGACAATTGTACTTCTTTATTTCACCTTGTCCTTCCAGGTTACATGCTTCTCTAGCATTAAATGTGGCAATCAACTAATGGATTATTTTCAATTTAATCAAATGTATGTAGTACATCAAAAGTGAAATCAAAAATTAATAGTGACTGTAACAGCCAATTTACTTCTCAGAGGGTCACATCATTGATAGAATATCTTGCCCCCTCCTGAAACAAAGGTCCTGGCTATCTTTAAGCAGGACAAGCTTGCCTCCAGCACGGCGTATGCTGGAGGCAAGTGGACTCGCCTCCTCTTTTGCCTCCTTTCCAGTGTTCACACTGCTAAAGTGGAAAGGGTTTTGTGGGAGGAACTTGTCCTGCTTTTCTTAACTTGCAACAGGGTATATAAGAAATATGAGCTTTTTGATAATTACGCTATTCTGCATTCTGTGTGTTTGTGTGTGTGGTGCAATAAAATAGATACCATCAAAGAGTGTGGATTGTAATTGTTGTTAACCCTGTGCAGCATTATGAAAGGCTCAGAAACTGAGCTCAGGGATGGCACTGTAGTTTTACATGAATACTGTTGTCTTGTTCAGCCTTCCCTATAAAAAGGCAGGCCACATTATTTCAAGTCCTACATCTCAAAAGTGATTTTTTTTTTTTTTAATTGAAGTCAGTGTCAGCATTTTGCGTGTTGTCAAGCATTGCCGACAAATGACCAGAAACTTAAAACCTTGTTAGAGTCATGGAAGGGTGCTCAATGGGTTACTCTGACCTGAACAGAACATGCATGCATGCTCCAAAGTTGTGGTAAGCATCTAGAAAGGATGAAACTTCCGTATGGGTATGAACTAGGGGTGTCGCGAACTTTTGTCGAACCGGATTTTTAGGTCGAACTTTCGGGGTTCGACTGGGTCGAACCGGCTCGACTGGGTCAAACCGGTTCGACGAACCTTCAACCTTTTAACCAAATTCGCCCAGTTCGACTTTGTAAACAGTGTGGCCAGACCTTGATACAAGCATGTCTAGGTTTAGAGATCTTTTTTTTATGCAAAGGGTTATTTTAATTTTATGAACAGTTGTAATTAAAAGAAACTAATTCTAATCACTGAAGAACTTAATTTTTTTTACTGTATTAACTGAAATAACCAATCAGTGCTGCCCTTATCATCCCTTAGCCATCACTATCCATTCCGAAGCCAACTTGCCAGCCTATCGCGCATGCGCATAGCAGTCGAACCTGAGTCCAACCTTTGTCGAACTTTTCACAAGAGGTTTGAAAAAGGCAAACCTGGGGGGCTATGTTCAACAAACGTTTTGTTTCTTCTAAAAAGAAACGGAAGTGACGGAACTGATGATATCGCATATGATTGGCTAGAGGCTCAAATGACGAAAGAGGGAACTTTCGTCATTTGAGCCTCTAATCAATCGGAAGCGATATTGTCACTTCCGTTTCTTCTTAGGAGGAACGAAACATTTGTCGAACATAGCCCCCATTGTCGAACTTGAACCTTGACCGGTTCGCGACACCCCTAGTATGAACTATTCTTACCACTTTCAATGTTGCCAGTCTAAAATATGAAGAAAAAAAAATAGGTATTGCCTGGTGTGAACATGATTAAAGTTCATATTGTCACGAATAGAAGTAGAAAATGGATGTGAAACTGAAAATAAACATTTAATGAGGTGAACTTGTGCCTACAAACTTACAGTAAAGTGACACAAACCTTGCATAGGCGATGGAAGTGTGACAGTCCCCAAGTGGCAACGGTTCACCTTCATATCTAGTGCAGAACCAAGCGGTTCCGAACCAGAACGCACGACGACAGTCTAGAATAAGCTGGAACTTTCCAGTACAGTACAGAATTATTAAAGAAATTAAAACAGGGTGAGGGGGTTCAAACCCCGTTCCTCCGTGTGGCAGCCTCGTCTGTTGCCAACTCCACCATGCATGCAGCAATATGACACAAGAAAAAGGAGGTGCTGCAATATGAATTATAAAATAGTGCCCGAGATTTCAGCACAGTATTACAGAAAGGCAACATGTCCTTGCCTTGTCTTGCTTTGCTCAGATTTTGAAAGAATGGTTATAAAAGCAGTACTGACAAAATGTATGCAGTACTGTATGTCTGGAAATATAGTGCAGTATAAAGCTACATAAAGACCAATGATTACATGTAACAATTCTGAAATTGCCCCCCTCTATGATGCATACATACCTTACCAGTTCATTTGTTATACATTTCAAACAACTAGCCCTGTGTGAAGAGTGAAAAACATTTTCTAGAGCATAGATGGTGGCATTTCTTTTGGCATATGGAGGTGACCAATCTCTAGTTGTTCTTATGGGCTGTCATCTTACCATAGGAAATGTTTTTCGTTTTATTATTATTCATGACATATATCTATTTTGTATGGCAGTCGAATGGGTAAAATATATATATTTTTGAGAAATTTTCAGCACACTGTACTAAGTCACCAATTTCCATGCTCCATTTTAGATGTCATTGAAATGAGCCTATTGGTTTTAAAAAAAGAAACTAAGCACATAGCGAGACAGCCCCCTTCAGCCCAAGTCATCTCATATTGTAAACTTCCTTTCAAGACATGCTCTACACCTCAGCTTAGTACAGTTCAGAAAATAACATTTTCCCAAAATGTTCTCTATTTACTAAACCTTACAATCCGAGTACAGGTGGTGGAAAAGATGCTGTGCCCTATGTTGGGCAGTAGCTGCTGGATTTTGTACTTCAAGCAATCTATACCAAACATTTTCAAATCAAGTGCTTCCTCAACACAATCTTGGTACCAGGCTTTTGTACCCACCAAGCATAAACAATGAACCAGAAAGCAATGCAAACCACATTACTTTGCAAAACAAACAATAAAACCTCTGCCTTTGCTTCAACCAAACTAGAGACACATGACCAAGTTTTGTGTTCACTTGGCGGACCTAATTTTTCCGCACTCCTCCATCAAGTGTGAATCACGACCTGTGTGAACCAACTAACTATTTTAGTGTACTTTCTTTGAAAAGTACCAGAAACATGTATACCTTATTTTCCAAACTTTACATGTTTGGAAGTTGAAATTTTCCGCTGACATGACGAATTTCGTGAATTAAAGAGTATGTTAACGACAATTTATGTATGATACAAGCCTTTTTGTGAGCCAAGAAAGCAGCCGTTTGTCAGGGTGTGTTATGTATGAGAAGATTTTTGTGTCGACTAAGCACCAGGTGCAGACTATCAAAGCAAAAACTTATTTCTGACCCCAAATATGACCCTGTGGACTATAGTTTGGAAAATACGGTACTACCTGCGATACATAGAAAGTTTGGGGCTCTTTTAGTGCAGCTGCAATAAACCTTCTGGACTGCACATATTGAAATATCCAGAGCCGTCTGGAAAGATACGAAGCACAGAGCAAAGAAACAACAAAGTGGTGCACCAGACAGACTACAGATTTGCCTGCTGCTCTTTCCCAGCTATCAAATAGACAATGACTGCTGCAACGGTTGAACAATTGAATGCATGCTAGCACAATAGGCGGAGTATGAAGTAGTACATTTGCTTCGTAATTTACATAACATCGCCCGGAAAATAAATAATCGCGGGCTATAACTTTCTTTGTGAAACAAGCCCAGTTTATTCCCAGCCGATACTCGAGCCAACCTGCGCCGTGTGCTCCTTAACCCGGCTGTCAAAGATGGCATGCACGTCAGTACAACCCTTCATCGCGGCGTCTAGCATCTTCTCCAGGTTATCAACGTGGACCCGGGAGGACATCTCGAGTAGAACAATCTGCTGCGACTTGGGCAGTACGGCCACAGTCAATTCGGGACCCCGGTTCGACTCCTCAATGGAGCTAATGTCCACCAAGGGGACCCCGTCGATGAAGCCGACGGAGCAGGCACACACGTAGTCCTTGAGCGCGATTCCAGCATCGATCAAGGCGAGGGTGGCTGCATTCACACATACGCTCAGCGTACCGCCGTCCGACTGCAACACTTCGACAAAGATGTCGATCTGTGACCGCGGGTACAATTGGGTCAGGATGGTTGCTTCAAAGGTCTGCTGGATGTGCAGGGTCATCTCTTGAGATTTCTTGTCGCCTCTGGGCCGACGCTTCCTCTCGAATGTGCTGAATGTGGCCATGCTGAACTGACAATTGACGAGCACGCGGTCGTGGAGCGCTCGAGACCTGTTGCCCCGAGGTTCGTGAGGGCCGTAAACGGCGGCGAGGACCTTTGCATTACCCTGCTCGATATACGCCGATCCATCTGCTTGAGAGAAAACGCCTAACCGGCAGTCGATTTTTCTTTGCTCGGTAGGTTTTCTGCCATCCAGCCGATAACCTTCATCTGAAAGAAGCTCTAAGCCCGCCATTGTTGATGATTCCACACGATGACGATACCACAGGGACACGGACAAAATGCACCATGCGTGCCGCCGTGCTGCGGTTGCTGCGGTGCTGCTGGCGCTGCCGCCGGTGCCGCCACCACCGCCACTGCCGCCACCAACGCCACCCAACGACGCAGGAGGCCAGGAGTTGCCAGGAGCACCAGGAGTCCCACAATCGGGTGGGAGGGAGCGGAGTGAACAGAGTGAGGTAGAGTTACTCTAGAAGGGTGGGGCCACAGTTGGTGGGGCGATCACGTACGCAGAAACTGATATTCCTTGTGCACGATATGTAAGCTGTGTAAGCTACAAGGTCAACCAGGTCAACAAGGCGTTAAGTTCGCTAGGTCGGTTTAACTCACTTGGTTTTGTAGCATAAGAAGCGCGAAAAAAGCTCACATTTTGTCTGTTTAGTACTCGCAGTTTGCCTGTTGTCACCCTTTCTGACCCTAGTGCCTTAGCTCTAGTGGCTCTAGTATCTAATGTAATATACTTTTGTATCATTAAAATGAGTACAATGTCAGCAGAAATCACAAAGTCCCAGACTCCAGTCAGTGTATGATGGGTGATTGGTGCATACTCAAACAAGGGTAAAGTTAGTAGTAAACCCAAGGGTAAACTGGGGTAAACCGTCCCCTGAAACCAACCTCCTTGCCTGAAACGGCCTGGCCGGCCTGGCGTTATCATCTTTAAATTTCCGATTAGCTTGAATAATAAACTAGAACATTTTGTATTTCCGATAACAACTTCACCTGTGTGACTCCTGGAACTAAACAAATAAAAATAATTGTTTGATTGAGGCTACGGTGATTGGGGGATTGCGCAGTGAGGCACTATTTGTTCCATTTAGTGGCGCCATCTGACTGTTAGCGATCTGCAAAATAATGTTGAAAAGTTCGAAAAGGCATTCTGGGATAAGAATTTACGCCATGTTGGTAGTCGCCGTCTGAATCTGCTAGTATTTACATTTTGCCTGCTAGTGAAGACCTAGAGGAATAGTTGCGGTCAAGCTTGAAAATCACCGTCGTGCGCCAGTATGAGTCCAGTGGAGACGAAGAAAGCCAAGAGGAGAAAAAACAAGAAGGTGGCACGTTCGCCTGCGAAAGCTCCGATTGAAGGCGTAGGCATGTCTACTAGAGTTGGCAGTGCTAATCCCAGTAGTCGCCAAAACGAAAAGGTACAGAATCAAGTGCTTTTTCTTGGGCCTAGATGATTATCAGCCCGGTTCCACCGCCTCTTTGTAGTATTCAAACAGTTAAATATGTTCTGACGTTTTTAGCTTTCAATTTAATCTATCGCGAAACTCAAGAAACATGCCTAGTGGTGTGCAGTGCCTGTAACTGTGTAATCCTTTCTTTTTTGGTTCATTTGTTAGAGTAAATTAATATATATATATATTTTTCAATTTAGGAGCTTATTTTCTTGAGATGTTCTTAATTCTTAGATTGAGAGCATGTTGAGTAACGCCAGTAGAATAAGAAGAAAATGAAAACTACATTTTGTGGATGCGGGACTTGAGGATTGAAAGCGCATTTCTGGAATACAAGACGAGTTGGATTGCCTCATGCATTGCACGAATTGTGCCCAAATAATAATGCAAAGTAAGGGATACCTGGGTGGTTTTCTTCCCCTATCTTAAAACACTTCTTTCTGGTGCTGCATGTAGTATGCATACCGCAGGCTATTTTTAGTGCCGTGTTACGGTGTTCTAGTGTGTCCTGCAAAAATAATTCTGGTCCACCAACTTTGTCAGAATATTGTGGCCCATTACATTTATTTTCCGGCATTCGCTACCTCATTGAAACCATTATAGCACTAGACGTTGAATTCACGCGCCCCGGCTATCAAACATTGCACGTGCAGCGGTCAGTATTTTTATTTATTTTTTTTTCGCGCAAGGGTTACGCGAGCCGCATCGTATTGCTGGCAATTCATTTTTGCATAAAATCCTAGTACTTACCTTCCATGCGACCAGTCTAAGACTGTGTGCAGACAAAACTAAGCTTTGAGTCTTCCCCTGCATTTGAATGAACTCGTTTGACCTCCACCAGTTCATGAGCTGCGTGAACTGGTGATTCTGTCATCACCAAATGCTACTTTTATTTGCATGCTTTAGTTTTGACTAATTAACTTGGGATGAGTCAGTGAATGTATATATTTGTGGAAGTGTTGTGTGGTTGAGTTGTTTGTGTTCAGAACCTTTGTGTGTAGTCTGGTGTAAGAAAGACATGTAGGTTTTCTGATCTGCACTGATAGTTTGCATCTCCATTGTTGAGATTGACTTCTGTTACATTTTTTTTTTTTTTTTTGTGTTATACATGAGCTTAGATATTTGGAATGTTCATCAAATTATGCAAAACCATTTTTCTTTGTGTATTTTTTTGCAGCAGATGCTTAATGTGTGCAATAGATGGGCCGTTATTGATAAAGATAGCAGGGGTGACCCATACATTGCCTTCGTTTGTTCTGGGCCACACCGTGCACTTGTTCAGTACATACTGCACGACATAGGAGAAAAATGTTTCTGAAAAGGGCAAACTTACTGATGGTGACGCAACATGTTTAGCACTTGAAACAATGAGGAGGTTCAACAAATAGCACAAAACAGTTCGAAGGACCTTGCCCGTGTCATTTTGTATGTTTCATCAATCGTCATTACCCAGGAAAACGTGTTTTCATAATCTCGCATATATAAATACCTCACATAATCTAACACGCCTAACAAAACTAATGCCAAAACATGTTCATGAAATCAAGTGGAATTGATCATAGAATGGATGTTGAGTTTTATTGCCTTGTAATATTTCGAGAGAAACTTGCCCTCGACAAATTGCCTAGTAGTGTTCTTTTCTGTCCAGTCTTTTATTCCAGAAATGAAGCGTAGAAAAATAGGCCACCCCTAGAAATTGCATTATACTTGTGTTTAGAAAACTTGTGCTGGGGGTGAGCTATCAGAGTTTTAACTATAACAGCAGTTGCTCCTTTGTCAACTTAGAAGACGAGAGAGAGAAAGTAAACAAAGTTCTTCCTTTGTCTTTCAAATGACACAACACTTGTCTCGACAGCTGATGTAGGCGTGCAAGGGTGGGCATCCAAGTTGAGCATTTTACCCAACTCTTGGATTATAGACCAAAAGCTAGCCCACTTTCCTTTTGCACTAAATTTGGCCTCCTGGGAAAGGGGGGGGGGAGGGTGCTATTTTTCAGGATGTCACGGTATTCCTCTTCTATTCTTGAGCATAGCCGCCATGGCCAATCAAAAACTGGCAAGCCTCAGCTTCATGTTTAATCAATGTGCAGAAGTGCATCCCATACGCTTTGCAAAGTGAATTATTTTGCCACTTGTACAACAAGCTCAAAAAGCCTGAGTGGCAGCCCACGTTGGGAAACATTGGCTGCCACTCTGAGGCATCCTAGAGTCTCTTTTCAAGCTCTTTTTACCGGCTGTGATTGCTATCATGCCTTGTCTGGAGCTACTATGCTCTGTTTCACCTTATAGTGAACTGTGGCAGATGCTACGGGCCAATCCAGTGCCATGAATGTTTCGCATGACTGCGCAACCTGCACGTCGCTGTGCCCCCCCCCCCCCCCCCCCCCCCCCCCGAAAGCCATGTGACACTCTCACGGCATTGGATCGGCTCCAATGGCTCGTAGCGTCTGCTGTGGTACATTGTAGGTGAAACGGAATGTAGGAAGTAACATGCGAGCACATTCTTAGTCTTGTCATTTCGTGTAAGTACCAAAGTGTGAGTCATTATCTGGAAAGCAAAAGTGCAAAACGAAAAAGTTGACGGGATATGAAAAAAAAAAAAAAAAAGATTGCTTACTGCTCTTTCATTGAATGTGAGTATCTTGCCTTTATGCAAGCTGTACTTCTCTGTGTTGCCTTATCTTTGCTAGGGCTTTCTTATCACCTTGATACCTTGCTAGGCTGTGCAGCTTCATACCCTGTGATATGGTCAGAGAGTGTGCGCTGCTTATTGGTAGCTTCTTTTAAAGGTTAGTGCTTTGATGCATGCATTTGAAGCACTTTATAAACCGTTAGAAAGAATAACAAGAGCCATTCGTGCCGCAAGAAATTGTAGGAATGACAAATTCTCTGACAATGTGGTTGATTGCCTCATACAAATTCTGTGCTAGGGCATGCGTGCTCCTGGTTCTGAGAATTTCAGAAGAGAAAATATTTGTTCAGTTTCTCGCACATGTGCAGTGTGTTTGGTTTGGATTTAGTTCCAATCATTGTGTTGGAAGGCATTGACTTCAGGCTCAGGTCTGATAAAACGCTAGATGAGTAAGAATTAAAATATTGCAACCACCAGCCACCTCGGTGGCTCCGAGGCGAGAGCGTTGGCCTACGGATCCCCATGTGGCGGGTTCGAATCCCGGCCGAGGTGCCCGCAATTTGACGGAGGCTTATTGCGGAGAAGACGCCTTGTAACCAAGCTTTCGATTGCACGTCAAAAGATCCCCTGGTGGTCGAAATTAATCTTCAGTTCTCCGCTGGGGCGTGCCAGATGCCTGCCGTTGGTTTGGCACGTAAAACCCCCAAATTTGATTGCAACCACCAATGCCACTTGATCAGGTTTTGAAAAGGATTTGTGGTACAGTTTATAACATTTTGGAAAAGCCCTATAAATATTTACATGTCTCTTAAAGTTAGCTTGAAAAAGGGCACTGAAGTGGTTGTCGGTGTTTAAAGGAAAGCTGAAGTGGTTTTCGAATTGGAAAAAAACAGTCTAATTACAATCTTGCCATAGTTCTGCCCCTGCTGCCACCCAAGGGCAGGAGAGGAAGACTAGTCAAAGTGATGTCATCAAACGAATTATCTTTTTGAACTAAACTAGCCCAGTACCTTTTGGGTTACCTCTGTTGTGCATTACAACCATAAATTTAAAGGAAAACTGAACCATAAAAAAACAAAACTGAATTAGGAGCAGTCTGTTGTAGCTTTTTGTCTCCTGAATTTGATTATCACACTGAATTCAGGCAGAATTCAACGTAAGCCACTTTTATTCTAAAAAAGGAGCAGACGTCGCAGGGCATGCAACAAACCTCTGTGCCATTTACTATCTGTCAAAAACATTGACATCGTTGTCAGCATCTCCGAGCCAGCAGAAAGGCGGGCAAGAGTCACCTGACACCACTGATGACATCTCTTTCACTAGTCTTCCTCTCCTTCTCTTAGGGGGGGGACGGCAGGGGTGGAGCTCTGGCAAAATTGTAAATTGTAATTGGATCGCTCCTACTAATAACACTTTACACAGATTATTTCTAAGGTGCCTGCACTTAAACTTTGTTTTTCCAATTCGAAAACCACTTCAGCTTTCCTTTAAACACCGACAACCACTTCAGTGCCCTTTTTCAAGCTAACTTTAAGAGACATGCAAAAATTTATAGGGTTTTTCCAAGGTGTTAGAGACTGTACCACAAATCATTTTCAAAACCTGATCATGTGGCATTGGTGGTTGCAGTGATGGAAGTGCTGCGCCATTTGCACCAAACTGCGCCATGAACAAAGGTCTGCTACATCTTGTGCCAAAGCGTCATTTTCGCTCAAAATTGTGCCATAGCTATGCGAGGATGGGCTCAAAGCAAAATGTAAAAATAATTTAATATTGGTTGGCCCTAATATTTAGAAAAGTAGAAGCAAAAAACTGCTATGAATATATTTCATGGTGGTCTCTACTCGCCATATAATTTGTTTCATCTTAGGTCTGAGCACAATCGAAAGCTCGAACGGATACAACCTCGAACAAACATACTAAAAGCACGAGTCACGGGGCATTCACTGCACCCGATTTGTTTAGCCGATGAAAAAAACACGCACAAGAAGATGAACGCCATGATGTTGCGCTTTTGTGCTGTTTGATTGGTCCCATTGGCTTGTAGAGTCGGCTGTAGTGTCGACTTCGGGTGAAACAAAGTATAGGGATTGCTGGTCAATCGCTCTCGCCGGTTGATGCGCCGGCCAGTTGATTCTCGACATCGTCTACATTACCAGACGATGTCTGCGAGGTCAGGAACTAAAAAATCTCGAGAAAACTTTGTGAACTAGTAGGATGGTGGTATACTGTAATAGGACAGAACCAGGATCTCGTGGTCCGGGTGAAATCCTTCGATTATCATGTCTGCCACATGCCTTTGTGTCATGGCTGCAGAGTACCGTGGCACTTGCACCGCTCCCGTCAACCTTTTCCACATCTCGCCACACGTGAGCGTGCATGCGTTGGGCTTCACCGCTTTGCACCGGAGTGCTAGGAGCAGCGGCTGATTTGTTGGAGGGTTAGAACAATAGGCACTGAATTAATTCTGAGGATTATTACAGATCGACTTTCTTTGTCTTTATTGCATATTTACCCCTAATGGCAACTAAAAAAAAAAAAAGACAGCCGACAAAAAAGTTAAAAAACAAACAAAAAAACACTGGTCTCTATTTTTGAATAAACACGGTAGTTCTTGTACAGCTGCTAAATGAAGGAGCAGAGAAATTTCAGCTAACTCTAGTTCCAACGCCGCTGAAGGGCAGTGTCACATTTAAAGCACAAGTATAGGCTTTCATAATATTTGTCAGTGGTTGTTTTTGTAGTTTATGATATTAGAGTTTTGAGTATGACAGGTTCATAAAACTTTGGGGACGCGTTTTTATTGGTTTAGTGGATATGCTGGTTTTTGCTGGCATTTTGCAGAAATTATATTTACAGACCAATTAAGCTACCGAGTGTAGAACGGGGATGGGAGGGAGGCTTTATCGCAAGTGAAGGATTGAGCTATGATTTATTTTTCAATCATTTTTAGTACTCGTTTTAAATGGACCCCGCTCTGACCAGAGCCTTATTTTAAAAAAAAAGGCTATCTGTTTCTTTTGCATCCTATTTATTTTTAGCACAAAATGTGATAAGCAATATCCTTCAGTATCAAAGAGGAACTGGCAAATATTATCATAGACAAACTTGTTTAGATATGCAATCCTTTTTTTTTTTTTTTTTTTTACATTTGCGTCTGCTCCAAAAGCATCAGTGGCTGCTCCATACCATTATTTTGAATGCTACAGAACCTGCTACAAAATGTTCAAATGCTGCTTCCATCACTGTGGTTGCAAAATTTTAATTCTTGCTCGTCTAGTGTTTTATCAGACCTGAGCCTGAAGTCCATGCCTTCCGACTCAATGATTGGAACTAAATGCAAACCAAACGCCAAGACAGCACTCTTAATAAACAGTGGACAACTAAGATGGGGCATCCCCGGTTGCGCGTTGTCACCTGTACGTTGCGCAAGGTAGATCTACAATGTTTGGTTGTCAGAGAAAATAATGATGCTATTTGGATTTGAAATGTGTGTTTTGATAAAATAATAGAAAAATTAGCAATGCCCTGGGAGGAACCAAACTTTTATTTTCTATGATTCTTGAGGTGAAAACAAGTATGGGTGTTGTACTTTTTTTGTAAGAGGTCTATCCTGTTGTCTTTTTGTGAAATTTAGAATATCTCTTCTTTTTTTTTTAAACTGAAACATTATTTTTGAAAAGAAAAATGAAAGGAACATTGTCTTCAGGATAATTTTATCAACTGCAGTAAATGTCTGAACATGATTTTAATGCGGTAATTAGCAAACTAATGACCTAAAAATGTACCCCTTTTTAAACATTTGTCTTAAGTGGCACATTCCATTCAAGTATTTGGAGACCGTCACCGCACTAGGCCATAACAGAAAAATTACAGAGTTTGGGAAACTAAATTTTGTTTCAAACTATTCGCTGGCAAGTTCAAGCTATCGAGGGCCCGAGATAACCACAAATAAGACACAAGAGCATTGAAAGTCCGATCCCAAAGAGATGTTGTACTCCGTTTCACCTTACGTACTAGTGTAGCGGATACTATGAGTAACCTAAGGCCATGCGAATGTCACGTGACCATGACGGGGGCACAGCGACAAGTGGAAAGCGTATTATGGGCTACGTTCACAGAGCGTGATTGGCTAGGATGGCTTATAGTGTCCACTGCGTCCTGACGTTGGGTTATAGTAGCTGATGGGGCTGCAGGTGGCGAGCGATTCAGACTCAAAAATGTGATGGGGTTGCAAGTAGCAAGTAAAACTCAAAAATGTCACAATTTTTTTTCTTTTTATGGTAGGTTTTAGAAAACTTACCGTAAAATACCGGGCAAGCGCTCACTCAAAATTTAGAGATAATCGTGAAAACATGGGGGATGGGCGCTTGTCCGGTCATCAGTTTTACATATCAATGTACTGCGCATATATTCTTAGATCTTACAAATTTGGTTATGGGCGCTTGGTGTGGTATGGGCGAATGCACGGTATTCTACGGTACATTTGAAACTAAATAATGCTAACCATCTTTTTTCTTTTTTTTAATTTAGCAAATGCATATTTGCCATGTCTCCAGTATTACCCCGGAGGCTCCCGAATTTTGACCATTTCGTACGGTTGTTAGATTGATGAGAAAATCTCCCGGAAAACACAAATTAACCCCCTGCCTACACTTGAACAAGGAGTTTTTGTCTTTGCAACAGACGGCAGTAATGATAGCGAGGAAAACAGAGGGCAGCAATGATAGCGAGACCCAGGTGTATCTCGCTAGCATGAGCAGTGCAATACAAATGTAATGAAGTTGTCCTCATGTAAATTCATTGTCAAAATTTCTTTAAAAAAAACTGCTAACCCACCCCCCAGGCATAGGAAATTTCCCCGATTTGGTTTCTCTGAACTCTGAAGGTATGCAAATGCCATGAACTCCTGTGACAACATCTACAAATCTGCTTGAAATGTGTCGGCTAAGAAAAATATTTGAAGTAGTGACTAGTGAGTTTAATGTGATTATTTTTGTAATTGCCACATTACACTCATGCCCTGACGTCTGCATCAGTCGCTATCATTATCTCAGAATAATAATTTTTTTTTTTTTAATTTCAAGTGCTTTTTTTTAAGATAATTTTTGGTCTAGCATGACCTACCTAGATGACCGACATGATCCTTTACATAGTTGTGCTTTTTGAATCATATCTCTTCAGGTTTTAAAAAAAATATTTGTGAAACTTCAAGGCGATATTAAGATGAATGATATCTATGCGCCGAGAAACTGAGAGAGGGAGGCGAGAGCGTGCAGGGACGTGAGAATGCTGAACTCTGGTTGGAATAATTAGTTGATAGACCTAAAGCTAGCTGCCTTTTTCTCCACTGCACTCGTCGAACATGTTGAACGCAAAACGCTGGCGTCTGGCGTTTGGCTTTCGCATTTGAATGCGTTCGACAAAACAGTGGGGACAAAGGCGGCCTTTGTCGCCACTGCTTAGTTGAACGCGTTGAAACGCGGAACACTGGCGTCCGGCAGCTGGTTCTTGCATTTGAACACATTCGACAAGTGCAGTGGAGAGAAAGGCAGCAGCTAGCTTTAGGTCGACCAACTAATCATTCCAACCAGAGCTCGGCGTTCTGATCTCCCCACGCGCTGTCATCTCCTCCTCTTCCTCACTTTCTCTGTGCATTCACTTAGTCGTGTTATTCTGTGGGAGGTGGGCCACTCTGCAAGGAATCTTTGGACAAGTGAGTCTCCTCCTGTGTGCGTAGTTGCCTGATAAGCTTCTGGTGTTGGATGCTTGTTTCAGGATGCAGATCCACTTGGGTTGCCACCAACACTGACTTCTGCTTGTGGACCTAAGGACAGCCTGCCTGCTTGCATTATCTGTTCCAAACCCTACCCAGTTGGATCCCCCACTGGTCAGTCTTACTATAGCATTACTGCAGAATATAAGTTTAGAATATTTGTGGCTTCTTTGAGCCGTGTCGACCTTTTTACTAGGGCAGTTGCCATCTTGAATTTCTGGAGCTTTGCTATGCGGGAAAACTTTTTCGCTCTTTTCATGCGACCGCAAGGTGTTCACTAGTCACGAGATAGGAGCCCAGGGTATCGTATTCCTTTTCTCTTTGCCAGCAATCTTTTTATTTGTTGTGGTTGGCAGCACAGTCGTTACACTAGGGTCTGGAAATTTGGATCCATTCTGAATTTGCTACATCTAGATCGCGGTGATGCATCATGAAGCATTTCTTGTTCATTTCAGTGACTAAATCTGCATGTGCAATCATCTGCTCACCTTTTCTAATTTGCACCAATCTAAAAAAAAAAAAATTGTCTTTTTTTTGGTTTTGTTTTAAGACTGACTTTTTAATTCTGCCACCAGTGCCAAAATTCAGTGCCACGAGTGGCGCCACTTAGTGGGAACGTTGCACCCATGTACTCATTCACCTGGCTCTTTTTCATCTGAGAAAACATAATTTTTGTCTGAAAACAGAAGTGAAAAAGCAAGTTTGCAAGTTCAGTTATTAGGGATTGATAAAGCTTGGTTGGCAATTGGATAACTGACCAGTTGCAGGCAAAGGAAAATGTCAGTGTATCTGAAATTGTTTTTATAAAACCTCGCTACAAATTTCAAAAAGTTCACTCGTAGTAGAGTGGCCAAGAACAAACTCCACTGGCAAATGGTTTAAGATGGCGTTGCCCTGTCCACAATAAAGGGAGCTTTGGAACTCTGGAAACCCATCCAGTGACTCTAGTGTTTGCGTTTAACGTCTACTTTTGCCTCTTCTACATTTACTTATTAATGTGAAAGCCTTAACTGTCTCATGGAGCGAGCCGACGTCATCAGCTCTGAAACCATGCAAAACGGCACCTTAATGAATCCACGCGCAAAGCTAGCCAACGGCACCTTTTACGCTTCTGTCCCATTGGCTGGCATGTGTTGACAAGGCTCCCATTGGCCGCTGCGCGTCAGTTTGTGAGGTGTCATCCTGACTGTGTTATCACACTGTTGTGCTATCACTGATCACTGCGTTTGGCACGTGGCAATATATACGACCCATAGAATAACCCAAGGGGTTCGTTCTGCTGGGAACTACGTTGCTGTCTGTTCGTTCCTCGCGCCGCAAGGCTCGCGACAGTTTGAACAATCGCTCACCCGATGGCGCTGCGTGTCCGCGAGGCAGCGGCTCCACCATTCCACGCCCAAGGTCAGCGTGTTGCATGCCGCAGATTAAAGAAGGGCGTTCTTGCTTTCGCATTCACAACTCATAAGAAGTGCTTAGGTGTACCTTGAGCCTTTTTGTTCCCGTGTTATAATAACTTAATTTTGTTTCGTCCCAGACATTAGATATGTAAACTACAGGGCAGGGGGCAAGGGTAAAACAAAAAAGTCCATAGTAATAGGGATGAATTTTCCTGTTTTTTCTTCCGTGAACTTGCGTAGTGTAGCCACTCGTAAGCTTCATTATACATTTTTTGTTTGGAGTGTGCTTGGTAAGTGTGTTTGTCCTCAGACGCATACTGTGATGAGGAAACAGCCAGTAAGCATTTTTTTTGTTTGAGCTGGGGAATGTTTAGTTGGTATCGCAGTGAGGGGAAACCTCTGTTGGGCATAGGAAAATGCTCTTTACTCTTTCTAGATGTCTCACAAAAAACAAATCTTAAAGGATGATGCAAACAGAAAGGAGGAAATATCCCTTCGATTTTAACGCCCTTTCCCAAGAAGGAGGAAATCGTTCCTCCTTTACAGGGGGATTAGCTCTAGGACCCACAGGAATTTGGGTGGAGAGAAGGGAAGAGCCCAAGATAAAATAGGAAGTGGGGGGACGGGTTTTTAACTTGGCTCTTGCTCAGAAGTGGTAAGGGTTCCCTGAGACTTGCCTGAAAAATATTGTCTGCTTTGTAGATTGCCTTGTGTGATTTTGGTTGCTTCTTCTTTCTTCCTCTTGGTGGTTGCACCCTCATCTAACCTAGTTTGTTTTACCGTGTTTGTTGTCAGGGTTGGAAAACAAAGATGGAGTGGATTTTTTTGGGCCGGTAAGTTGAATTTGCATACTTCTCAACAATGTTGCAAAGTTACTTTTGTTTTACTGACTTATAATTATTATGTGTATTTTTAGGAAGCTGTTTGGGTGTGCAGTGAATGCAGAGATAATCTGCCTTCGGAGGAACTCTTAGGTGAAGATGTAAGTGGAGCCTAATTTGCCAGCATCACAGTGGCCTTGCTTTTTCTGAAACAAGTTTTTAGTTTCTCAGAATATTGGAATGGAACTCCACCAGATAGCAGCAAACTTCAGTAGCAATGAGTTTTTGTTTGTCTGTTTTAAACTTTTTTTTGTGCAGCTTGTTTTTTGTTTTCTTGCATTTGAATCTGGTCCCTTTCTTCGTGGTTTTGCCTTGGTAAAACCTGGAAAATATTATTCATATTGAAAGTTGTATGAATGAGAAGTTTTTATCCTGTTTTACTACTGCAGTTGTTATTGAGAGAGCAACTTCATTATTTGAGTCATGAGTGCCACGGACATTGTTTGGCTTGCAAATTTCATTGTGTACAGTTAGCACATTGATGTAGGTGGTCGGAGGCAGTATGAGCTGCGTTAGTGTAGCAGGTGGGCAGAGAGGTTGAAAGGCCCCGTTTGGTGGAGAGACTGACAACCAGCTAAAAGATGGACCAGTTTATCTGAGACCGTGATGCTTGTCTTTAACTTTGTTTTTTAGTTTTTATTTATCGTGCTGAAATTTAGTATACTGATGTATTTCTCAGTGGTGATTTCAAATCTGCAATTAGTTTTCAGATAGCTTTATTAGATCCTTAGTTATCAATAAATTTGTAATTTTAATTAGGTCCTCCTTATAAGTAGCGTAAAATACTTCAGAATATATCAGCAATTTTTATAGAATTGCATTCACCAAGACATGCTTTGTGCGGTGATGCTATATTTGTTGCTTATATGTCGTACAATAATTTTAATTAATTATTCTAAAAAAATATAGCCTCCCGTTTTGGGCAACTTGATTGCAAATTGTCTTTTTTACCAATGTAATATCCTTCAATCAGGTTTAAAATAGCATCACTGCACAAAACATGTCTTGGTGAGTGCAGTTCTATAAAAATTTCTGATATATTCTGAAGAATTTTACGCTAATGGCCTGTAAGGAGAACCTAATTGAAATTAAAAATTTTGATAACTTTGAATCTAGTAAAGCTAATTGCATATTTGAAATCCCCACTGAGAAATACATCCGTATAATTTCAGCACGATAAACGAAAAATAAAGAACAAAGTTAAAGACCAGCATCCCCCCTTAACAGCGTAGAGGGAAGTGCAATGCACCATGGGGCGCGTCAGCTTGCCTGTCTGTCCGCTGTGCTGGAGTAGCTCTAATTGTCCCTTACTATATTCCTTGGTATCCTAGCATGTTCGGCTGTTCCACGTATTGGTACAAGATATGACTGCATCAGATAGGATGATATGGGGCATTCCTCTAAGTTGGTGTGTTTGTTGATTGCAGATTGATCTGTCTGCATTGAGGGATGGCACCTTGCCTAAGGAGCTGCTGAACATGGCTGATGAGCTAGAGGCCTCAGCGTGCATGTGTGAGCCGTACCCAGGCTGGAGGTGAGCAGACTAAATGCAGATGATCTTGGGCAGTAACTAGAATGGGAGCCTTTGGCATTTCTTTGTGCCCAAGAGGCGTGCTTGATTTCTTTACGACCATCCATCTGTTTAGAGCAGCAAGTGAATGAACAACACCGTTTACGAGCCATGGCAACCTATTTTTCTGTCAGAAGGTGGCAGAGGTATTAAAGGAATGCTATAAATCGGTGCGATAGCCTTGTCGCACAAACATTAAACTGTATTTGCCATACTAAATTTTTCCTCCTATTTTTAAGATCTGGAATAGTTGCTATAGAAGATAGAGAAATTTGTTTTTTAGGATTTTACATAGTTCGATGGATCTGACAGTAATAATATCTAACTAGATCTTTTTTTTTTTTTTTTTAACACTCAAATTGGGACATGCAGTATTGTGTCTTTTGTACTTCGATGTTCAGCCATCGCCTTTTAGTATAGGGTAAACGTCTGAAAAAGATGAGTATTAGAACTTGTGGTGGGATCACTTCTGAGGTGAGAGACCTAAGTCTAGTTAGTGAGAATGTTGCACAGCTAGAAGCGTCATTGCTACTAAAAGATGTTTAATGACTCCCCCCCCACCCTCCCCCACCCACTAGAATGTTCTGTTTGACTAGCATCACTAGGCTTGCTGCCGATCCAGCTTGTAGCGAGAGCACTCTTTGCTGTGGAGGCAGCTGCAGTCTCTGCTTGCCCACAGGGCGCCGGAGGCAGAGGTGGTGCGGGAGCAGCAGGAGCTTCGGCAGTGCTGGCAGGGTGTGAAGCAAGCCCTACACCAAGCCTACCAGCAGGCAGGGCTGAGCCTGGGCGAAGCCCTTGCCCGGCAGGTAGCGGCCTTTCGGGACGAGCGGGCCACGCCCTCGGAAGCCCAAGTGCGCAGCATGGTGTCACGCTTGCGTCGGCGCGACCCCCATCGGCTTCTGCAGTGCCTCAAGTACCAGGCGCAATTGTTCATTGTCGAGTCACGCCTACGCATGTTGCACCATGTGGTGGCTTCCACCACGTCGACGGAAAGCTCCCACGGGTCACGACTCGAGGACTCGCTCGTCGCCGAGTACACCAAGCTGCGGCACGCCTGGGAGGAATTGAATCCTCTGCTCGAGGAGCTGGTACGACCATCCCTTGTGACCCTCACTTTTGGCTGGTGGGCTGTCTTTTCAAAAAAATGGGGAACATTATAGAGACTTTTTAGTGTTGTGTCGTTTACCCGCAGTCTCAAGGTTTTTTCAACCATGAACATGATTTTTTTTTTTTTTTTTTTTTTTTTTTAATCGATTGCTTTAAGGAGCTTGTGTTGTAGAAAAGCCGACGTCGGCAGCGGTGAGATGGGAAAATCCTGATTGGTCGATAGGGTCACGACGTCGCAGCTGCATGACCTCGCACGGGAATTTTAAACAACCCCCACAACGCTCACGTGATGTCACGTGTGGAATGAAAGTGATTAAAACGTGACCTGTAATGCAAATTGAAGGTCACCTTATGTCTCAAATTATTTCCTTTATAAAGTAATCAATATGCCTTAAAGAAAAAATTTGAAGAATTTTAGGCGGAGGCAGGATTCAAACTAGCGACCGTTCGGTTGCGAGCCAAACATGGTACCAACTAGGCCACGCAGACATGCTTGCAGTGCTTGGGAACTAGCGGTGGCTTATATGTTTAGCTATCACGTTCCACTCTTGCTTAAACGTCCTACTGTAATTTTTTATTTTTTTATTTTCAGTGCTTACATTGTGTTTTTTGGCTTGTCACTTAGTGCACAATGCAGTTTATTCACTAGTTGTAAGGGCCAAGCTCTATACAGGGTTCTTGCATTTAGTCGCACTCCACAACTAGTGGCACAGCTAGCCACAACCAAGCGGGTTGTATTTTGTGTACCATTTATATTTTAAGGTTGCTTCCTCGATAAAATTTAGATGTGTGTCCTTCTTTAGGAGGGGATGTAGAGCCTTAGCCAGTAATTGAAATTGCAAGACACTGGCCATGGCCCATGAGGTACACCCCCCCTGCAATATGAAAGACCCATTAGAGAATGCATTTTAAGATGGATCTGCCAAATTCGCTTTGACAAGGAAAACATTTTTTAGTACAGATAAATTAATTAATCTCTGTTCTTCCCCCTCCCTCAAAACTGTGTCTGGCATGTGTGGGCTTAACACCAATGCATAAACTGAATAGGCGAATGAATCTTTCATATTGCAGGGGACTGTACTAGCGGTTCCTTTGGCAGGGAAGTAGTTCAACTGAGATGAGATGACATTTGCTTGCAAGTGTGGCAGTTCCTGTTAATTTGCTCGGCATGTTTGGTTTCAATACCTGAAACAAAACCTCCTCAAGCTGTCATTAGGCACTCCTCTTGTTCTTTTTTAATGCTATCTAACAAGCATTTGAGATCAATCGGTTCAGTTTGGGTACCTCAAAACGTTTTCAGGCTTCCATTGGGCACTGCTTTATCTAATATTTGTGTCCAATGAGTTATTGATATCAACCTAGGAGCTGTGCAACAATTTCCGTGCTTTTCTTAAATGATTTGGGAGTTAATGCCTCAACCTTTTTGAAGTAAAGAACAAAAAATCACTTGCCTGTATGTCCTAGTTTTTATTTTAAAAATAGACAAAGATTGAGGTTTTCGGCACCTCTCAACTCCTTCACCATCTTCCGAGTCAAGTGCACTGTGACGTCAACGGGGGTTACGCAGGGTTCCGCTGAAGTCTTCTCTTTAGAGCCATCTGTGAACAGCGAGAACTCATTCGCTCGCGACCGCATGACCACATGCTGGTGCAGCGCGAACAATATTGTGAAAGGAGGAAAGTCTTATCCGGGTCCGGCCATCCCCGTCCCCCTCCGGCTTCTGGCGGCTGTTTGCAGTAGCAGATAGAGCTGACGGTTTTGTGGACCTAGGATAGATGGCGCCACTAAAACTTTGTATAATAAAAGTTTTGTCGATGATACCAGGTTTTTGACAATTTATATTTATGTTAGAACGACAAGTTTTATAGAACAGTTACCTTTTATCGAGCAGGTATTCGCGCAACTTTCTATTTTTGTGCAAGACCCCCATTGACGTCATGCCGCGTGGTTCTCATGGCCGCCGCTCGCAGCTGCAGGTTGGGGAATATTCTAATTTTTGCCTCGTGATTACGCGGCGGAATCGCAACATTTCGAAGGAAGGTGTGTTTTCTGTCCTTTGTGACAAGGTAAACAATGTCAAAAGTAGAAGATGCCAATTCTTTCAACGTTAAAATCGTTGCACAGCTCCTTTAAATATCATCGCAGACAAATGTTTATTTACTAATTTCTCTCTGTGTATTCTTACTCTAGTAATAAAGTGGGTCAGTGTGTTGGATGAGTTTTTATTTTCTCTGCCACATGCTGTACTTTGTACACTGTTGCTGAACGCTTCTCTCCCTCAGGAAATTGAACTTTTTACACTCTGGAAAACTGAAGCTTTCCAAATTCCTTTGTGTCTTTGCAATTGTCCTAATCTGTAACTGGACGAAAGCAGTATGAGCAATGTGAAAAAGTGTAATGACAATTCATGTGGCATATAAAAAGCGTCCAATTGAAGCGTCATAGAGGGGTATGGTAGTAGTAGTGGTGCCTTCAGAACCTTTGTACGCACACTTTATTTGCAATTCCTTTTAGTTTTTCACTTTCACCTGATGCAGCTGTATGTACAGCTTAGAGCTACGCAAGTTCAGCTGACACTGTCCAAGGGTGTACCAACATGCTCGACTGCCTATTCTGTTGGACCTTCTATATCGCATCAAAACCAACAAACTCGCGGAATAAAAACATCAGATCTGTCTTGTGGCTGAACTGTGCACCTATTTTTTCTTTATTGTGCACGTCCCTGAGTAAGGCCTAGATAAAATCGTCTAAAGCTCGTTTTGAGAAAGAGTTTAAATTAGTATGACTTCTGTTGTGCAGGTGACGCTGGACCTTAATAAGTATGGCTTGTCCTGGGAGCTAGTGAACAAGTACTTGTTCCAGGCCATTGTCTATTCAGACCCTGCTATTCACAAATGTCTGCCTGACCTCCTTACACAAAAGCAGTAAGTGCAAAGGCTTCTGTTGTGGCTTTCTTTGGAGTGCAACCATATCATTATCCTCACATTTACAGAACCTGTGTATGGTTGATTGAACTATTTCACCTTTGGTTAGGCAAAAAGAGTCAGTTTGTTAGATTAGTGCCATTTTTCTAGTCTAGCTTACAATTTAAAAAGCCCAGTGATGTGATTGCTGCGCCATTTGTGCCAAACTGCGCGAGAATGCTTACCCTGCTATATTTTGCTACATTTCGCAAAAATGTGATGAATTTGCACCAGCATTTCACCAAAATGTAATTTCACTTTATTAATACTGAATATACAGGGCATCACAAAAAAAAATAATTTTACAGGGTTTTTTTATCACAAAAATAAACTAGGCATCTCTGAACGCTCATTCTCTGCCCAAAGGTTGCACTAGGGGTCACAACCAGATGCCAAAGTTTCAGCCCGATCCAATACCTTATTCAAAAGTTAAAAGTGATTTTCTGAAAAGTTCAATGGAAAAATGGCAGCCGATGGAGTTTTCAAATACATGGGGCTCTATGGCACCAGAAACCGAAAACGGGCAAAAATGGGCTCCATTTTCCCATGGCAATTTTCAGAAAATCGCATAACTTTTGAATACAGTGTCCATTCGGGCTGAAAATTCGGCATCTGGTTGTGACCTCTAGCGCTACCTTTGGGCAGAAAATGACCCTTAGGTGCTGCCTAGTTTTTTTTTTTTTTTGCAATAAAAAAAAACTAACTTTTTATTTTTTTTGTGACTTTGTATATTATTTTAGGCCCCGTTACGTGGCCGCTTAGTTGCAGTAGCCTGTGTGAATTTTCAAAACTTCCAATTATCGCCTCAAATAACATGCTACTCGATTCAATCTCTGTGTCAAACATTAACAGTACTCTGGAAGTATCACATTATTCCTCATGTTTGTGGCTGTTGTGGCGGATTAGTTAGCTTCGTTGAGTGCGCTTCTCTCCACTCACTCGTGAACTGCAATGAAGCGGAAACAGCAGAGCAGGCATTGCGATGTTATGTATCTTGCTTTGCTGCACCGTACCCGCATACTAAAAGGAAATCACTCCTCCTCAGCGGTGCGTTGAACATGCAAGCATTGGGTCTAAAAGAGAAGTATTCGGAGTGTTGATGTAACAAACACTTCCTTGCATTAAAATTTTCTGGATAAATCTGTGGCTAATGTATATAATAAACTGAAATTGATGTTTTTTTTTTGTTCAAATTGGAGATTTGGAAGGATAAGTTGGTATTGCCAAGAGATATATATAATGTCTTGTTTAGGACGAAGAAAAGACGAGATCTTTTCTTCTGTCTTTGTCCTATATGTCACTTTCCTTTTATCCCTAAAACTTGCCAGTGTGCTCCAGTCCGTCGAGTGTCTTGTTTAGTTTTCACCTTCACATTGGCTTCATCTGTGGGATGTCACAGTGAACAGAGAACTATAAATTACGTGGAGCTAGTGGGTGGAAACTTGGAATAACCTTAAAGGAGCTGTGCAACAATTTCAGGGCTTTGCTTAAATTATTGTGGAAGTTGATGCCTGACACTTCTGAAGACAGTGAACTACAGAAAACAGATTTTGCCTGGATACCCTAGCTTTTATTTTAAAAAATAAAAAAGATTCAGGTTTTTGCTGCCTCTCAACTCATACGTCGTCTTCCGGGTCATGTGCGCAGTGACGTTGATGGGGTAGGCGCGGGGTTCCGGAAAAGTTCTCTCTTTAGAGCTATCAGTGAGCAGCCAGAACTCATCCGCTCGTGACCACGTGCTGGTGGGCGCTGCGCGAACAATATGGTGAAAGGAGGAAAGTCTCGTCCGGGTCCGGCCATACCCGTCCGGCCCTGTCCCCCTCCCCCTTTGGCTTCTGGCGGCTGTTCGCGGTAGCAGAGAGAGCTGACGGTTTTGTTGACCTAGGATAGATAGCGCCACTAAAACTCCGTATAATAAGTTTTGTTGATGATACCAGGTTTTTGACGCATTTATATATATGTTGGAACGACAAGATTTATAGGAAATTTACCTTTTATTGAGCAGGTATTCGCACAACTTTCTATTTTTCTACGAGACCCCCATCGACGTCATTCCGCATGGTTCTCATGGCCGCCGCTCGCGGTTGCAGGTCGGGGAATATTCTAAGTTTTGTCTCGCTATTACGCGGCAGAATCGCAACATTTCGATGAAAGGAGGTGTGTTTTCTGTCGTTTGTGACAAGGTGAACAATATCAAAAGCAGAAGATGCCAATTTTTTCAACGTTAAAATCTTTGCTCAGCTCCTTTAATGAGTTTGGCTGGTCTGTTTTTTAGGTGACATATTTATCGTTCATAGGCTAGTTCTTATTATCATGAAGTTCTATCTGTATCTGATCTATGAATTGCAGTTTCATTACAAGCTTTGGAACTTCACGGAAACGAAAACATTGGTTTGGGTGGTCGATATTACTCTATTCTAGTGTTTCCATGGACTATAGCTACCTAAAATAATAATTTACAGCAGTTCAAATTAACGTTCATCAATCAGCACTTTGTTGCCATGCCTGGTGGTTTTACGTGCAACTAAACAGCTAGTTCTGTGTTCGAGGGAATCAAACCTGCCTGCAACTGATACTAAAAAAAGGTTGCGTAGAAGTGGGAAGACAAAGGAGACAGTGTATTTTAGTTGAACAGACTAATACATTAATCTTGACATAATATTTGCAGTGTTATGAAGGAGAATGGAGTGTATGCTTATGTTCCAGGAGTTTTTTTGCTGCTCCAAAATTGAGTTTTGGCTGCTCCAAAAGGTGCTCCAAAATGACTCTGACCAGTCATATCACTGAAGGCCTTTTTTTCTGGTTGGATACTGTTTGTACATAGCTATTCTTTGTGTTGCTTTTTAGTCATACCATTGTCCTGGTTGTACTTAAAAAAAGATATTTTCTTGTGAAAGTATGCATGTGCAAGCAAAGCATACCTTCTACTCTTGTGCGATCATCGTTGTACACATTGACCCGCAAAGCTCTGTGCTGTACTGTGGAAAGCTCAAGCATTCAAGATGAAAGAATTGCCTGAATTGCGATCATGCTTATCCCACGCCGAGCATTTTTCAAAGCTACAGATTCATCCGCCTGCTTCAGTCAGCACTTCACTTAACTTCCAACTTGTCGGCTATAACCCAACAAATGACCACAGGGTGCAATTGTTTCAGCCTGCATTTGCATGACATGATTTTTGTTTTATTTTTTTTGTTTTCTTCTAATGCTAGCAGTATTGTACGTAATCTGGGATAGTGTTATCATAGTCTGACTTGTAGTTTCATACTTCACCTTTTTTGTTTGCAGTTCGGTAAAGTTCAAGCAGGACCACAAGGCATTGTTGGAGTTAGACAGTGAAATGGCCCTAACAACTATCATCTGGCGCAAAGTTCAGCAGTTGCTGGATGAGCCTGTTCAGTTTGAGGTGAGAGCCCTCGGCTTGTTCTTCCCCTCACCGCATCTGATCCAACTCCTGGTGCAGAGGTTTTAGAAGTATCATACACTTTGCATCTCTTAAACTGTCGATGGTGTTGCCACTCTTCATTGATGGTGCAGTCACATGCTGACCACCTCGGATGCAGTTTTTGACTTCACCTTTGAAAGCAAGATTAGAATGCATGCAAATTTGTTCCTGGCATCCTCACAGATTAAAGCGATTGTTTGTACCATCTTCTATGTAAATTATTTATGCACACCAAGGCCCGTTTGCTCGAAACGCTAACCGCGGCTAAAGTTAGCCGCAGTACCTAGGAGAGGGATTTTGAAATCACGTGACTGGGGGCTTGGTAGGAATGCGGGGAAACATGGCGGTGCCCCGGGGAGTGAGCACCGCTCGCTTTGGAACTAATATATCGTTGTAGCTGCAATATCGGGCGCGTTAGTCAGCAATGAACGGTGCAGGAGGCTTTCGCTTTGCCTTACCTCTCTTAAATCGCAAAGCATGAGCACATGACCTCCCAATGACCTTGCAGCATTTTTTAGTTATTATTTCGGTTCTGGTTCTTCCTAAGCCTAAATGAACGCGATAATTGTCGGCATAGCAACGTCTTTGGAAAGCGGATTGCCTTGACTCAATCGGCCGGGTATTGCTAGCACACAAAAGCAGACAGCGTCCCAATAGACCTTTTACTAAATTACCGAAGCTTCGAGGAGAACGCTGGAAGTGTAATTCTAGGGTCTGCACGTGCTGGCTTTCCTGTTATAAAAGATTCGAAGTAATTAATCATAATGAGGCTTTGACGAACGCACGTGCAAGCAAAATTTGTTTTAGACTTTTTGCTTAGGACAATTGCTACTGCAGATGCCAGGACGTGCAACGCGTGCATAACTACACTCGTAGCGTGCACCTCGGTGCTTGGAAAATTTAGAAAAAGGTCTATTGGGACGCTGTCTGCTTTTGTGTGCTATCAATACCTGGCCGATTGAGTCAAGGCAATCCACTTTCCAAAGACGCTGCCATGCTGACAATTATCGTGTTCATTTAGGCACAGGAAGGGCCGAAAGCGAAAGACTATCGAAAAAATGCGGCGAAGTCATTGCTTATGCTTTGCGATTTAAGTGAGGTAAGGCAAAGCGAAAGCCTCCTGCACTGTTCACTGCTGACTAACGTGCCCGATATTACAGCTACAACGATATATTAGTTCCAAAGCGAGCGGCGCTCACTCGCCGGGGCACCGCCATGTTTCCCCGCATCCCTACCGAGTCAATCACGCGATTTCAAAATCCCTCTCCTAGGTACTGCGGCTAAGTTTAGCCGCGATTAGCGTTTCGTGTAAACGGGCCCAGATACTTGCTATGGACATTCATTTTTCTACTTCTTGATGGACTGCTCGTTCCAAGATGTTTTAACTCTTTCCTGACAGCGCCGATAGGTCATCAATCACTGGTGATCGATGGTTTCCAAGTGATTTCAAGAAATTAAATTTAGTGCGCAGAATTATGTTTCACAATCTCGTGGATAGCCGAATAAATTGTTTCAATTTCAACGTAGGTTTGAGCTTTATCACAAGCTGTTGGGCTGTCAAAAACAGTCTTGGGAACGGTAGTTGCACTTGTCTAACATGTCTAACTGGTTGCATCAGTCTTCCTAACAAAGATGGCATTATTTACATAATTCAACTGTATTCTGGCATGTATTTTAGACCTCAAGAGCTCTGGGAATAATTTGAATTCTGTTTTAGACCCTAACGTGGCAGGTTCGAATATAAAACGCTAGGTGCTGTTTGTTTAGTTGGAGTTGCAAAAAGCCGTGGGTGTGGAGCACATTTTCTGTATTCTGAACTTTTCTTATTTGGTGTTTAATTTGACATAGCTGTAGAAGTTTTGGCGTTTTCTGCACATACATTGTGCTTTCAAGAAATAAAATCTTAAAATCTTCTTCCCACATTATACCAACCTCCGCTTCTTTCGAAAGAACAACTAATTGACTACATTTTGATGTGTCATATTGTTTGCACAATCTTTTGAAAAGTGCTATTTTTCCCGTGGTCAGGAAAGAGTTAAAAGGATTATGGAGCCTGACACTTTATTAAATATATAAGAATTTGCCTTAGTCTTGCCGATTTTAAGACCTTATTCTTTGCCTGGGCCTCGCTTTATCTCGTTTTAACTCGCATTCTTACTAGCTGCACTTCCTCTGATCATGAATGCGACCGGATTTGTGTATCTCTCTACTCTAATTACAAGTACACAGTGCTATGTCGTTCATTCCTTGGTCAAATAGACTAAATTAAATGAGGTATTTTATGCCTGTGCATCTTTTTAGTTGCCTTTACATCAGAAGCAACCACACCGTCACTTCAGTGATGGTCTTCAAGAATACTTGCTACAATTTAACTTGTCTTGATCTCCTAGAGACTCTAAATATTCAGGTACACAATGAAACATGGTGATAACAGTGCACAAGAGACCAAGACTGAAATAATACTTAAAAAACAAGCGAGCTGGTGATGATTCATGGTAATAAAACCCGAGACTCAGGAACACAGCAGGGGACGAACACAACCAAGACACTGTAGAAGGAAACAGATAGGACAAGCGCTGTTTATCACCATGTCCAATGCACACCAACTCGCCCAACTTGCCAGCTTAGTACACAATCATTTCGGGCAAAAAATAAGTTGCACAGGCCATTATGGCTTGATATACTGTTGATTGTGCTGATTGTTGCCGAATTAGGTTGCAGTTGTACCCCAAGTTCATGACTTTTTCCGAATAACTTGAGTGAAAACAGCTAATCGGGAAATTATGCTATTAGGAATGGCTATGGGAGTTTGTATGCACTTTTATTCCTAGCTTGCAACTCTCCCCAAGCAGCAGCAGATGCTCCAGGCACAATGGGAAAGGCTGGCTTCAGGCTGGAAATCCTTAGACCCAGAGTTTCTTGCCAAGACTGCGTAAGTTGCGAGGACCTTACTTTTCCTCCCGTTTCACATCTGCCTTTTATTGTATGCTCTAATGAGGCTAATGTTAACTGGTAATTATTAATGCTGCAAGTTTTCTTAACTCTTTGCCTACCGCTCCTATTCAGATCGATCAATATGATAGATGGATTTTAAACCCCTATTTTAGGGGGGTACACTACCTGGGAATGTCAACTTTTGAACCGCTCACACAATCGCACGATATTTGCAGGTGGTGTTTGTAGCCATATAGGAGGGAATGCAAAGTTTCAGCCCTGTGACCCACTTTTATGAGGTACTAACGAAGTAAAAAATAGCTTTGCATGGAATCTGCTCAATGGATCTATATTTAAGAAATAGCATTGATAACCACATATTTTTCTGGTGGAATGCATACTGGAATACCTGTTGCTGGTTACTGTGAAAAATAAATTTCAGAAAATATGTATATTCCAAATGAAAAAAGTATGAATTTTTTTCTTTACATTTATTAAGTTAGTGAAATACAAATTTTCATAATAAAGAAACAAAAATGCAATATCTGAGTTCACGGTAATCGGCTCCATACAATTTCGGCATATAAGCCACTAATATGAAGTCTCTCGGTAACTTCATACCGAAACAGTATAAAGATGAGATTTATGTCAATAAGCCGATTGGAGAAATATGCATTCAAAGTGCTGGAACCTCTACCTTTTCTTTAGCATTGATTGACTGAAAATAATTTATAAAAAAAATAACTAGGCACTGTAAGCAAATGAAACTTTCTGGGAATACTCTCTAGATGTTACGGTGTAAAAGGCCATTTTTCAAAACTTTTTTGCAGAAATTGTTTTTCTGACTATTGTCCCCCCTTAACACGTTCAGCGCTGTTTTTAGACGTGTGGCACTATCGAGGACGTTACGGAGCAACTCCACTTTGAGTTTCGGTTTGGACTTGCCCTTTCTGTGAGGAAGCGATTTCACGTGTTCCAGTATCGTGATCTATCGCATCGGACATGGCGTCCCCATCGCGTGCCGACGCTTCTCGAAAACATTATCTGACTTGCAATTCCAGTGAATATGCAATAAATTTTGTGGATGAAAGTGGCAGCAGTGAGTCTGAAGATGACGTTTATTCATTGAGTTTTAGTTTTCAATGGTAGCGATGGGTCCAACCAGCCAGTACCATCCTCAGATCTCTGTCAGTGTGTTTTGTTTTGCGCGAAGCGTATTTATTGCCTCCGTAAGCTCCCGTGGAGATACTGGGCGTGTTCCGAACGCACTGTTTTTTATCTGCAGGGTGTCGACCTTATATGGACATGATTTATGCAATCAACAGCAAACCGAGAGGAGTTTTCTTCGAAAGGACGGCCCAGTCCTGACCTTGGCATAATGCTACAAAGTAGCACGAAACACTTTGGTTGGGCTTTGGGAAATGGTGCAGTTATCACGGGGGGCATACTTGTTTTCTGCAGGACAAGAAGTTTTGCATGGGGCTTTTCAAACTTGTAGGATTGTTTCTAGAAGAGTAAGGTAGGAAATGTATATGTTGAATTTTTCTTTACTCCTAATACTTAGCAAGGTATGTTGAATTCAAATAAAAACTTTTGTGTTGGATACAAAATTGAACATGTTTTTCTTGGGTTATATATTAAGTCTTTTTTTTTTCTGTTCATTTACATTGTTGAAAAGAGAATTCCTTTTGCTTTTCAAACTTGTAGGTGCTTTACAAAAAAAAGGTGCACGGCACCTAAAAAAAATTGCGTCTCACCGTGCTTTAAAAAAAAAAAAAGCATTTAAGTCATTTTTTTTTTATAAAACTCACCAAGAAAAATGTAAAAAAAAAAAGTGACTCATACACTGGAAAATACAGTACTTAGCGAAAAAAACACCGAAGTTGCGCACTATATAAAAAGAAATAAAGTTGACAAGCTCTCGAACAACTTCAAGTCGTCGCTGCAAAACAAACAGGCCCCACGTTTCGTCTGCTTTCTTTTTTCACTCTTCAGTACTTACGATTTGCTGCACTCTACTGCCGTCTTTCCCACCCTGGGAAAAACTATAGGGTTGCTTTCTTCCTATGCAGGGGCCTCCTGGCAGGGGACCTGGCTGCGGAGGAGTGTAGCGGGATGCACGAGCGACACGCCTGTTGTCTCGGAACCCCGGGGTCGGAAGCTCAGTGTCCTTTCGCCGAGGCGGGGCTTCTGGGGGCAGCTGGGGAGCCATCTGCCATGACACACCGGTCGTCTGCGCTGGCGTTGCACGGGGCCCTCTGGGCGCATGGGGGGGACTCCTGTGGGCCCGGGGTAGACCCCACAACGACAGCGGCACCTCCGGATGCGTTGGCAGGCACCAGCAGCTCCCTCAAGAAGGCACGCCTTAGGGACACCACGGTAGGGCTTCCTAGCACCTCTACAGCACTGTTTCTCTTGGGCCGGCTGCATTTGAGCAAAGGCTTTAGAGTGCTCTGTTAGGGAAGGAAATCTTTTGACTCAATTTACCAAGTAGAATGAAAATGTAGACTCCTTTGGGACATTGAACAAACATGCTCCCCATCCCCCAAAAGGCTGGAAACAAACGTGCAAACTGTGAAGGCAAAAAAAAAAAAAATATATATATATATATATGTACCTATATATATTGTAAGCTGCAAAAATTGTGTAAGAACAAGTTTAGGAGGCAACAAAATGATAGTTAGTTTTTATCAATGCCTCCTATATAAGTTTAACTAGCCTTTTTAAAGTCAAAGCGTGACATTTCCAGGCACCATAAAAAATGTCAACCATTTCGTCGTTTACCCTGAGACTGGGGGGTTTTTTTGAAGAGCAGAAGTAACAGAAAAAACAGACAGGTCTCAAACTCAGCTACACATTTATTTCAACAACTTCCTCTTATATAGTTCGTTTTCGTCGTCAACAACCAATCACATACGACTTGTCCTTTGCACCGTGACTTTACAGGTTCCACTATGTCACAAAAGAAGCGGACGCTCCCAACGTTTCCAAGTGAAAAGGTTCTAGCAGAAGATATGCCTCACAAAGCCCCAAGCAACTCTTTTGTGTCCTCTTAATAAACAGGACAACAGCCCACAACAACATCCCACTCAAAACTGGTCACCTCCAAAATTGTAGAAAACAGACAATACACACCTCACCTTCAAAAAAAACCCCCAGTCTCAGGGTAAACGACGAAATGGTTGACTTCCACCAGCTAGCCTGTACTTTGACTCTTTTCTCGATAAAAAATGTATTTTTGAGTGTGCACCTCGCTGGACGTTGACATGGTCTTTATTTACACTTGCGAGATTTTGATTGGAATTAATTAGGGTTCTTTATTTTCGGGTTTTATATTTTTCGAAAATCGGGGTAAAAATCTGGTGCTATTTTCCAGGCCAATAATCGGGGAGAAATCGGGATTTTCTGGAAACCAACGTGAATTTCGGATTTTTTCAGGCCCTATTTATTAAGGGGAAATACATGAAATGGTTTTCTACTCAAACAAATGTCAACGAAGTCTGATATAGGAATAATTCTCAAGCGCACAGGATCTCTTCACCTTTTGGCACATTCTGAAGCGAATCTATGCCAAGGTTACACAAAATGAAGCTTTTGCAATCAAATGAGTGATTGAGGATGTACATTTGATACAGATCCAGAATTGTTTATATTTACCATAAATTCAGCTGATTTCAAGGCTGGTTTTTGAAGAAAAATCAGGTTCAACCCGATATTCATAAAACTGGATCAGGGTCAAAATTCTGGTAATATTGGGTCTTATCCGAAATATAAGAACCCTAAATATAATCCATGAGGGCCCAACTACTCAAAAAATTAACTTGTGGCTCAAAATTCATTTTTTTTTTTTTATTTCTGCAGAAATAATTTTTAGGATACAATCGTGTGCTCGGGTCTCATCTGTCACGTGCGGCGACGGCGCTGCAGGAAATATGACCAAACTAACTCCCCATAAGTATGCCATGACACTGGTCACTCTGATGTCGCAGCACCCCACATTGCTCGTCTGGTTTCAGTGCAACGTTTTGTTTCTGGGCAAAGAAGCGACTCTGCGACGATAAAATGCTTGGGTAGTGTCTCGACACCGCAATCTAGTTATGAACAAAAGGACTAATTATATTTTTGTTAGTATCCCTTTAGTGTGTATTGACATGGCAGATCTTTATCTCCGGAGAAAACCGAATACGTCATAGAGCTGCGAGGAGGAAACGCCGCGAGGAGGAGTGGGTTCAGGAAATCCGAGTGAGCTTTCACACGACGAAGCCGCACGTATTCGAGTCGGTGGAGTCCTCAGTTTGTGAACCTGTTTACCACTTTTGGGGGCTTATTCGGCAGAAAGCAAGGAAAAGAAGAAAAGCTGCTGCTCGTAATTCTTCCCCGAAAGGAGGGGGGGCCAGTCGCCGCGACGGGACGACAAACGTTCCATTGTCCGGTTGTAGAATCTCTGTGGCTCCCCGTGGGCTTGGGAGATGGCATTTAATCCCCTCATCGGAGAAAAACTTCGTCATGCGAACACAGCATTAAATGCGCCGCCCGCTTAGCCCCAACCAAGGCTAACGGCAGGCCGTTGTGATGCAGGCGTCGGAGGCGTGCGAGTGCCACGCCTGCACGCCGCTGCAGTGGCCGCCCGCCCCGCCTCTGCCACTACCTCCCCCGAGCCAGCAGCCGCTGATCCACCCACACCTATACGGGAGCCCCGGCGTGCCCCGCACCATCAACCTGGAGCTGGAGTCTCTAGACACGCTGCAGCAACAGGCCTACCTGGCCACCCTGGGGGACTGGGACGACCCGCACTACAAGTTTGGGACCCCTGCACACCCCAGGCACCCGGGCTCCGAGTCTCCCCAGCTCGTGGCCCCGGCCACAAAGCCTTCGTCTGGCCCTCCCCCGGCACCCCGGGCATCGCCACCGCCGGTCTCCACTCACCGCCACTCGCAGCAAGGTAACTGTCCAGCAAGGGGGCCGGGTGTGGGGGTCCGGCTAGAACTAACTGCTGCCGTGCAATCTGAGCAACGCTTGATTTTCTTGTCTGACTTTTGGCGGCCAAAGCGAGAGCTCGGGAATATTTCGGGATGCTCGGGGCCGAATCAAGAGTTACGAGGGCCCGGTTCGAGAAAATTTGGGGGCCCCCTTTGTTTTTTGGCTGGACACTTTTTTTTGCATTTATTTCAACGAAAAAAAACAAACATTGATATAGTTCTCCATATTGAATTTCTACATGTATTTCAGCTTTCATAAGGTGGTGTTAACGTATAGACAACATATTTCTGTAAAACTTGACTACTTTTCCTATGCCGAAATACAATCGCAAATATACTGGAAGTTTCTATCACTTGAACATGAGGAGCGACCGTTGTCTGATAGCCGGTATTGTGAGAAAACAGGCTCTACATCGATGTCGCACAAACATATATCTGACTTTATCAGTACTGTCTAAGCTTGTTATAACATACCTTGATTTTGACCAAGATTTCGGTCTGTTGTAAGAGGAGCATGTTGTATGCGGATACGAAGTTGAGTCACTGGTATTTATTTATTTATTTATTTATTGATACTGCAACCCCTGAAAGGGATTTTAGCAGGTGGGTATACACTTGATTGACAAGACATGCAGGCATACAAAATAGCAAACAAGTCGCAGAAACAAAAGAACAAATATTTTTCAGAGGGACAAAACTAATTTACAAGGGATTCAAATAAAGACAATGATGACTGCATAACGACACTTCCAGAAAGGCTATTCCAATCAGTTACCGTTCGCGGAAAAAAAAGAGTACTTGAAGCAATTATTATGCGATTGAAAAGGAGTTATTGTTAGTGCATGCCTCTGTCGAGTAGCGTAGCCTGATGAAAAGTTTATTAAGTGAGACAGATCTATCCTATAATGTCCATTTATTAATTGATACAAAAATTTTGGTCGAGAATGCTGATTTCTGAGAGATATGACTTTAAGTTAGCTCTGGTTAAAAGTTTGCTTATAGAGGTACGTCCAAAGCTATTGTAAATGTAGCAAACTGCCTTTTTCTGCACACGATCCAGCTTGTTAATGTTTAGTTTGGTGAAGGAAAACCAAACAAACAAACAAACTTTGGTTTTCCTCAACAAAGTAGAGGAAAACCAAACAAACTTTCACAAATCGGTATGTTATATCCAAATGTCTGTTGTAACCAGTTCTGTTGTAATGAGCTTAGACTGTATTTTTCTTTAGAGAAAGGCGATGTACTTGCATTTGCATTTTCTACCAACTTTAGCGCTTCGTTATTTAAAAACACCTCTAATACTGAAGTTGCTAGTAAACTGAAAACTGCATTCAAAGGTGCCATGTATGTTTGATGCCTTGTATTCCAAGTGATAACTATTACTTACCAGATAAATTAGGAAATTAAGCGACGAAGTCTATTGTAAATGTCTCAAAATCTTGTACTTAAATATCTTGCGGGAGATTATGCAAGACGCCATTAGTGCAGATGAACATATTCATGTTTCTCTGGATACAACAATTTCCAACACAAAATTAGGACCTTACGAAAAAAATTCACCTTTTTGTGTTTAATCCAACTGCCCGAAAGGCATTCTGCAGCTATTGACAGCGTTGTAGTTCATAGCCCTAAAAAAATAAATAAAAACATGTTTAATATTTTTATTGCCACAACACTTTGATGTTCATAGTAAAGCTTGGGATTATATCAATTAGTTTTTTAAATGTTTATGAAGGTATGGTTGATAATAAAACCTGGTGTTTATAAGAGAACAGAGTGCACATTAATATTAAGTGTCAATTTTTGTGTGTGAAATGCAGCACAATGCATGCATGCAAATCTCCATTGTGTGGTCACTTTTCTGAATAAACTGTAATAAAGAAATGTAGGACTCTAGTTTTCAACTATTGCCTATTTGTAATTCGTGGTGTATATGATGTCATTCAGTGGTTTGTGGACGGAGCAAACTAGCTTCTGTTTAACGGTGATGTAAAACCACTGAGACCAACGGTGGCCTGAGATCTAAAATTAGATTTCCCACGACGACAAAAAAGCGCCTGTGTCAAGCGTTCGCAGTTGCACAGATTGAATAGCCTTGCCAGGAGAGATTAAATTTACAATTTATACTTCCATTTCAGTGGACAATACTTGCTGCAATAAGCCTTTGTCAATTTACTATAGTATTGGCCATGTTCAAATCTGCTCAATTACAATACTATGTAGGCCTCTGCATTACTGTATTCAGCAGAAATGGTACATGAAAAAGCGTTGGAGCTTGCTGAAAGGCTGCACACCCTTTTAACCTGGGAATAACTATAAACATACCCCTGAGAAGAAAAAAAAAAATTTTTTTAACAGTCTGGTTGGGACATGTGTTTCAAAAAATAAATTTGACATGAAAAAAAATTTCTTTAGGGCAATATTGACGGCAAGAGATTTATTTGAAATTCTGCGTGCAAAATCCATGACGTCACGGAATAATCATTCGCTCTTTTGACCTCAACAAGGTGGTCATTCAATCTTTCCACCTTAACATGAAGGCGAAGCCAATCCACCTCTCCTCCACGCGCGCGAAATGCCAAGTGAGAAAACAAGTGGAAGGGAGGTGACCACCGACTAAATCTCGTCTCATGCCGTCAATATTGCCCTAAACTTTTTTTTTCTATTCAGGCGCCCTAACTACTTTCTAAGGCTTTGGAGACTACAAAGTCAGAACAACATGCCCTCCCCTTTTATTACATTATATGCATGTCTAACGAAATTTTGTTTGTAAGCTATGTAAAACTGTTATGGGTGGCTTTGCGAATTTTCTCAGGTCTACTAGCCCATCGATTTTTATGCAATATATTTTTTTTGTATAATACGGGCATTGGAGCTTAGAAGGTGTGTACACCACACGTTGATGGGCCTCTTGTTCAGCCTGTCATATTTGTTGGAATGAATGCTTTAAAAGGGCCCAAATTTTGCTAGCGATAGACTCGGGCATAATTAGCTTGCAAAAACGGTCAATTCATGAAACTTTACCACATAAATCTCGTAGAAAAGAGAGACTAGTGGAGCCAAAAATGGTCATGATTCTCTTTTCCATGACTTCAGAGTTCCTGCAGACAGACGATATAGAGGCATAGGTATGTTTAGCCAAGGACGCCAGAATGAAAGTTGCCAGGTGCATGATTGGGCGGTGGAATCAGATTTGTTTTGCCTTTGCACCAGACCCACAACTTCGGCACAACAGTGACATGCTGGCCCAATTGCCGTTCTCGGGTGTTGTTTTGCGGCATGGCTAGTTCAAGAACTGTGTTGAAGTAATTGCTCGCAAGGTCGTTCACCCCATGGTCTCTAATAAAATCGTCTAGCAACTGAAGGTAACAGTATATGTATGAAGATACCCATTAATTCAATTGATAATGTTTGTTTTTTGTCTTCATAGTCAATCTTTTCTGACATTTAGCTAGGTTTTGTGTTTTTCAAGCCAAATTACAATAGCCACCTTTTTTAGCATGTCGGGTTTGAGGGGCCCTCTTCACTATACCCCTTTTCACCTTGCGTTCGGTCGCAGCGAATGCTAGGAGCTATCTTAGCCAATCTCGTTCTGTGGATGTAGCCTGTGATACGCTTTCCATGCGTCGCTGTGCCCCCTCTCCAAAGTCACAAGGCACTCGCACAGCTTTGGATTGGCTTCAATAGCTCGTACCATCCGCTGCGCTCAGACGTAAGGTGAAACAAAGTATAGGAGGACCCTGGTTCATTTGAAACCTTTGAACCCTGGATAATCCAGCCCTGGTTCAAAGGTTTCATGATAGACGAGGAAGGGTATTTTAAAGCCACTAGCGAATTGGGGTTTGCAAGAGCAGTGTGTTTTACAAAAGCTTGTGTTTAGTAGTCAAATTATGATTAGAACCCCATAAGATCTAAGTTTCTTATTTAGCTTATTCAGAAGCATTCTGTTAGCATGCTTAAAAGACTGGCATAATACGCCTAACTCTTAAACATGGTATTGGAATCATCACTAATGCAGAACTTGCAAATGTAAAGAACAGATGAGAATTTTGGGTGCAGGTAAGGTCTATGGAAGTTTTTTGGCTCTTAGACTTTTTCCTATTCACGAAAGTTAAGGGGCTGTGAAGATAAAAGGCTGGTGTATGTTTGTTTTCCATTTGACAACCCTTGGGTACTTTCTGGATGTTTCATTTACTTCTAGTATACAGGTTACATTCTCCTCTGCTGGTAAAGGAGCCACAAATTCTGCTTCCATCTGTGTACAAATCAACTAGCCACTAGGTTTTGCAAGCCCATACTGAGTTTTCTTCAAGCTGCTGGATATATTGCAACCTGTGAGGTCATCTCATCAACTCTAAAAAGGCGCTTGCAGAAGTGGCAAGGTTCAGTTATGAACAGAACATATCTATCACCTATACGAGGATAGATGGAAAAGTTTCGGGAATGACAATGACAACAATATTAAATTTGATTCAAACAATATTTTTTTTTTTTTTTCAACGTTATACCCTCGAAATTCAATACGCCTGGTGCAGTGTTTTCCAGCTCTCAGTTTGCTCCCAGAGGTAATTTTCTTCGAGGTCCTCGAATTAACTGTTGACAGTTTTCATGACCTCTGCATTCAACCAAAATCTCTTGCCAGCAATGAATGTCTTGAGCTTCAGGAACAGATGGAAGTATGAAAGAGCCAAATCAGACAAATATGGTGGATGTGGTAGAATTTAAACCTTCAGTTTTAATAATAATATAATAATAATAATAATAGGCTTATTTTCCATCATTGGATCGAGGGAAAAAGCTGCCAAGTGGCAACTTGATGAGCCCTCGGCCCCCATACATTGGCAGACGGTGGAAACAAAACTTGTGAGATAAAGGTTGCCGAAGTCAGCTTATCATAAATACACACGAAAGGGAACATATGGGTACATAACCCAGAAGTACACTTTAAGGCACAGAAAAATGCAAGAACACATTTGTAAAAAATATGTGCACATTACACAAATGCGATAAAACATAAAGAAGGTTAAAGCAGTCACAACCAGAAAACAAGCAACATAAGCATAAAGAATCCATGAAGGGAAGAGCCAGTTCAGTCATCATGTACAATAAAATTCAAAAGTGAAACTAAGATAAAATTACAACTGCAGACATTGATATCATTGGCAAGTTTGTCGATTTTTAGTGAGTGATTGCACTTGAATGAGTGGGTACATTGTCATTGTAAGACAATGCTTCTTTCTGGACCATTTCTTGGCATTTTTTCTGAATTACTTTTTTCAGCTTATCCAAAAGTGTTGTGTAATATTAACCAGTAACAGTGTTTTTTTTTAAAGATATTGTAAAACTTTTAATGTTTGCAAGCCCTTAATTTTCGCGAATTTCGTGAATCGAAAAATTCGTGAAATATAAGGGCGCACAAAAATTTCTGTTCTTAAGAGTTTCAATGTATGGAATTGGCAAAATTTAGTGGCCACGATTGGCATGTCTGTGATCGATTCACGAAAAATAGGGGCCGCGAAGATAAAGGGTTTTACAGTTATTAGTTAGTGAAATTACTTTGGCATCCCTAAAATCCTATGCCATCACTTTTATAGCACGCTGAATGGTTTTTGCCTTCTTCAAAATTTATTCATTGTGTCCAGTTTGCCCTTTCAATTGAATTTTTCTTTCTGGTTTTAGTGCTCAATTCAAGCTTCACCCATGGTCAAAAATCATCTCATTCATTGCATTTTTCTTCAACATTTCCAATCTATCAGTTGAGGTTAGAGATTGAATGCGTTCTTACTCCAGATTAAACAAAATGCGGCATTTCCGTTGTAGAGTGTTTTTTTATACCCAATTCATTATGTGAAGCATGAACAATTCTTTCATAAAAGATGCCCACAGCTTTCTCAATTTCACAAACTTTTATTCCACAATCTGCTTGCGGCCATGCTTGAATTCTGAAGCTCCAAAACTCGCTGTGTAAAATGAAGGCAATTGGTTCCCAGGAATGTCATCCTATCTAGGTTTGATTTCCATTGGGATTTTTCTCTCCATATAAAAAATAGTGACTGCTCTATTTCTTCTTTCTTTTTTTTTTTTTTTAGGTTGAAATTGCATGCTAAGCTTATTTGACTTGAATGCTTGTCAAAGCCAGAAGATTTGACAGGTAGATTCGACATTTGAAATCAATTGATATGAAAGAGTGGCCAGCACAATGACATGAAGCTATTTGGAAGAAAAGCATCCCCTTGGCGGTGATTTTTGGAAACTTTACATTCCAGCCCATACAATGATGTGGAGAAAAGTAATTTGGTGACTTTTTCAACTGATTAGCCCTGTGGCTTCTTGCACTGTGCAGGGGCATGCCTGGACTCTGACTGTGATAATGCGTTGTTGGATGGAGAAGACTCGATGGACGACACATGCTCGGAGCACAGTTCATCAACGACAGCCTCCAATCAACGAGGTACGGGCGAGAGCAGAGTCTGTGACTGTTGCTACTGCGAAGTGTTTGGACACGGGACACCTCCTGTGGCACCTGTCAGCAAAAATTACCAAGAGATGCGCGACCGACTACGGCTCATTCTCAGCAAGCGTAAGGTGAGTCTTTTTGTTTCTGGCCTGCAATCTGCTGCTGGCACAGGTATTACTTGCACAGGCAGTTGGGCTTGGTGAGGAGTCTAGCTGGAATTCGCTAGCTAGCGTCGTACCAGCCTCCCCGCATGCTTCATGATTGTTACACTTGACTGTGGGCAGTTTGTCAAGGAATATTTAAAATGGCTTAACGATGTGCTGCACGAACCTTGAAGTGACTCGCTAGGACTCTTCTTTGTTGGAGAATCTTGTCTGAAAATTCAATTGTTTGTTCATATTAGAACGGCTTTCATAGCTTCGCATTATAAAGAGAACGGCATACGTGAGAAGTCCAAGGTATTTCATTTTTCAGTATTTTTTTCCTCTCGGTTGCCTCGTTGCATTTGGAAAATATCTAAAGTCTCTGTAGTTTTTGTTTGTGTTTTCTGGTTGGATTGACGGAGAACCGATTTGGCGTATTAGGCCAGAACAACCTTTTTGTTTTCCTTCTCATGATATCCTCTCTTCCCCATTGTTGACTTGGCCAAATTTAGGGTTTGGATCTGTGTGTGAGAAAGGTGTGCTCGGGGTACAGGCAGAGGCAATGCACATGGCCAAGGAGCAGCAGCAGCAGCAGCAACACCAAGTGCGGCCTGAAGATGACAGGGCAGTGGAGGAGCTGCTCAGCTACATCAATGGCACAGATGGAGGGGGTGGCAACAAAGCATCCACAGCACAGGGGGACCCTGCGTCCTCCGACACTGTGGCCATGTCTGCAGCTGCTGCCAAGGGGGCAGTGGCCAAGAGGCAGAAGCGCAAGACCAAGAGGGTACTGTGGCTTCTGCATTCTTGCCTCGTAGGCGATTTTGCTGTTTTTAGCTCTTTTGCTGATTTTGGTTGTTGTTCTTATTAGAAAGATGTCAATCCTCATCCTCCCTTTTTATTCTTTTGCTTTCGTTTTCCTACTATAACTATAACTAGCTCGTTTAAATCTTCCAATTTTGGGGGTCTGCGTGCCATACCATCAAGGGGCATCTGGTGCACCCCAGCAAAGGTTTGAAAATCTATTTAGGCCACCTGGGAATCTTTGAACTTGCAATCAAAATCTCAATTATGCAGCGCCTTCTCCGCAAGAAGTCTATTAAATTGGGGTGCCTTAACCGGAATTCGAACCCCGACGACTGGGGACCGACGGTCTGTCGCTTTTTTTCAGAGCCACCGAGACGGTGCTTTTAAATTCTATATCTTGTGAGTACAATGCCGCTTAAGATGAGTGACCGTAAATGGCGACATAGCTACAGTTTCGTCACTAAAACTACCTCGAGCCATCATCGATTGAAAGGCCGGTACTTCTTTTTGTCTACGGTATTTATTTCAAAATAGGTCGACCTTTTTATGAGCAGACGTGAATGTCTGCTTTCTTGCAGAAGCCACGGAGACCAATCGTGTAGACTTTCGAAAGGAGCCGGCGAATGGCAAAGCAAAGATAATGTTTGTAAAAAAAAAAAAAGTGATTTACACAGATTTTATTTTTGCGTTCTGATATTATCGGTGCCTCATCATTTGCTGGGCCTCTTCCATAAATTGTAATGGTTCACTCTTCTCGGCGTTGTAGAAAAATACACGCGCAGGCATTGTTCATAAAGAAGTCAACCTATATTCAAATAGATATGGTAAATTCACAGCTCTGCATTTACAGTTAGTGCGAGTTATGCACTCTTTTTAATTGTTTGCAGAGCTCGTGTATCATATTCAGTTTCATGCCTTTTCTAACAGAATTGTTTCCCCTTATTGCGTTTCACTGCGATCATCAATTTGTTGCTCACAACTTGATTTCTCAGAAAGCAAACAAGGACACTTCCACATGATTCTAATTGGAGGTGACAAACAACAAAGGGGACAGGGACAAACACACGCGTCTCAAATGCAGAAGGATACCACACACCAGAGTTTTCCAGAATCAAGCTCAGGTTAAAGTGTTCTCATACTGACGACATTATTCATGGGACTGGTAATATTGTCATAGCACAACTTGGGTATAGTTCGGAGCAAAGGGGTTGTATGGGCCATTTGGTTATTCATGTATTCGAAATAATGTCTCAAGAGACACAAGGAGGAGGGGAGACCAAAACAGGACAAGGAGCCTTGTCCTGTTTAGGTCTCTCCTCGTCCTTGTGTTTCTTTTGGCACTTCTACTTTAGATCTTTCCAGCGCTTATCACCTGGGTGAAAAATGCTGAGTCACTGAGCTGTGGACGCATGCACAGTGTCTGATATACTGCACAACAGAGGTACAGCACATGCTCAAAAGGTGTTCCACAATACCCCCCGTATTTGAAAAAAAAAAAAAAAAAAAAAAAATCGGGAAAACATGCAACTTTTTTTTATGAAGAGCTCTGCTGCATTTGGACTTTTGCAAAGCTGATGTGAGCTTTTGTGAGTTGTCATTGGGTCAAATAAAGACTATGGGCCCACCTGTTTTATTTTACAGAGGGAAGATTGTGACAAGGTCAAGGAAGTTCCAGAATCAAAATCCCATAGCCCTTCACCTATTTCAAGGCTAATAGAAGAGGAATTGGAAGAATCAAAGGTGAGCAGACAATGGGATGAACCAGCTTTGCTTTACTAATGCACCATTTCAGGCATGGTAATTTAGTCGTGCACACTGATTAAGAGGTATATTCATGTGACAAGCTTTGTTTGGCATAGTCATGCCAGAAATTACTAGTTAGTTATCAAGCTTCTCCTCCAGGACGACCTTTATTATAAAATAGTACAGTGAATGCTGTCTCTAATCATAGAAAAGGGTCTTCCCCATCTCCTTTCATCACTATACCGACCTGTTTTCATGTACTATAGTATTGAATCAGCTCATTTAATGTTGCACAGTGCTCGTCATACAAACATCTGGGTTTAAGACTTTCATGAACTTTTTACATTTAGTCTGTAAATAAACCTTGCCCTTTTTTCTTGCAACTTTCAGCTTATATAGCTGTAGTTTACACTTACTTAAAGGACACATGCAAAGGAAAAAGAAATTTTTTTTTAAACAGCTTAGATGGAAAAAGGATGTCATAAAAATTTATTACAATGAAGAAAAAAAAAAAATTTTTGGAGCTATATTTACGGCACTATACGAATTTGTAGTTGGCGCACGCGGGCGCCGCAGAAAAGTGGCCCTTGTTTATCACGTGGTGCTTGCGCTCTTTCGGAAGCTTCGTATGGCATCTAAAAGTAACTTATTCATCTTTGTTTGTACTATAACAAAAAACTAAGATTAATAGGTAACTTTTAGAGTCCAAAGGAAACTCCTGAAAAAGCGCAAGCAGACATGACAGACCTGTGCGCCGGTCAGACGGCGGCGGCGGCGCCCCGAAGCAGACGAACTTGTGCGGCGGCGGCGACAGCGGCGTGGAGAAACGCGTTGAAGCGGCGTTTGTACAACGCTCGGTGTGCGGCGGCAGGGTGACTTCGCGGTCGCGGCGACGCAGCGCGGCGGCGCGTGGGCCTACCACATGATTAGCGGCGGCGGCTCCCGCGGGCGCAAACTACAAATTCGTATAGCGCCGTAAATATAGCTCTAAAAATTTTTTTCTTCGTTGTAAAATCGTTTTATGACATCCTTTTTCAATCTAAGCTGTTTAAAATGTTTTTTTCCTTTGCATGTGTCCTTTAGGGGTACTCCGGCGATTTTTTCATGGTCGCTGATTTGCCTCAAAATTGGCTCAACACTCCGATACACATGGCTCTACGAAGTTCCCCAAGTATTGTGTGAAAAGAAAAAAAATTCGCAAAGTTATTCAATTTTTGACTTTCGTTTTCATCGTGTGTCTCAAACCGGGAGCCCCTACTGGCAACATTGAAGTGTGACGACAGAAATGGTATAAAGTGGGCAGTAAGCCATGTTCCCAACTGATTACAAGACGTTTGATGGTGGGAAAATAATGTTTGGTAACTGATTCACTGAGAAGCATGCAAAAAACACTCGACATACTCTGTTTAAGACTACATGCACGACCTGAAAGTCTGCAGTACCATATGTGACGTCACACCACTGAAGAGCGCGGGAAAATTTGAATGCTGGTTTCGGCATCATCTTCATTTATGGTTTTCTCAATTGCTATTCTGAATTTTGAGAAAATAAATAGCATACCATGACGACTGAAGTCCGTTAGTCGGAAAATGCAATTTGTTTAGGTAGTTCAAAAAACAGCTGGAGTACCCCTTCAACATAGGTCGTGAATCTGATATCTTTAATCTTATCTGGCTAATAGTAATGAATCTATTCAATATTGTGCAGCTCGATTAATTTCTTTGTTTGGCTTGTCGCCAATGAGCTTTATTTTTATTTATTTATTTATAAATACTGTTAACCCTTGCCAGGGTCATTACAGAGAGGGAAAAACAACAAAACACATTACCTAACATCTTTCACAACAATAGTACACGTCAAGTAGGCTCTCAAATTCACGAACATTTTCCCTGTCAACAATATAACTAGGCAATGTATTCCAGGATTCAATCACATCAGGAAAAAATGAGTATCGAAAAACATCAACACGGGCATTGAACGGCTCAATGGCTAGGTTGTGATTTAATCGGTCACTTCGTTTACATGGTAGTTTTACATAGCTGTCCTTATTAATCTTAATTTGTCCATGGATGAGTTGAAAAAACAATATCAGTCGATGTTTTTGTCTCCTTGTCTCCAGTAGCTCTAAGTCGCATGAGTCTAACATTGATGTAACCGAATCTGTCCATTTATATTTAGCACAAACAAAGCGGACAGCTAATCTTTGAATTCTTTCTAATTTGGACTTCAAGACTTTCTGATGTGGACTCCAGACAGCCGATGCATATTCTAGAACTGACCTCACGAATGTTTTGTAGGCAATTAACTTAACATTCTTTGTTGCGTTGTGCAATTTTTTCCGTAAGAAGTACAATTTCTTTGAAGCCTTAGAGCACACGTTTTCCACATGTTTTCGCCAGTTTAGATCATGGGTTATGGTCACTCCTAAATATTTAAAACTATTTACATTGTTCAAGAAGTTATTTCCAATGTTATACCTAAAACAAAGTGCACTCTTTTTTTTAGTTATATGAGTAAATGTGGATTTAGTATAGTTAATTTCCATGTCCCACTTTTCACACCACATGTTCAAAGCCTGAAGGCTACGATTGATTTTAATTTGCTCATTTACATTTGTGACTACCGAATAAAGTAAACAATCGTCGGCAAAAAGCTTCATTTCTACGCCTGGCTCTACAATGCTAGCAATATCGTTGATGTACAACAAAAATAATAAGGGTCCCAACACAGATCCTTGTGGGACACCAGAAAACACCTCCAACGAACAAGACATACAATCGTCAACACGCACCACCTGCCTGCGATTGATCAAATAAGCCTCAATCCATTCTAATATTGTAGAGCTAATACCGATTTGTCGAAGTTTTAAGAGTAGTTTATTATGAGAAACCTTATCAAAAGCTTTTGCGAAGTCTATACAAATAACATCTATCTGCCTCTGGTCGTTTACTGCTAACGAAAAATCGTGAATAGTTTCGATTAGCTGCGTAACAGTGGAAAGATTGCTTCGAAACCCGTGTTGATGCGGGTAAAGCAACTGGTTCTCTTCAAGAAAAATAATAATATGTTTTGCTATATTGTGCTCCAGAAGCTTACATGACACAGAGGTAAGAGACACGGGGCGATAATTATTCACGATTGCTCGGACTCCGCCTTTAAAAATAGGTATTACGATTGCACTACGCCAATCTTGTGGTAGTGAGTGAGTTTGCAAAGATTTCTGAAAGATAGCTTCTAGATAAAATGACACCCACTCGGCATATCGTTGCAAAAACGCAGTCGGTATTTCATCAGGCCCACTAGCCTTCTTTACATCCAACTCTAGCAACTGCTGAAATACGCCCACCCGAGTTATTGAAAAATCTTCCATGCAGCACGGGAATGAATTAAATTGTTCACCGTCATAGCTATTACCATTGGCTTTCGAAAAAACAGACTGAAAAAATTCATTGAAGCAGTCCGCTATTTCCTTCCGTTCTGTAACCATCTTGGTTGCGGTTTGAACATGATCGATGCTTTCTTTCTTCTCACTAAAAAAACGCCAAAATTTTTCTGGCGATGTTTTCAGGAAGTTGCCAAGTCTCCGATTAAAGAACTGTTGCCTAGATTCATTTAATGCGGTTTTCAAATTACGACGGACCTGAGATATCTGGTCTTTACTATCTTTTCTTTTCCGTAATCTATTTATTTTACGCTTCATGTGAATAATCTTACGATTGATCCACGGGTTTTGTTGTTTTGTTTTTTTAAAGCGAGTCGGAATAAATCTGTTTACACAATGATTTATAACTCCTTTAAAACGCTGCCACAGTTCCTCCACGGACTCACAATCGCAGGCAAGCTGGAACTGGCTAAATGAACATTCCAAAAAATCGATTACAGAAGTGTCATCCGCTTGAACATATTCTTTGATTGGAATAGGAACAAAGGGTCGCTTACGATTTCCTATACTATGCAATATGTCCATAGCAATCATCTTATGATCTGATATTCCTTCTTCAATGGAGAGTGTGTAATCGCCCACTCTCTGGGATATAAACAACAAGTCCAACAGTGACCGGGACTCAGGAGTTACTCTCGTTTCCTCGTTCACAATTTGCCTTAGATTGTGAGAAATCAATATTTCCAACAATATTTCAGCACTGGAAGTCTCCACGTGCCCAGGGGACAAAGCTTCCCAATCTATGTGAGGTAAATTAAAGTCACCGGTCAGTATTAATCTTGTAGTACTTTTCACATGAGCGCACAAGAACAAATTCAACTTATCCAAAAACTCTGGCTGAGTAACAGGTGGCCTGTACACTACACCAACAAGATACACATTGTTCGCAAAAGTAATTCTACACCACACTGTTTCGTTAAGATTGCAATGTACCAACACAGCCGAGACAGAGTTTTTAACAATAATAGCTACACCGCCACCACGAGAGTCTCTATCCCATCTGAACATTTGGTAACCAGGAGGAATAATGCAGTTATTAGGCACATCCTTGTTCAACCATGTCTCTGTTAATAACACAACGTGAGGACTTCGTGCTAATAAAAGATATTCTAAGTCTGAAGTTTTATTGGCGATACTGCGCGCGTTAAGTACTAGAAGGCGTAGCTATGCTCCTGTGGGAGTGCCTTGGGAACCAAGACGACTATCTAAAGCTGGAGATGACCGTGTACCACCTGAGGCGTCATTTTGGCGATATTCGTGACATAGGCACCGCTCATTTTGGCCATGGTCCCATACGTAAAACTGGTCGTTTACTTTCAGTTTGTCATGGACCAAGGTGACCCTTTTGCCATTGTTCCTGTCAACTGAAGCGCTTGCCCACAGCTTTTTACGCACTTCCACTATTTCTTTCGGATAATCGTTGCTGATCCTAATTTGGCTTCCTTTTAGCTTCCGGCAGTTCCTCAGCACCTGCTCTTTTTCCCTTGAGTCATAAAATCCTAGAATTACAGGCCTAGGACTTCCTGGCTTCTTCTTGCCTAAGCGATGTATCCTTTCTACCGTCTGTACTTGAACTCCTAGTGTTTCCCGAAAGAGCGTGTCTACAACCGCCGCTTTCAAGGTCGACTCGGATTCCGCATTCTCCTCAAGAAGACCAAATACTAAAAGGTTGTTCCGTCGGCTTCGGGTTTCAAACTCAATCAGTTTTTCAGCTTGTTGCCGAACAAGGTTCTCTAGACTGTCTATTCTCCTGTTCAAGTCCTTAATTACTTCAACATAATCAGTCAATTTATCAGTCTTTGTGTGCAGTTTTGCAATTTCTTCATTTATAGCGCCCAATTTACAGTCAGACGTCGCCTGATTCTCTATAATCAACTCTAACAGTTCAGTCGTCTTAGGCCCTGGGTTCTGCTCAACATCACCCGACATAACCAATAACAAAATCATCGACCAGCAATCACGCACTGTAGCACAACACCTGCGAGGGCACGGCAGGACTAATAAAAATCTATTATCGCTTCGGTAAGAGGCCGTGCTATGCCAAGAACCAACCTGCAAAAGCAGCAGCAGCGGCTTAGCCATGTTGTCCGGCGGCCAGATGCCGTGCCCTCTGTAGCAGTCGACGTGCCGCTCTTCCTTTTGTAGCCTCGCCGCCGATGACGTAATGCTCGTTGACTTGAAGTTGACCAATGGTGAGCCAGTGGTGACGTTGTAAAGATGATGGTGCAGAAAAGGCACCTCGTCGGCCCCGCGTGTTGTCGGCGTGAAAAACAGCATCCGCGGCAAAATCTGCAAAAGCAGCAGCAGCGGCTTAGCCATGTTGTCCGGCGGCCAGATGCCGTGCCCTCTGTAGCAGTCGACGTGCCGCTCTTCCTTTTGTAGCCTCGCCGCCGATGACGTAATGCTCGTTGACTTGAAGTTGACCAATGGTGAGCCAGTGGTGACGTTGTAAAGATGATGGTGCAGAAAAGGCACCTCGTCGGCCCCGCGTGTTGTCGGCGTGAAAAACAGCATCCGCGGCAAAATCTGCAAAAGCAGCAGCAGCGGCTTAGCCATGTTGTCCGGCGGCCAGATGCCGTGCCCTCTGTGTGTTCAACGTGGATAAACTTCATTATTGATGATCAACATGATGTTCAACGTGGATAAACTTCATTATCTTTTACTGCCAGAAGCTTTCCAGACTAACATTTTTGTCCCATCCAATTATACAATCCACTCTCTGGGTGTCAGGCTCTTATGGTTATCAAGAGCTTCCAATTCAAGCTTCCTATTTTGCAGAAAAAATAGAGCACAAGCCAGTTGGTACAAGTTGAACACGATGGTAACCTTGACAGTGGTAGTGTCTTTTTGTTTTCTTAAGCTGAATAGATTTGTTTTAGAAAAAGCCATAAAAGCTACACTTAAGCGGTTTATGGAGGCGAGTTAAACGGCCAGGGGGACATAGTTTAGGGGGCTAATCGTAACGATCGGTCGGCTAATTAAGTGTAATTTGTTAATTAACTTTTTAATTAGTGAAAATAGACATGGTTCCAATTAGAAACATGCTCAGCATGATTCAAAACCACAAAATCAATAATTTTTGGAAATACTTTGAGCTCGTTGGAAGCGTAGTAGGGCGCCGAATGTATCAATTGTGCAGCAGGTACAAAGCTGGGGCTATGATAAGATATGGAAAAACCATGCGCGCGCATTATTGCACCAGTAGTAGCCTTGTTCCTGCTGCGCATGAGTGGGAACTTCAGCGCACTACTGCCCTCAGTCTTTCTGAAAATTGCTGATTTAGTGGTTTTCTATGACGCTCGGCAAGTTTCCAATTGGAACCATATTATCTATTTTCACTAATTAAAAAAGTTAATTTACAAATTTTATTTAATTAGCCGACTGATTGTTACAAATAGTCCTCTATACTATGGCCCCTTTGCCATATAACTCACCTGCACAAACCGTGCAAGTGTAGCTTTCATGACTTTTTTAAACAAATTTGTTAAGCTTTAAAAAAGACATCCTTTATATTTGTTTCTAAGCAAAACACATTGAGAGGAACTTTTTTTTTCCCTGTAATATATATATATTTTTTTTTATGAAAAATTGTTTTTAGCTTTTTGATTTGCAAAATAGGAAAGGAAGTACCTGCTTCAATTAACTCTGGATGCTATTTAGTGGAAGTTAAACATGCTCCAGTCAGAAATATCCCCATGTTTTCTCATGGATGATCTGAAAGGTAGACATTCATAGTTGCTTACTTTTCTTGCATGCTTTGTTCAGGCAACACTGCTACCTCCCAAGGCAGTGCTGAACAGAAAAGAGGCCCGCAAGGAGAATGGGATCCGGTTGACCAAATGTTCCCAGAACAACAACAGCAGCAGCAACACTGCTAGCAGCTGCAACAGCTGTGTTGTCAGCATTGCCGAACTGGGCGACAAAGTGCGACCATCCCTGGGTGGCTCCCCTTGCCCCAGGGTCAGCTCAGGCTCTGCCACAAGCCCGGTGTCAAACGGCAGGACCCCTACCACCTCCATTTCTGGCAATGTGTTCATCATTGGAGGCCCTAGCCTGCCCTTAGGCAAGTTCCACCCTGTGCCTGTTTCATTTCCTTCATCCATTTAATCTGAGCCTTTGTTAGCGGCTGCAATTCTCTCATTAATGGAGTCTAGTACAGAAACACAATGCTCCTATAGTTTTACGTGGGATTTTAAATGGGATGTTGGGATTGTTCTTTATGTACAATAATTCAAAATATTCGGGTTCTATATAATTGGCTCGATTTGGGGGTTTTGTGAGAAATACAATACTTTTCTTCTTAATATTCCTCATGAATGTCATTGGGGGTGGTAAACTTAAACTGGGACTAGTATTATGGACGAAAACTTGTCAAAGAAAGCTGTGAAAGCTGTGGCTGTGAAAGTGACTAAGCTGCTACTGCAATTATTTCATCCAACAGATTCATCCTTGGAGAAAGGCGATGCTTCTAAAATGGCAGCGGAGAAAGCAGAATTGACCGTGAAGGCGGTGCCTGCTGCTGCAGCTCCATCACGAAATCTATTTAAGAAGCTACCCCAGAATGGACAGGAGGCTGAAGTCACTGTGATGGCACTGCCAAGCAACCACCAGCGAAGCAGCGTTGCAGAGCTACTGCCGACTGTGAAAAAGGATCTATGCATTGCACACCAGCTAAATGGGGCACAGGTCAGTGGACTGCTTTTGATACTTGTGTGTTTGTATGTCTTCTCAATGCTTTTGCACGGCATATTGTTGCAATGCTTATTACTAATTAGACATTCTGCAGTTTTTCTTAGCTAATGAATGCCAATGTCAACCGTCTTTTAATCATCATCACATATTTCTGCCTTGCCCAAAATTACTATTAGGATAGTTGGGTCAAGCGTAAAGAAACTATTATCTCCATTTTTAACTAAACATTTCGTCAAGAAATTTGGCTTAGCGAGTGTCAGGTTAATATCTGTATTTGGGGTCTACATGCCTAATGATAGGAAGGATTAAGCTAAGACCTTGAGTGGCTAGGATGCTAAGAATCTACTTGGAAAGTGCTTCATTCAGCTGTTTTTACTTTACAATCAACTAGTTTCTTTTAGTAAAGGATTTAGCTATTCAGTGACATACACATTTTCGTTGCAGCCATGTAAGAAAAAGGCATGTCGTTAAACCTCAGCTTATGTTTCTCATTCTTAGTGTGCTGGGTATTGTTTTGATTGACACACTTTTGCTAGTACAGTGATATCTCGTTAATATAGACACCTCCGTTACCCCCAAAGAGCTCCCATAATGTGACTTGTCTATAATGACGAGACAAAAGAGCATGTACTTACCGAATTCGTCCCCAAAAATGTCTTTATAGTGGGGTATTTAGATTAATGGGGTCCGTATTGACAAGAAATGACTTTAGTTTCATCTTGATGGTTGGTGGCAATCATTCTTTTCACAAGTACTGTAATACATAACCTCTGAGTTCCCCCTTACAAACTTCCACAAAATGTGGGGCATATCAACAATCTTTCGACTTGCAGAAATTATAAACATCACTAAGACTCGCACACTTCAATAACTTCTAATATAGTTCGTACTGATAGCACTTCTCCTGCTTCTGCTGTAATTGGTCGATATGTTATATAGATAAGTATGGTATCCCCAATTTCGGTCAAAAACCTGTAACATACAAATAATTTGCGTCATGTAATGGCAGTGACTGTTGTATACCACTAAGTTAATAGCTTTACTTTGAATGGGACCTTTTCTTGCTTCAGTAGCTGTGTCCAAATTTGGTGTTGTTGTAGAGCCTGAACAGCTTTTTCGTTTGAGAAGGTAGTAAATGAGACATTGAATGTGACTAATGACTACCGGTTTGTCGACAATGTGTCTGAAAATAAACATTTACAATAAATGGAACAGCCCTTGAGATGGCACAGTTAACTCCGTGCATGACTGCATGTCCACAATAATCTAACTTGCATAAGCTAGGGGTTTAAAAATAAACGGTTTTACAATATAATTTTGTTCAGTATGCCCATATTTCTCAATTCTAGTTGCTAATTATAAACATTTTTTTAATCAATTGCTGCACTTCAGAGATTAAGGGAAGATGCGACTCGGCGACACCTTTTTTTATATATTTGCTGACGCCGACTCTTGTTGTTCAATCAATCAATCGGGTTTATTGTCATGAGTTGCATCATACAATTATTGAAAACCATCAGGGCCCATAGCCTTTTGGCTAGTTTGGGCCCATTTTTATAATAACATATTAGGAAGGCAGCACTCTTAAGGAATTATACAAGTACAATAAAAGAAGAAAAAAAGAAAATCAACAGAAAAGAAAGGAACGTAGAACATGACTTGGTTAACTACAGCAAGTTATTTATACATTGTATATAATAAGAAGCACAAGTGTATTCAAAGTTAAAAAAAATGATGAATTCAATAACAGAATATGCGAGTGAGTTTCAGAATGGGGGGGGGGGGGGGGGGGGGGAGAGACATTCTGTTAAGAAAAATATAATATTTTAAAGCACTGTTAAAGTTGCATGAATAGGTGACTGAAGATGGTAAAGTTTTCCAGATTTTAGTTCCGCACGATGGCATCAGTCGCTCGCTGTATACTTTACGAGACTGTGGTATGTTAAAGTGACCAGATGCGTTCACCCTTGTTAATTGAGTACCCTTAATTAAGATGTTGCTGCGTCTTGGGGCTGGATGAGCCGGGAGCTTATCCTGGCTCATCCAGCCCCACGATGCGACAACAAAGAATCCCCCGCCTCCCCTTTCGCCAACAAGTTAAGTGTGGGTGAGAGGGAAATGGGAAGGGTAGTGAGGAGGATTTTTACCGTTGTTGAAAAATATTTTGCATGTCGGCCTTGAGATTTGCAAAACCTTTATTAACGTATTGCAATTCCAAATATATAGTACCTGCACTCTACATATCCTCAAGATGATACATAAAAAGATTTAATTATGAAGGGAAGATTCTATATCCCACACACTGAATGCACAAGCTGAGGAGATGATCAAAAGTAGCAAAACGAGGAAAATGCATTTGAAAGTTCCAAAGATGTATACTCTTCAAAAAGTTGGCTGGAATTACATGAAATTCGGACATACATTTTTGTCCAGTAATCATCCAGCGTCACTAAAACAGTCCCTCCCTGTATGTTGTGATTGCTCTGGCCCCTCTTGTGCCAGAGCCATCAAACACCATTGCAATTCAGCTCCTCCTCCCACGCCAGCATATCAGTCTTCACAAAGTTTTGGCTGACAGTTTTCGCGGCAGTAGCATAAACTTTCTTGCTAGTGAAGGCCTTGTGGTGCATTGGTGTTCGCAGGAGGAGAACCACGCTGAAGCGTGGAAGTGTGCGGCTTTTAAGTTGACAGATGGCAAAACTCGTGCGAGATTCCTCTGTTGAGATTTGCTTTGCGCTTACATCTCCATCTGACGCAGCACTTTCCAACATAAATGTCAAAAGAAAGAACTCGCTCAAAGCACTGGCTCTTTGCAGGTTGAGGGGCAGTGAAAATCCCTTGCATTTCGCTACCGCACTCCTGACAAGCAGGGCGGATCGCATCGCTCAGAAGTATCGTCGGCACGCCGATTTCACACATCACTGAACTTGCAAAGTGATAGCCTCTTGTTTTGTTAACATTTTTGAAGAACCCCATCTTTTCCGAAGTGCCGACACACGTGAACGAAGCACTGATTGCATCATAAGTTGCCATTGCTGTGGTTAGGCTTAGCAAGCGATGGTAAATGTTCCTTTGCTGGTGTTCTCTGCTTGCTTTTGTGCCACCTTCCTTAAAATTTGTGCTTGCTTCATTAGTTCCGTGAAAATCAGGCTTTTTAGTGTTGTCTATCGCAAATCAAATCGGAGAAACTTGGGAAGCGTTGCTGTTTTGAGCGTCAGCCTCCTGAATATGGCCGATATTCACATCAACTTGCAATGTTTTAAAGGGGCACTGGCACCCCAAAGGTCGTATTCTTTTTTGTCTAAAACAATGCAAGGTGTAGTCATAGACCCGAAGAAAAAAAACCGCATCGCGAAAAAAAATTTTCCCGCGCACGCGCGTGCCTTTTTATTTTTGTCGTTTATATCTCTTGCGCTCACCTCCTTGCTTCTTTTGATCGGTGACGTCAAAAATCGGGAAATTTAGAAGCTTTGTAGGCGACATTTCTATAGCATTTAATAACGGCAATCGTAAAGCATGTTTTTTAACGCAATTGCGAACTCACTACAGCCCCTCTTTTTGAAATACCAGAAATCAGATTTTGGTGTGATGTCGCTTCCTGGATTTGTATCCTCCCTCGGAAAACTTGGCGGCGCTCGAGCAAAGGATTATCGGCGAGTCGGGAAAGAAACCGGTTTTTTCCCGCACCGGCAGCCTTCTATCCCGCCTGCTCACCTCTACCTTGCTTAGAGTCGCTGTGGCAACGGTGCTTTGCTTCATAGCGGGGAGCGGACGTCCGAAAGAAAGTCGAGTGGCAGGAGACCGCAAAATTTGACTCACTGCACTGGCGCGGATCGCGCGGGAACTTCAAATTCGGCATTTGGAAATTGTTTTTTTTTAATTCAGAAATACTGAATTCCCAAGTTTCGAGTTTTGAGGGTAATGTCCCGGCATCGTTTTCAATCATTTAGGATAATAAAAAAAATATGATTTTGATGTGTCAGTGCCCCTTTAAAGGGATGCTGAACCGAAATTTCGATTCAACTAAACACGCGGTAAAAGCGTGCAACGGGATGCTACAAACACCAAAACATCACTCATACAGCGATATCTCGAACGGATGTCCCAATTTTTCAAGAAAAGGAGGGTGCATTTGACAGAGATGATGTCGTCATGTTTCTCCGAGAAGGAGAGGGAACGGCCTCGCGTCTTCTCCGCCTCGCGGCCTTGAGGGAGCGAAGCGAAGAGAGGAGGAAATTTGGTATATTGGCATCACGCGCCTCGTCGGCCTGGTTCAATCTCGACCTCTTTTTTCAGAAATACGGCCGTCCTTTCGAGATATCGCCTTACAAGTAGTGGTGTAGGGATTGTAGCGTCCCGCCTACATTTCCTGCATTGTTTTTTCTGAAATCCAAATTTCGGTTCACCATCCCTTTAAGCCACCGTGAGTTGGACACGTTTTTTTTCCAAATTTCTCGTCCAAATTTAAAAAAATTTTTTTTACTCTTGAAGGTAAAATGTTTGAGGATAATAGAACAAGCAAAGGAAAAAAAATAAAAAATCTCCAAAATGAACTTGATTTTTTTACCCACATCTCTCCCATGCATTCTTTCTTTTACATTCTATTTCTGCTTCCTATTTTATGTCGAGAAAAAAAAATTGAATTCATACTTGTGAGCTCAAAAGTGAGATCAGAGGAGTTGGGACATCTGCCAAAGGGGACGTGTATAGTGGACTGATGTATTGCCCCATCTGCCATACACCAGCTTTCAGCTTCACTTTGCATGTATGGTAGATTTGCATTGTCAAAGTGACCAGTGGGAGGTAGAGCAGATTGGCTGTGTGGAGCTGGAAGCAAATAAACGAGAAAAGTTGTAGAAAAGGACTTGGCTAAGTAAGGTGGCTTCCTAGGTCCTTCCACCCAATTTTGGTTCCAACATACAGGGTATTTCACCAACTGAAAAAAAAGAAAAAAAAAAGAAACGAAATAAAGAAACTATTTTTGTGGGACAACATTGTTGACTGCGGCAGACATCAATGTATCAATGAAAATTATAATTAGCCACCTAATTTTCCAAACTTCGCTAAATAACTTGTTTAAATAAACACCTTATCTGGCAAATTCCAATGAATTTGTTGCCCCTTGTTCAAATATGCTATAACAGTGGTTGAAGGCAGGAATCCAAACTCTTCTCCACACTATTCAATGGTGAAGTTCTTCTGTCTTAGAATTCTCCGTACCCAATTAAAAGAAAAAAAAGTGCCAAAAGTTGCACGCCAAGGTGACGTCGAACTATGGCGTGCCTTTTCTGTGACCGCATGACCCGAGACAACAGGTCGCTGTCAGAATGGCCCGCGACTATCACCACCCATGCTTGTTGTGGAGGGTGACGTCGCTTCCGAGTGGGACTTCCGTAGCTCTTTTGCATCTTAGTTTCAATGTCTGTCTCCTCTTGGCTTAAATTTGCCAGGAGATAGTGCTGAGCCGAACCTGTTGTCTGAATACTAACTGCTGTCGCATAGTTTGATGACGCCACCAACAAATATCTAATTTGTAATGTGCCAGCTTAGGTGAATATCTTTAAAGGCTAATTAGTGAATTTCGGTCAATATTTCGCTAATTATCACTTCATGCTCGTAATGCGATGTGTGCCGTGGTCTGTAACATTATCCCAAAGGAATAATTTCTTTATTTCAAGTGCCCTTTTTAAAAAGAAGTCTTCTCAGTTGATGGGGAAACGCCCTGTATGCTTACGTAGACATTGGACGGCTCATTTTCCTTGCCACCCACACCACCTGCCTTTTCAACTTCTGCAAAACGATTTCTTGCCCAGCTCTTATACTCTTTGGTGTGGATAAACCGTAACTTTCAGTGGATTCAAACATAAGTACTTGAAATTCAAAGTTGTACTTTCTTGGGAAAGCACTATACAAAACTACTTTAGGCATATACTCCTGAGGTGCACTTACAGGGAAGTACAGGTATTCGTAATGCACTACTTGAAGTACAACTTTGAGTTCAAAGCAATGAAGTGGGGATGAATTCCAGCACCACTGACACTATAGTTGCTTTCATTTGATGCCGGCTGCTGCACTCTTTAAACTTCTTCAATTGGGACTCCAAACTACTTGGTATGAAACATACTACAGCGGAACTTATGCAATCGTTTATACAGGGTGTTTCAGGGAATGCAGGCCAAATCGCTCCTGCGAAAGCTACTCATCGCAACGAAAAAAAGGCTTGTGGCGTTTTGGTCCTGGGCTAGGGGCTCATTTAGGAAAATGATTAAAGTCCAGGATAATTAAGTTGTTAATTATTTTTGCGTAATTAACTTTTTTAATAGATAGTGCAACCAGACTCTGCTGTGTCGCGCAATGACAGTGCAGCAGAGGTTGGTTGCACTATCTCTCCACGGGGCACGGTGCTGCCAGGGCTGAGATGCGCTCCGATAGCAAACCGAAGCTTAAAAACTTGTCGATTTTGTGCGGTTTTTCAGAAAGCCGTAAAATGCTTTGCGTGCCTTCTATCGTTCTGCAATTTGTCTTTCAATGATGCTGAGCAATTTTCTAATTTAAACCATGCCCTTAAATATGATATTAAAAAAGTTAGTTACGCAAAAATAATTAACAACTTAGTTATCTCGGACTTTAATAATTTTCCTAAATGGGCCCCTGGCCCAGGACCAAAACGCCACAAGCCTTTTTTCGTTGCGATGAGTAGTTTTCGCAGGTGCAATTTGGCCTGCGTTCTCCGAAACACCCTGTATATACGGATGATATTATGATACCAAAGGTCTTTCTAAAGATACCACAGCAATAATTAGAGCACCTTCTCACCCGTGACGACTTAGCACTGCTGAAAAGAATAGACTCTTCATGTGAAACAACCAGACTTCTGCACAAGTCTGGTGCCGCTCATTGCATAGAGATTGAGCTTTTGTTGTACCATTTGTACATAGCAAGCTTTTCATACAGCATTTAAGGTTTGTTCTAGTGTGGGGTAAGCGTTTTGCAAAATTTGCCTTTAAATTACATGTAGCTATACCAGCTAACAAATGTATGAATAAAAATAGAGCTAGAACAAGACTGAGAAGAAAAGGTTGCACAACTTGGTCAGGCAGCATAAGTACGAACATTACACATAGTCATGTGAACAGCTCTTATGTTGCTGTTGGATGCTGCTGTACAGCCTCTTGAGCAGCTACTTACGAGTTGCGACATTTGAAGCTCAAAACAGTTTTTTTTTTTTCTCTCATTCTTTTATTTCTTAGACAAAAAGCAAGAAGTCAAGGAAGAAGAAGAACTCTTCAACTGATGTTACATCTCCAGGTTAGTTCAGCTGCAAAGAATAATAGTGTGATTACTCTCTCGAGCTCTTTTAAATGATGTTGAGCCCAGGATGCCCCACAAGTCCTCTTCGGCTATATGGTATCGTAAAACACCATGCATGTACCATTGGATACGAATGAAATGCAAACAGTGGAGCGCGTGGCCTTTGATACATGCTGCGCAACCTAGAAGCCACGAGCAACTGATAAAACTGTGGAGTGGAGAGAGGGGCTACGAGGGTGTGCACAATGGAGTAATCGTGCACCCTCGCAGCCTCCTTTCCACCTGATAGTGTTATCAGTTCCTAGTTGCCCCTAGGTTGTGCAGCATGTATCAAAAGCCATGCACTCCGCTATTAGCAATTTATTCATACTCAATAGTAACTTTCATTTTATGTGAAAGATAGGAAATTGAAGGAACAAACATATACATTCTCTAATATTTAAAGTAGGTTATAGTTACAGTACAGCCATTTGGTGTTTATTATTCTGAAAGTTGTCTTCTTTTTTTATGTATTTGTTCATTGCAGTTCGCTAGTTTTTCACCACTCTACTTGATAACTTACAGAACCGACCTGTTAACAAAGCTTAGAGCACTGTTATTGAAATGTTCCCCTTTAAAGTTAATGTACTGCATAGCCCAGTCCTCTGTATGTTTCCACGGTCGGAAATTTTAGCCATATGTACACTGCTTGACATGGTTGGTGCAAACAAGCAAGCGACTTCCGGATTTTTCCCTTTTTTTCTGATAACCTAAGGGCTGCCACGAGAACAGCTGTCATGGTGAAAAGTGCTAATTCAAGACGCTAACTTAAGCAATAAAATGTGATGTCTGCCAATTCTCTTTCGTAGTAAAATGTGAAAAACGCCAATGTCATGTTCACTCTGGCAGTGCGCTGCAAAGATTGCAGAATAACAAAAGAAAAATGCAGTTATGCAAAAGATGCTGTTCTTGATGGTGCAATGCCCCAAATTATCTCCTAAAGCGAATGAGAGTGCTATAATCGGTTACAAGTCAAGAAGGTAGGAGAAGCTCCTCCCACAAGCGTGATGCGCCCGTTTCAAATCCCTCCGCAGTCGAAAGAAGAGTTTACTGGAAACACACCTTGTTCTGCTTCAATGGATAGATATTAGCTACAGAGTGAGGCCAACCTGTCTCCGATCCCACTTTTTAAAAAAGCTACCTTTGTATTCATCAAAGGGGGCACCGGGCCCCTGAAAGCAGCCTTTGTATCCATCGGAGGGGGAACCTAATTTCCGAAAGTCATATTTGTTTCTATTGGAGGGGGAAAACTCTAATCTCCCTGTTGTGGCTTCCACAATGCTAAGTCAAAGTCGAAAGATAAAGCAAATTTGTACAGGAAGGCAAGACCCTCCTCACGCGTTGGCTGCGACGTCACGGAAACGATGGGACGCTATTAGATGCAGAGGTGGCGGAGGGATATACGATTCCCTTTGAAGGGGCATTTGCCGCTACCTTCTTGACCTGTAACTTACTATAGTAATTTGTTGACAGAACTTTGTGTGTGATAAGACTGATTGGAAGTAAGATGCTCCTTTGTTCTATTTGTGGGAGATGTGCCATTTTTTTAAGCAGTTTTAGTGCCTAGTGCACAAAAATAAGTGCCAAAAATTGTTCTTTTTTTAGTACATGTGACATTCACCAACTCTGTTTAAAAAAAAAAGAAAATAATTTTCTGGCAGGCATTTTTGGTTCAAAACCTAAAGCATCAAGCACTTGTTAGTCAATCAAGATAGGGTCTAAGTTGAGCACTTTCAAAGGTAACATTGTAAGTGTTTCTCAATGTACTGCTTGTAGTATTTGAGACATCTTGTGTTATTGGAAAACCCATTATTTTCACAAATCTAGTTTGAGGGGAATCTGGCATAGTGGGCATATTTGTGACCCGTAGGATTTGCATCGTTAAAGAAACTTCAGACTTTCCTTTTGTGGCAGGATTTAATATACCTTCACATTTCGCTATTGGACCAGCATGTTTATAGGGCAGTTAATTATAAGGCAAATTAGAAGTTTTGCCGCTTCATGTCACTGATGGCAAATGTATAAATTTTTAGATGATGTGTTCTTACCAAAAGACATTGATCTGGAAAATGGAGACTTGGACGAGCTCGAAAGGGAAGTGGAGGCCTTCAAGAGGTAAGACTACATAATGAAATGATGTTCGGAATTTACCTGCTCTAAATTGCAGTTCATGTATACTTTGTGTTAAACAATGTATGCTGTTGCTGAGAATTTTGTTGACTACACAATCTGAAAGGTATGACCTGTAGCTGTGTATGCTTTTAATTTAAAGCTTGTTATGATACTCATGGTGCATAACATTACTGGAAATATAACTTTTTCCTGACCACGAGAAAGGTAGCAATTTTCTAAGGATCCATGCAAACGCTTTTATTTTCCCGACTAATTTCCGTATGGAGCAATATGACATGTCAAAATGTGGCCAATTAGTTTTTCTTTCAAAAGAAACTGAGGTTAGTGTAATGTTAAAAAAAAAAATTTAACAATTTAAAAATTTTATTTTTTGAAAATACAGTGTACGTGCAGATAGAATATAAATGCCAACACTTCTACAGCTATTCAAAAGTTGGTGTACTTTAACTGACGTTGTCTATTTTTGGTTCGCCTGGGAGTTAGCCTACGTAATGTGTGCTTTTCGACGAAGGAATGCTTATGTTGGTGAAACACAGATAGTACACCTCACATCCCTAGCAAAACGCTTTGTGTTCTACCTTGGCTTTTTTCATAGCCTTGATTGCAGTTCGTTCATATTTAGCATTTTTGTCCACCTTGTTGGGAACATAAAACATGCAACTCGCAAAATACATCCACACGGCATTGATTCTTGATCGGTACCCAAGCCTGTGAAGGCACAGAGACACAGCACTTGGATGTGCCAAGGAAGCTTTGAACACGCCGCAAGACCGGCGAAATTTGCTTTCGACAAGTTGTGCCTTTTTTCTGCAGTACTTCGCTTTCGTAAAAATTTCCACTTCTCAACGGCAAGTATCACAGCTCACACAGGACCTTAAAGAACGTCTTCGGCAAATGACGACGAACGAGTAGAAAACGCGTCTTTAGCACGCTGCCGCCGGCTTCTGCAACGCTAGCTAAACAGTAAAAAACGGCATGCAAGATGGCTGTCTGGTGGCCGCACTCGCCCTGCAGCGAACGAGCGGGGATGCGCAATCCAGCAATAGCCCTCTTGCGAAATCCCCCAAGTGCCCCGGCCCGCGCGCGGGGAATTGTGGGAGAGACTGTCCCTGGCCTGGCCGCTCTGCCTTGAGATTGCATTGCCTTGTCGCTTGTCTCCTCTTAATCCTCTGTTTTTCGATTCCATTGCCTATTTTTATCTATTTCAGTGTATTTTTTATTGCTTCTAAGTGTTTCTATTATCTTCTGCGCGCGATATTTCTTGCATATATATAGTATTTGTGTCTTTATTTTGCCTTTTTCGACGGGAGTGCCAACAGACAACATGCCGCTTCGCGTGTCGTTCCCCGGGTGAGTACTACCGTTGCTACCGATTACTGTCGCACTGTTAGCTGTTCATTTTGGTTCAGTTGACCCGCGTGCAGTCTAGAGGAGCTGTTTATGAACACCCGCACACATGTCATAGGGGTGGGCAGAGCTCTGAATCAACAATCGCAATGCGAGAGCCAAGTGCACTGTGATTTGGCCGCCCGCGCTCGCTCCGTTGACTCGCACTGTAGTGTATGCCTTCCAGTGCCGCTTGCTTGACCAAGATAAAGCACGCCGCTTTGTCGCCGCGAACCATTTGTCCAAATGTTTGCGAAGCTGAGGCATATGCAACTCTGTGGCGCCTGACAACTGCGCGCTGCGGCGCGATCCCTTCGCAAACGCCGACGGCTCAATGTCGCGGCTTAAATGCGCCTATGGTATGCCTTCGTAATTTATCTGCTAAGCAGTTCTCAGTTGCCAACGCCCTTTTTTAAGTGCAGAGATGTGTTGCCGCGAATCATTTGTCTGAATGTTTGCAAAGCCGTAACACCGTTCTTCATATCCAACGCTGCGGTGCCTGACAAACTGTGCGCAGTGGCGCGAGCCCTTCGCAAGCGCCGGTGGCTCAACGTCGAGGCTTGTATGCGCTTATGCTATGCCTTCTTAATCTATCTGCTAAGTGGTTGTCGTTGCAAACACCCTTTTTCAAGTGCAGAGATGTGCTGTCACCCAGGCATGTCATCTTGAAACTCGTAGTTCCTTTGATAATTTTATTTTTCTAGTCGAGATGTCAGCTCAAGGTACTTTATTTCTTTAGGTCATCTTCAGCAGCAACATGCTTGCTTGGTACAGTTTGCTGTGTGCAAGGCTGTGCAAACAATACTGCCAGCGCACAGCTTGTTTCCTGGCACCGCTTTCCAAGACAGCGTCTTGCAAAGCGTTAGGGTGAAGACAACTGCACGCAGTTGTCAGGCGCCGCTGCATTGGATATGCCGAACGGTGTTACAATTTCGCAGGCATTCGGATAAATGATTCGCGACGGCAAAGCGGCGGGCTGTATCTTAGTCAAGTAAGCGGCACTCGAAGTCACACGCTACAGTGCGAGTCAACGAAGCGAGCGCGGGCGGCCAAATCGCAGCGCACTCGGCTCTCTTGTTGCGATTGTTGATTCAGAGCTCTGCCTACCCCTATGACATGTGCGCGGGTGTTCATAAACGGCTCCTCTAGACTGCACGCGGGTCAAATGAACCAAAATGAACAGCTAACTGTGTGATACGAATCGGTAGCAACGGTAGTACTCACCCGGGGAACGACGCACAAAGCGGCGTGTCGTCCGTCGGTACTTCCATCGAAAAAGGCAAAATAAAGACAGAAATACTATATATACGCAAGAAATATTGTGCGGAGAAGATAATAGAAACACTTAGAAGCAATAAAAAATACACTGCAATAGATAAAAATAGGTAATGGAATAAAAAAACAGGATCAAGAGGAGACAAGCGACAAGGAAATGCGATCTCAAGGCAGAGCGGCCAGGCGACGGACAATCTCTCCCGAAATTCCTCGCGCGCGGGCCGGGGCGCTTGGGGAAAATTGCAAATCGTCTATTGTCATTGAGATCAGTGGTCGTGGCGTTCGGCGAAACACTGTTTGTACATTGAACTGTAAAAGGCCAGAGCCTCGTCAGGCTTGACTGGCTTTTGCACTGGCCCTTCTTTCGGATCCAGTAAAAAAAAAAGACAAATAAAAAATATATATATAAACAGTTGGATTTTGTTAGCAGTTACAACTGGATTTCTTGCACCTTTTTTTAGTTGTTGGTAGTGTGTGGATTTGTTTGCTGTATGTCTCACAACTTCTATTTTTTTGTTGTCGTAGGTTTTGCTTCAATTCTGTGCCAGTTGCCAACAAAGAAAAGGTCCATGTTAACCTGAAAGACATCTTACAGCGAAGAAAGCAATCCTCAGCTGCCATGTTGTCTCAAGGCTTGATGCAGAGGACGTAAAGTTGCCCTGACCTGTCCCACCCCCCCTTTTTTTTTTGTCCGCCCCATTTTTCTTCTTTAATGTTGTGACCCAGTCACAACACAAAATTAGAGATTGTCATGTTTTGAAAGTTCAAATTGAGACAGTTGTGCTTTTTGGCATGAAGGCATTGTTGCGTTATGAGAGAAGCGTCATTTAAAGCATGATGGAATAAAATTTCCAGAGCAACACTAAGCTGTCATTGTGGTGTACTCTCTCTGTGCATGCTGAAATTGAGGTATTGTTACCTTTGCTATCAAGCTTCAATTTAAACTACAGGATCAATTTAAGCTGTTATTTTTTATGATGCCAGGCTGTGACATTGCTGTTGTAAAGAATGGGCCAGGCACTGAGCCTCCGAATAAACCCTATAAGTGAGGTTCTCATATTACCAAACTGGTTTCATACAGAAGTGTAGCTATAGCCAGTGACAGTTCAAGAACGAAGAGAAGCTCCGCCCACCCCTTCCCACTTCAACGGAGCGAACGCTGGAGAGGAGGCGACCTCTTCTCCTCCTTTCGCTCTGCTGAAGTGGAAAGGGGTGGGAGGAGCTTCCACTTCGTTCTTGACCTGTCACCGGCTGTATTACACATTTTGGGCGAAAAGGCAAAGATAAACCAACTTAATTTCAAAAGTTAAAAGTAAAATTGCAAGAAAAAAATACCATTTTTTAGGGGCGAAGTTCCTTAGGGTCTAGCCTTGTCCGTCCGGCGTCTGTGCTCACATCGTTTGCCATCCCATCTGTCTTCTTAAAAAAAGAAAAAAAAAATGATTGCGCAGTCGACAGGATTCGAACGTGTGCAGGGAGACCCCAATAGATTTCTAGTCCATCGCCTTAAAGGCCGACGTACGACCTCGGTTTTCTGCAGGGAAGATAATCCTCTTGGCGCTCCCCCTTTCCTAAGCTGCAAGGGAAGTCAAGTTGGTGCAAGGCAAAAAGTGGAGAGCGCGAAGTGTACGTTGGCCTTTAACCACTCGGCCACGACTGCGGGACGAGTAGGGGGCTGTGAGATGTGGTAGTAACTGAAGAGCTGGGGATGTCATGGATGGAATGTTGCATGTAGCCGCTCAACGTCTATACAGGAGGGGGCGCTGCGGTCAAATGCGTATATAATCGCGTTAAACGTTGCATGCATTGGCTCAATGTTTATAGACGAGAGGGCGCTGCGGTCAAATGCTCAAATGCGTTCCCGTTCAGGGATGGGCAGTATTTCAAATACAAGTATATGAAATACATATTTTAAATACTTTGTGTATTTTGCATTTGTATTTAATTACAAATTGGGTAATGTATTTGACGTGTGTATTTAGATACTAAAACGTGGGTATTTCAAATACAATTGTAATTAATACAATTTTGTGGCCGAAAATACATCCCTCAAATTTATTGTCACGACAATTCTTGTTTTTATGCATCTGGTTGTAAGATATAGTCTCCATCCTTTATTCGGCCATGGGGCTTTTTTCTTTCTCTCCTCCGGCTTTCTTTTAAAAGCACTGTCCAGAGCAGGAAGAAAACTATGTTCTGCACCGAATGCACTGTCTCCCAAACAAACAGAAGCATTTAGTGACTGTGATTACGGTGCTAGTCCACGGCAAGAATAGTGACGAAATCGACGTTCACAGGCAGACTGTCTAAATAAGTGCCTGTGACAACTTGTGATGCTTTCCAGCCTGATTTCCATCCATATTTTTGCCTGGAACATTCTAAATGTGCGGGTCGTCCAGATTTTCGTAAGAAATTCTCTAGCTAGTGCTGCGCGTCCTGGTCCTCTCGGTTCTTTGTTGGTCTATGCCAAAATGTAATCGACAAAAAAAGCTGCTTGAAGCTCTGTACTTTTTTCACCTATTACGTCCAAGTTGATTACATTTTTTGTGATTATATTTCTATTACGTTACTAGAGCCTCGCACACTAACTCCCGAGTGTGCGATGCGAAATTAAAATGAGATACCCAGAAACCCGTTGCAGGTGCACTGAAGTCGCTGACGCAAATTTTGAGGAATGTATTTGGAAAAGTATTTGGAGGAGACCAAACACATTTGGTTGTATTTGTACCTTGTACTTAGATGCTTTTTTGGAAATGTAAATAGATTTGTAACTGAATACATTTTTGACGAAGTATTTTGTATTTGTATTTCGATACATATTTGCATGTATTTTGCCCATCCCTGACCACGTTCCATACCACACATTCTCTCTCTGACATGGATGAAAACAAACGAAAAGCTCGGCATGCTGCAGTTCAGCGTCTACGCAAACAGCAAGCTGCTGCGGAGACCAGGGCGCGAAAAACGCAACCCGGAACTCAGCACTACCTATCAGAAATAAAAAAAAACGGCATCATCAGCACTACCTAAAAATCGGTATCATCAGCACCACCAGAGCTTCGCTCCACTCAACAACATTCACCACGTAAAAATGCGGTAATTTTTTTCTTTTTTTTTTTTTTTTTCTTTTTTTTGCAGCTAGGGTGCACACTTTGGTCATGAGCCAAAGCATTTAGTGCAGCAACCTCAATGTCTAGTTCAAGATATGTGCACTTTTGGGGTCCACGCAGTTAAAAATGGAGTATCTAATGCAAAACAATTTTCAGGCGAAAAGAAAGAACAAAAATGTTGACAGATTGTTTTAGAAAAGGGCGACTTGGACACTATCCTTGCGGTTTGTTTGTTAGGCTTGGTACACATTGGATAGGGTATAACTGACAATTAGTTTTTGTACACCTTTATTTTTGCAGGCTCAATATTTTGCGAAATGTGGGATTCGGGAATATGTTATGCACAAAATTTTCCGATTGGGGCTGGTATGCTATGTGTTCAATACATGGGGTGATGTATTTGCGTAATATTTTGCAATATTTTTAAAATCTCGGAGTTACCAAAAATTAGATTCTATTTTTTTTTTTTTGTCGTGATAGGTTTGAAGGGAGTCGTTGCTGTAGGCTAAACCAATAAACAATTCAACAGAGGGAGGGAAATTCTTTTTTCTCCCTGTTCTCCCGAATATTTTCGACGCCACTAATGCATAGTGTGCTTTCGGAGATATTTCAGAATTATTTTTTCCTTTTTTGTTTCGTTATCCCAAATAAAAAATGAAAAAAAAAAAAAAACTTTATACATTACTTTTTTTTTGGGGGGGGGGGGGGGGGGGGGGGGAGGGGAGGGGCTATCATGCAGCTTGTAATTTTTTTCTATATTTGGTACTCAACACTACGCTTACACTTGTGCATCGTTTGAAGTTACGCAAAAGGTTCGAGTGTCGCTAGGATCGCGCTTATAATTTCTTATGTTGAACAAGCAGAAAAAAGAAAAAAAGCCCTTGGAGATGGCCGGTAAACAAGAGTCTGTGGACGTCCGTTCTACGTCCCGTCGCACTATCAGTGGAATCATAAGTGCTCAGGCAGGACTCAGGGGACGGGGGCAGAGAGATTTCCCTCCGCTTGTCTGAAATGTATGCCCACTTCCGTTCCTACGCAACTGTGCACCGTTGCATTGTACGCCGCAGACCTTCGTGGTACGAGCGGCTTGCTTTTCCGGCGCCGCGGCTCTTCTGAGCTGAAAGGCTAAAATAACTGACTGAGTAAAAGGAGGATTCAAAAGACGCGGGGGTCAGATTGCCATGACGTCGCCCTTTCGAGAAAGCGCGATTGGGCGAAGAGTTTTGTCTGCACCTCTATTTACTGAACACTTTCTACAGGGTTGGCCGCTGCGGCGTTGGCTGGGTTGGCGGTGCTCTTTTCATCTCGTGAATGTTGTAGCGATGAGCTTGAGCTTGGGGAGCCGACAATTTTAGCTGGAGGTCGGGATTCGGTATCCACATCTCTCTAACTAGGTCTGCGGAGCCACTTTAGCGCGGCGCGTCAAGTTTGTTTTAGGACATTATATTTGACGTATATTGTAATGTGTGTATCTCCACGCGGGACAGCCGTGCTGCCGAGACCAGAGGCGCTGCCGAGACTGATTCGTGTACAATGATAAAAGCTAAGTGTACCTGGAAAGTTCAAGGCGATCGCCCAGTCTCCGATGCTATAGTGTACTTTGAAGGCAATGAAAAGTAAGTAATTTCTTTATTCCAAACTCTGTCTTGTGTTGAAGTTTTAAAACGAATATCCAGCATGCCAAGTTCTATTCGCCAGCAGAAACTCTCTCTCTGAAGTACCGGTGTCGCACTTCGCTCATCTCAACCTGACTTATGCGTCTAGCAAGGACTACACCCTGATCCTTTCAACCTTTATGCTGCTCCTGGGTATTTTATTTTTTTAGCTGCTTTCTTTTCCAGCGCCCCGGTGATGACTAAGTCCAGGAGCCAGCGTTCTATTTTTAACTCCTGGCGCCGTTGCAACGAGTCTTGTGAGGAGGAACAAAGCGTGAACTAGTTCTGTGAATTGGAACGCATGTGCGATGTGACAATTGGTATTTACATTTCGACTCATAAGCGAAAAAAAAAAACAAAAAAAAACACACATACCCTAAGTGCGTATTTTTTTTAAATTGTTTTATAAGTAATTATAATAATATTTGCTCATAAAAAGGATAAAGTCGATTTTTCTGGAAGTGTATGTCCACGGGTGCTTATTGCTGATATGATATCTATGACTGAATCATGGAAATGAATTTGTGCCCCTAACGCTGATGATTGTTTGTTTAAGCATCGACCTTGAAGATGCCATTTCAGCCGAGAACTGTGTTCAGCTGGAGGCTCCCTTGGAAGATGATGTTACTGGGAACTACATTGTCCCGTCCTGCCAGATCTTCTTGTTCTGCAATGATTCGCACCAAATGGGCAGTGTGTCCATCCTCTCCGAAGCGAGGGTTATAGAGGTGTACGGCTACCACGGGGAGTACCTGAGCACCTTGAAGAATGAGTTGATGGAAGAGGTAGATGGCATGTCAGTCTTTCGAGGAGACCTGACCCTCGTACGGACCCCTGAAAGAATGCTGCCTCAAGGTATGCTTGCATGGTCACATGCCAGGATCTCCTATGTTTTACAAGTCATAAAACAGGACCTTGGGCTTGGTGACACAAGCCTTTTTATTGCCGCTTGAAATGGTTATAAGATCCTGCGACCCAGGTTTCATGTGATTAATCGTGACCGTATAAAACTAGGAGAATACATACTTGGTTTAGTTGGTGATGTATCTTGAATAAAGACAGTGCAAATAAAAACAAAGGAAAAGTCAGGAATTGGACAGACCAAGTGCTCTCTGTTCAGTTTCTTTAAATCATCCTTTGTTTTTTTCACAGTTTTTATTCAAGACAAAACTGACACATACTTTTACTACGAACAATAACTGCATGTTTTTGCCATCCGGAAGAGGTTAATAATTGTAAACACAAAAGGGGAGCATGATCAATATGGTTACAAAGCAACACAGGCATAAATCAGTAGTTAGCTGCAAAGATATCAACGAAAACTAGTTAAAAAGTTTGCCAACACATCTGAATGAGCTTTCCACTTAGTAATACTGTACAATGTTAGCCCACAAAGGAGCAAAGAGTAAGTCCACCCTATTCTTATGGTTTCTCTCCTGCAGTTCATCCCCCTCAAGTCGAAAGAATCAATGTGGCTATATGGAATCAAGGTGATGGTTCAACAGACAACGAGGCCAGAACTCCCGAGTATGTTCCCCACTAGCATGCCCCTAAAAGAAGTAGAAGAACGACTGCAGGCATCAGGAACACAGATTAGTGATAAGGCTGAGGCACTTAAAAAGATGATGGAGCTCTTTCAAGGAGGTGCTAGCCGTTTTCCTGGAGCAATGTTTCAGCCCAGTTCCTCTGGATTGGCCTCTTTACCGCAGACAGGACTTGCCTCTTTGTCACACAGTCTTCCACAGCAAGATCAGCAGCCATCCAATGCTATGTCCCAACTCTTCAGCCTTCTTCAGGGGTCGGTCCATCCACCTGTTCAACAAGTGCCACCCAAGCTCGTGCCAAAACCGGTTGCAGCCCTCGAGTTGGGTAGGGAGGCCTCGTTGCAATATCCCGCAAGCACAGATAACAACACCCAGGAGGCTTTGCTCACTGGACTAGTAAAGTTGCTACTGGACAAGACAACCAGGCCGCCCCAGTCTGAGGTGCAAGCTCAGCCGGCTGTGCCACCAAAAAAGCAGAACCACTACTAGCCACTCAAGGAAAAAATCTTGTTTTGGAGCTTTTAGAGAAGTCGGGCATGATGAACAAAGAAATGGCGACACTTCTGTTGACGGAAATTGTGGAGAAGAGTGGTGTCAAGTTTCATTTAAATCACTCATTAGGTGATGCAGAGCAAAGGTCAAACTTGCCTGCTCAAACTGCCCCCCCAAAGGAAGCTGGAGCAGCTGTGATAGAACAGGTAAACCAGTCAACAGAAAAAGAGGTTTCGGAGCTCAGCTCACAGGAGCGGCCATTGATTGAGCCCAAGGTCGAGCCTTCAAAGGAAGCAGCCTCACAGACAGACATGCCTGATGAAACAGTGCCCCAAGTGCCCAGGTCTGTGTGGGTTTTCTTTTCTATGCATGGTGTGTGCCATTAACAGCCTTTAAGTTCTGTCTCATTAGTTTTTTGTGAACCTATGTGCAGGGTGTTTCACATACTACTGAAACTAATTTAAAAAAATGGGGCACTTAAATGAAGAAAGTATTCCTTTGGGATAACGTTATTGACCGTGGCGGTCAACAGCGTGTGAGTGTAAAAGTGATAATTAGCAAATTAATTACCTAAAATTCACTTTAACTTTTAGGTACTTGCCTTAGCTGGCAACTTTCAATTAAGATATGTTGCCCTGCCATCAAAATATGCCATAGCAATTAGAATTTATGTATAACCATAGGATGGATTATAATTGGGTGCACTCAATTTTTTAGAGCAATTTTATGGTATATATTTCTGTGTACCAGATGCGCAAAGATACATGGGATCTTTTTTTTCTTATATATATAAAAGTAAGATTGGTCTACCCCATTAGTACACTGCGTGACACTGTTAGTGCGAATACGACATCGGTGCTTTCTCGCACTTTACTCCTAACGGGTATTGGTAGACACTAAATGTACTGCTTAGGTTAGTGCCCCAACGAGCACTTTCCACCACACTGATAATTTCAATAACAGCCCTTCAACCCTAAAAAAAAAACTAAAAATTGGTGATTGCTTGTTCACACTAACAGTGTTGCACTGTGTACATGAAGTTAACAGTGCAAGTCTGGTGCCATATAAAAGTTATTTTTACAGAACGGATCCAGAAGAGGTTGTTGGTAAAATGTTCCAAGGTCTTCAGGATCAGCTTCTCGAGTTACTTGGACAGCGCTTTGAAGAGCTGAAGCTGGAGGTGGTTCAAAAACTGGACCTGAAAATTCAGGAAATGGAGGAGCGCATCAATGGACGGTTTGATGCCATCATCGATGCTCTGCAAGGCCAAGAAGAGGATGAGGAAATATTTGAGCAGCCCGATGAAGGATCTGTCTAGGGCCCAGTTGGGGCTAGCTCTTCCCGCATCTGTCCAATTTATTGCACTGGCAAGATCTGAGGGGTACAAAGTTATTGCAGTTGGACTAATTTTTGACTGTTGCAGTTGTTTCATGTGCAGATCTTTAAACCAGGTGTAAATGAGTAATAAATATGTCAAAGTGCCTTGCCACGCTCGACGATACCAAATTCAGTTGCTGCTGTAAAGCCTTTCACTCAATGGAAAGAAATGCCAATGATCACCTTTGTCAATTTGACACATTAAAGCTATGTTACCATCATTGTAAATGAATCGAGCATGGTTTGAATTAAGATAAGAGAAAACAACGAACAAGCATATGGAATCCCTTCCCCCTTCCTCCCTCTGCAGTGTGTTGTGCAAGTTTGTCGGCACTAGTCTCAGTGACTCAACGTGCCACTTGTTTGGAGGTCTGAACATGCTGCACAATGGTGGAACATGTAGGTCTAGCGGAATTTGTAGCATTTTTGTGGTTGTAATTTTGATGGGGTGTCATTTATGTCTGCCATTGTGCAGGTCTTCTAGAGCTTCCAATGAGGAGCATACTTTCGAAAAAGATGTCTTGCTTGGGCATTTGTGTGGTCTGTACATATTTCAAGGCAGGTAGCTCACTTGTGGTCTTCACTCTTGTCCATTATAAGGCGAGATGGTATATTGAACTAAAGCAGAGCAAGTTTCTGAATAGCGTGATTTGAATTATGAGTAAACTAGCGAATGACGTTTTAGCGAGCAGCGACATTTGAGCAAATCAATGTTTTAGCGAATAACGGGGGCGTGCGTTAACCCATCCGCCGCGCTGCGCTTACGCCGCTTCGCGGCGACAGTCTGCGGCGGCTCATGACAAAAATGTGAACCCATTTGGCCCACCCGACAACGCCGCTTCGCGGCGTCCGACTATTCGCTAAAGTGTCATTCGGTGAAACGTACGTGGGCGTTCGCTTAAAACGTCATTCGATCAAGTGAGTGCCTCCTCACGTGCGCTGCAAGCATCATTCAAGTGACCACTGGCCAAAAGTTTCCCGTGAAAAACTAACACAGAGAAAAACTATTGGTGCCACATTAGTCCAACGGCACCAATTTAGTGTGGTTCACAGCACTACACCGTTAGTAGTGCAAGCATAAGATCTGTCAATGAATTGCAGCGCACTGGCAAGTTCAGGGATAACGGGAAAGCGACAAAGACTGGACAAAACATCTTTCCAACTGGCAGCTTGAACATTCTGTCTTCGTCCTTTCCTTCTATCCCTAAGGCAATCTCAATTTCGTTTTTTTTTTTTTCTTTTTTTATCTCTTAGAATTGAAGGTGCGTCGATCCTTATCCTTCAAATATGAAATGCAAAGAAGCACCAATGCCATGTTCGTGCTAAAAATATCCACACAAGTACATAATGTTTTGTATAATTAAGTTCTTAATTAGTTTTGCAAAATTAACTCTTTTGCTAGTAAAAAATAACCATACGGTTCCAATCGGAAGGCACTCACTTGATCGAATGACGTCTTAGCGAACGCCCACGTTTCACCGAATGACACTTTAGCGAATAGTCGGACGCCGCAAAGCGGCGTTTTCGGGGTGGGCCAAATTGGTTCACATTTTTGTAATGAGCCGCCGCAGACTGTCGCCGGCGAAGCGGCGTAAGCGCAGCGCGGCGGGTGGGTTAACGCGCGCCCCGTTATTCGCTAAAACGTCGATTCGCTCAAATGTCGCTGTTCGCTAAAACGTCATTCGCTCATGTGATATGGACCCCTAAGGATCCGTGCCACCGCTTTTATTTTCCTAACTAATTTGCGTATGCAGAAGTTTAAAAAGAAAGGTTGGCGTAATGTGGGGAAAAATTTTAAAACGTAATTTCTTGAAAATACAATGTGCATGCAGAAGGCCGAAACTTCTACAGTTATGTCGAATAAAACCACAAATAAAAAAAAAAATCCAAATATAACAAATTCTACCTTACGCCCACGGCTATTACCTCTCAAAGCTCAAAGTTAGTGTACTCTAAATGACATTGTCTACTTTTGGTTCGTCAGAGAGTTAACTTCCGTAACGTGCGCTTTTCAACGAAGGAATGCCTATACTGGTGAAACAGGTAGTACACGTGTCACATCCCCGGCAGAACGCTTTGTGTTCTACCTTGGTTTTGTCATAGCCTTAATTGCAGTTTCTTTATATTTAGCATTTTTGTTCGCCTTGTTGGGAACTTAAAATGTGCACGCCGGCCCAGGACAACATTGGGAGTTATAGTGATGCTTACCAATTAAAGGGACCAGCGGCGTAGACTTTCCATTTTCTCGGGGGGGGGGGGGGGGGGGGGGGGGGGAGGGAGGGAGGGAGGGGGGGAAGGAAGGGGGGGGGGGCTTTTCCGCGAATTTAGTTTATTTTAGGGGGTTACATTTTACAGCGTATGTACACACATCGCCTTGTGTCCGTCGCTGTGTGTCAATGTCAATCACCGTGCAAGCGTAGCCGCGTCACACGGCTACGCTTTTCTCACGCATGCGGCCCTTCGCGGACGACTGCATCATCTATCGCTTCATTGGGCGCGTTAAGTTGTGACTCAGCGACTCCGGTTCGGGTAACTCCGTCGGAGTCACTACTAAACCAATATAGGCAAACCAATATAGGCAACGGACTTTGGGAACAGCTCCGGATGGAGTAGGCGCCCTATCTTTTTTTTTGGGTGGGACATCGGAAAATGGCAGGCTGCTGTGGAAGCAGACCAAGCGGACGTAAAAGTGATTGATGCCGACGTTATGTTCTCGCCAGAACTGGAGATTGAAGTTAACGAAAGCACGCTGGGATTCCATTTTCCACGTATTTTGTCAGTAAGGGGAAACGTGGGCGTTATTTTGTTTACATGCCACTACTAGAAGCTCGTTACATGGCACGGTAAACAAACGTCCTCGGTAAGGCATATCATAACCCGGGGGGAAGAGGAGGGGGGGGTGGGGGGGGGGGGCTCTGCCAATTGCTCTGCCCCCCCCCCCCCCCCGGATCTCACCAAGGGGGGGGGGGGGGGCACGATGCCCCCCCCCCCCCTCCGTAGTCTACACCTATGAAAGAAACACTACCACCCCCAAAACTTTTTTTTTTTTAATTTCTTGTCAGGCGATTTATTATGGTATTAGAAGACTACCCATTCAATCTTTTGCTACAGTGACACGTAGGTATATTTTTAATAAAGTCAAAAAACGCAACTGCTCGAAACCGAAACTGGATGGGGGGACATCAAAATCAAATGGCTGTGCAACTTTTTTTTTTTTTTTTTCAATCGACATATTTTTGTTTTTTGTTTTTTAGAAGCCACAAAAAATGAGAATCATATTTCTTTTCTATATTTATTTATTGTGAGTGTGTCTTCGATGACCCACAACTTATATATTTGATACCACATATTTGATGGTTGTGTCTAAACCACAGAAAACAGCACGTGACCACGGAGAAAAGAGTGAGCGCAACTCGAACCGGCCAGTTCTCGATCGGCGATTTTCGGCCAAAAGGAAAACGAATTTCGAGCCGCAAATTGTTTTCTGGGTAGTTCAGCTCTCGTATGTCATCTACAAATGAAAACTTTGGCGAGCATAAATACCCTGTCAGTGTCCCTTTAAAGTGTCCCCAGAGCTCTTAAGGTCTAAGAAATATGCCACAATACAGTTGAATTATGTAAATAATGGCATCTTTCTTACGAAGACTGATGCAAGCAGTTAGCCATGCTAGAAAAGTGCAACCACCGTTCCCAGGACTATTTTTAGAGCACATCAGCTTGTGATCAAGCTGAAACCTATGTTGAAACCGAAACTACAGTTCTTCGGCTTTCCACGAGATTGTGGAACATAATTTTCCGCACTAAATTTAATTTTTTGACGGCGCTTGGAAACTAACGATTACCGGTGATCGATGGCCTACGGGCGTGGTCAGGAAAGAGGTAATCATGGTAAGCTTGTGCGAATTTTCAGAACTTTCGACCATCACTTAGAATAAAGTTCGATTTGGTCTTCACATTGAACACGACGCAATGCTCTGAAGTTTCACTATATCTATTTGTGGTCTGTTTTTGACGGTTAAAGGCCGACGTACAACCTCTGTTGCTGCAGGGAAGATAATCCTCTTGGTGCTTCCCACTCCTAAGCTGCGAAGGGAGCCAAGTTAGGACAAGGTAAAAAGTAGAGGATACAGGAAAGGAGGAAGCGGACTAAAGTGGAAAGCACGAGGTGTACGTCGGCCTTTAATGAGCTCCGTTGAGTGCGCTTCTTGCCGTGCACTGGTGCAGTACACAGAAGCTACGGCAGCCGAATAGCCATTGCGACTCTGCGTATGTTGTTCCGCCGCAGCGGCCGCAGCGCGACCTCGTGTTTACGGGTAAAAACACTCTTCCAGACAACGAGGTTGCTTCCAGAGTAGAATAGTGGGTGAATTTCCAAAACTTTACAAAATTGTTACTAAAAAAAAAAAAAAAAAAAGTGAAAGCTTCGTTATGCGGTCTATGCAGGCGAGTTATACGCCCAGGGGGGACATAATATGGGGGCTAGTCGTCACATTAAGTAGGATAATAAACTAAAATCTGTTTATTACCTTTTCAATTACTGAAAAAAAAAAAAAATATGTGGCTCATT